AAGTTCAGACCTAGGTCTCAGTTTCTGAAGTTCAGACCAGTACCTCACTTTCTTAAGTTCAGACCTAGGTCTCAGTTTCTGAAGTTCAGACCAGTTCCTCATTTTCTTAAGTTCAGACCTAGGTCTCAGTTTCTAAAGTTCAGTCCAGTTCCTCATTTTCTTATCAGTTTCTGAAGTGCAAATCTGGATCTCAGTTTTTAAATTCTGAAGTTCAAATCTGGATTTTCAATCTCAATTTCTGCAGTTCACATCTGGGCCTCAGTTTCTAAAGTCCAAACTCTAGACTTGTACATGGCATTTGTTGCTGAAACTCTTTGTCTACTGTCATCATCTTCCATCTGACTCTTTCAATTGTCTTATGTGGAAAAGTCATTGCAGAATAAAAAGCTTTAATACCAGTTATTTTCATTACATATCTCCACAGTATATAGCTGAAATACTGTTAAACTTTGTGGTTAACCAAATAAACAAATAAAATTAACAGCAATGATAGAAGATTAACTCAAACTGTAGTAAACTCTCCATTTAATTAAACAAAACAGAAAAATAACAGTTGTAACCAATATCTCACACATTCTCAAGGTTCAATATCTCTGCAAAAGGTAAAAAATCATGAATCAAAATATGCACACTTTTGTTTGGCACGGATCAAAGTGTTGTAAATATGTAGTCAAAAAAATAGGTAGATCAAGGATTGGACAGAAAGTTATACTAAAACAAAAATACAGACAAACTAATGAACAGACATATTGAGGTTTAATCACAAAACTGTTGCAAGTCTTTCTTTATTTCATATAAGATACTGCAGTTTTACGATCTCTAGAGACATAAACTATTTTCTTTCCCTTAAAGTGATTTTCAAGTCTGATATAATACTCTCTTTTTTTGTTTTCCTCAACACAAAAATACATTCATAGTAAAAAATGAACTAGTTTCCAGTTTTCATGAGGTAATTATTTCTAACATCTACCGAAATAGTATGCTTTTCTGTTATTACAGCCAGGTATCTTATAAACCTAGTAGGTTCATCAAACTACAACAAAAACCATCTGTTTTGCTTCTGTTTTTATCCATGTAACAATCAATTTCACTATAAAAATACATTTGCTAATCCTAAATACCCATAGACCTCTTAAAGTGTGATTATATTGGGCCAACTCCAATATAAACTTATTTTTCACCATCATTCCACCCTGTTTACCACTGTCTATACCCTCCGATATATATTTTTTCAGTATTTTTTTAGTCTTCAACATTAGATTCAATACCGGAATAATTAATAATGTTTGAATGGAAAAAGCTTGTAACTTATTGATAGGAAACGTTTTACCTCATTTTTTTTTAACAACTGTAGAAGCTTGTCATTTAATTAACTAACAGGAAAGCATAATTGACATGGCTCTTTCTACTCTTTACTGGTATTGTTTCAAAAATAAGTAGGCTATAGATTAGAGCTATTGTTGTCTACTGTAGGCATGATGATAGAATGCAAAATTTTCACCTACAGACAAGTGATTGAACATCAACAACCTTTATATGGAGTCCCCATCCATCATCCTCACAGTTTGTTCTCTTTTTGGTTGGTTTTTATTCGCACAAAATCAGAATATGTATATTTCAAATTTTTGCTGGGGGAGAAAAGACAAAGGTCCCCTTTCTGAGCTTATTTAGGCACAAACGGCACCGAGTAGAAATCAACACCCGTGGGCTAGCTGGATAGCTTTCAAAATGAAGAAAAAGATCGGTCGGGATTTGAACCCACAGCCATGAGGGGCAAGCAGCTTGAACCATGACCTTAGTCACTCGGCCACAGACGCCCCTTAATAGTTTGAATAAAGTAAATGATTAAAGGATTGTGGTACATGAAGATGTTTGATTTTCTTTCAGAAGTAAACATTGTTTTTAAATGAATATTTGTAAACTTATCTATATGATTCTTTCACAATAAAAGGCAATATGGATGAATAAAGTCTATAAAGTTTGATATTTTTGTGGGTGTGGTAGGGTTTTTTTTCTCTGCTTTTTTTGTGCGTGGGAGGGTACTTTTGGTTTTCACTAATAACAGATTAATAGTACATGTACAGTATTTCATACAATGTACCATAAGTCAATTCAGAATTTTCATTCAACTCAACAGACCATTCAATTCAACAGACCAAATAAATACCATAAGGCTGCTAATATATGCATGTACATGTACAATGCAACATTACAAATCTTGCCTATAAATAAAATTAACTGACCACTAAAATGCAAAAAGGCTATCTTTAATCAAACAAACTAAAATATTCCCTGGAGTAAAAGATGAGGAATTTCTCTAAGAGGATTGTGGGATCTTATCTTAATAATTTATCATCACTATCATTTAATGTCATGCAAAAACTATCAAAGTTTTCAATTTTCAAGTACCTTAAATACCAGTGTGAAAGAAAGGAACGTTAAATAGTTGGCAATATTTCAATAAATCAAGCCTGTAAATGTACAGGGGGGATCATCACTATATAGTGTAAATTGTGAAGTGGTAAATAAACAGTTAAAGTAAACAAACTATACATGGTTGAGGCCAGTCAAATGTTGGTTTACAATTTCCTTAGGTAAACAGTCAGGGCTATAGACCTTGTTGAAAACAATTTTAAAAAATCTCTGTTTGTATAATTTTCATGTAACTGTTAAATTCTTGACACCTCAGTTCCATAAAAGACTGAATCTGTGCCTAGATATAATTCTTGTGTTGTTGAAAGTCAACAAAAGCTTTTAACATGTTTGGTTTAATTTTGGTTCCTGTAATATTGTTTGGCAAATTTATAACCCATTTTAACAGCCATTAAAAAAACAACTGAGTAAACTGAAGGGTTATTGAAAATGTGCAAAATTTGATTTGTTTCCTCCCTTAAATTAACCCTAACACCCCTAAATTTGTAAAATAAACTTGCCCTGCTTCATATCTGGAACAGTTCATTATAATTGTGAGGGATACTAAAATTGTGAAACCAAAACCAACACAATAGACAGTATTGCCTGGTCACACTGAAAATATTTGGAGACGGGCCTGACTCCACGTTAACTGGTTGTATAGGCCTGTGTTATTTAGTAGTTTCTATATCTAACATATACACAGTTTTCTGATAAAATCTTCCTAAATGATTTTCAAATTATCATTCCTGCTGTATTAAGCATACCTTAGTTATCTCCAGATAAATGGAGAGAAAATATTTCTATCTTACTTTCCATGAAAACATACTTTTTGAGAATGAATAATCATCTCTTTAATAGTGTTTCAAAAGATATTTGATATTTCATAATACATGAATATTACAGCGGATATTTTCATCTTTAATTACTAAGAAAGAAAATTCGCTGTAATTATGATTATTGATTAATTTACAGAAGCTTAATATTATATATTTAGCACATCTTGTGATGCTGACACATTATCAATTAGATAATTGGAGAAACAATTATAAACAAGCTGGCAGCATGTATTTATAGACAAAATTGATGAGTCACTGAGGACAGATTTTCTTGCTGAAGCAATAATGTCAAACTGCTCTTTATAAATCAAATTGCATCTTAAATTCAATATTCACTGTAAATAACTGTATAAAAAACTTTAATATTCCCAACAGCAATATACAAATGTAGTATGATAAAAAAAAAATCAAAATTCATTTCCTGCATATGTTTGCATTTAAGATTATTACCGTAATCAGTTTTGTGACTGGTAGTGTTTAAATTTAAAACTTATTCTCAAAACAACAAGAGCTGTCCTTAAGACAGCACGCTCAATTATTCTCTGTGCTTGACAGTAAAAAAAGGTCATAACTCTGTAAAAATCTACCTAAGAAAAGGGGCATAATTCTGTAAAAAGCTAACTCAGAGTTATGGGAACTATGCCAGTTATTTAAGATAATTACAGAGAACAATTATGTGAAGTTCCAACCAATTAGCTTCAATACTTTTATCATGTACAAAACTTGTAGCAATGCTAATACCAATACAAGTACAAAAGCTCTCCCTATCTTTCAAATAGCTCAGCTAAAATTGCTGGATTTCTTTAGTTCTTAATTCATTACTATTTAATTAATACCACACTTATTAGAAAACTGCACATCATAATTTTAACATATCAATATAATTTGTTTAATAAATAGGACTGAATAATGTAAATCACAATAATTATGTCAACCCTGAAAGCACATTCAATTATCAATAAGTATCATGAAATTTTTCTATAAAAAGTCACCCCTATTAATACATGTACATGATTAAAAGACAATATACACAATAGTTATTTTAATGAGATCAACATGGATAAAGAAAACTAACTATTTCACATGGTAATATCAGACTCAGTGGTATTGCACTTCTGTGCATGTACATGTACTTTACCAACCCTTGCAATGATATCTCATGTACAATATCAGGAAATTTACTCATAAAATAACATGCAAGAAAATGCACAACATGTCTGAGTATAAGGACAAAATAAAAACAAAACTGAAACATAAAAAATTATGCTAATACAGTTATTATAATAATACTTGTTAATTTTTTCATACATTCAATACATTCAGATATGAAAATAAACAAAAAAACATTTTAATGGGAGAAATTTATGTACTTCTTAATTTCATAATGTAAAAACAAAACCACAAAATATATGTAGACATTAAGCCCTCAGCACTATATATTTTCTTCCCTTCAAAATAATTTTTCTCAAAATTTCTTCCTTATAACTGAGCTAGCAGTGAAAAGCTAATAAATTAAATCAGATATGATTGTATCCATGGAAACAAGAAACGAAAAACAAGAAATCCTTGTTTGTAAAAAAAAACTCTCTTATTTCTTCTTGAGAAAAAAAAATTAAATCGAAATTTCTCTTCAAATGCGTAGTAAATAATATTGCCAGGATTTTTTTCAAATGAAATGAAATCTGATTATGATGAATTTCTCCCATGAAAACAGCCATTCTTGTGTATATCAAATTGTTTAAAACATACCTCGTCAGGTTTGAGCCCGAATTCTGAAGAATATATCAATGATTTGCCCAGAGCAAACACATACACCTGGAAATATATAATTTTCTTACTTTAATTCCAAATTTTAATAACTTACTAGCATTTAGAGACTTTTTTCTTAAAATAACATAAGAATTATTCATTTTTGTTTTGGAGATCTTTAAGTGGTGGGGAATTCGGGCCAGTAGGTTTTCTACTTCTATTTCTCTGTTTGATTAAAGTGCTTTTATATATCTCATAATCTGTAAGGCAGAATTCCTCCAGATTTATGCTAATTTTATTGAAAACTTAAAGGAGAGTTTTAAGTACATTGTAGTAATTAGAAATGTGTCCGAGAACACGGAAAGTCCCACATTCCACTGTTCTGTCAATCTTCTGAAGGACAATGAGAGGAGGAAGGACCTACATGTAGTGGGGGTATAAAGGTATGGTCAAGTGTACTAAGTTTTATATGCTAGAATTAGGCACTTACATTTAATATCAATTTATACTTTTATCAAAATATGAAATAACAGTCCTTACTCTGTTCATATAGTGATACAAATAGTGAATTTCAGCCATATATTTTGGTATGAAACACAGATTATAGATATCAATACATTTCTTCAATGCTTTATTGATATATGAGCCACGTCATGACAAAACCAACTTAGTGCGTTTGCGACCAGCATGGATCCAGACCAGCCTGCGCATCTACGCAGTCTGATCAGGATCCATGCTGTTCCCTATCAGTTTCTCTACTTGTAATAGGGTTGGTGCAAACTCACCATGTTGGTTTTGATGTGACGCGGCTCATATTTTTCTACAGTGTGTTTTCACATCTGCTCATAGTCAAAACACATTGAATCAAACTACTTAATAAAACATGGGAAATGATGCCTGAACTGATTCAAACACACAACCTCAAGATGAATGCATACTTTCTGATGAGACAAAGAGACAAAGTAATATAAGAATGTAATAATCACCTGTTCCACAGAAGTATCTGTACATGTAAAATCATCTTCTGTTTCTGGTGCCATGTAATTTGCATATTGTTGTACTTTATGGGCGTGGCCAAACTCCACCTGACCTTCAGGAGTCAGGTATAAGGTGTCTGGATTGATAACGAAAGCAGGACCGATGTCAGAGCAAGACTCTCCTATAACAAAATAAAATACAACTACAATACTAGTGTCTATCAGGCAAACAAATGCATGTTATAAGAATAAATTAAACTACTTATCATTGTTTGCATCAAGGGCCACAACTCTGCCGTTAGAAGCTGAATCAATGCATCACTTCATTTCAGATGTTGAAAATTACTTCAAAGATTTATTGAAAGTATTTATATATTGAAACTTAACAACCAGATTTTAAAAGAATTTCAGTTCCAAGATCACCATGACACTTTCAAAACTAAATATTTTAAATGGCCTTGTCCATCTTTCAATGTCCGTCTTTCAGTCTGGACAAAACCATTCAATTTTTTTGGGAAATTTCAAAATTATTACTGACTGATGGCGAACAGTGCAGACCTTGATCTGTTCTGCCTGATCTTGGTCTAGACTGGTAGCATGGGTAAAGTTGTCTAAAATGCAACACTGTTGCTGCATTCTAAATAATAAAATTAATATGTCAACTGGGTCTATGATAAATTTCTGGCATACCTTCGATACCCTATAAAACTCTATCTAATAGGCTTTTATTTGATTGAGCTTTTGTTAACAACTTCAAACTTTATCACAGTAGAGTGTGAATATTTGACATCTTAATATTAATCTCTGAGATAAGATGACAACTTTCCAATTAATCAGAAAGGGGTTGAGAATAGAAAATGCAGAATTTTCAATATTTTGTCTCAGTTCATCAATGTGTCACATCCTACTTGTTTTGAGTCACCTGTAACATCTGTGAACTGAGTCATGCCGGCCAATTTAAAAGCTAAGTAAGTACAACAGGTTTTTTTTTATAAATCTCTAAATTAATATTAGTTCAGCGTGGAGGAAGGTAGTCTAGTACTGGTGTAACTCTCCAGGAACAATGGTTAGGAAACTACCCGCCTACCGTATATGACTGAAATACTGTTGGGAAAAGGCGTAAAATGAAACAAACAAACAAACAAACTAAATTAATATGGATCAGTGGGTGAGGTTACAAAGAAATATTCTAATCTCAAACTCAGATCTAAGGTATGTGATTGGTCAGAAACAGGCATAAAATGTGAATTGACCAATGTAAATCCTGAGATATGAGCTTGATCTCAGGAAAATGTTTCATAACCTTGGAGCCAGATCTAGTTACAACTTTACAAATATGTTTTGTGTGATTTTTCTAATGTAATTCAAATGGAAAATTTTACGTAGTCTAAATTCTGGCAAAACAATGAGAATTCTGGAAAACAAATCAAAGTTTATCTACCAAGAGAATATTCTTATTAGAAATATGAAAGACTCAAAGGTTCTAAACTTAGGAATAAGAATAATTTCATGCCACCACAAAAAGGGTTTATCCTCATCCAAATGTTTTTAATATAGTACTACATTGTATTGATGTGATTATTTTTTTTTTCCAAAGTGTTATCCTAAATATCTAACTGCTATAACTGAGCAGTCAATAAATATATGCCAGGATTGTTCAGACATGCTGACTATCTTGCTAAATTAAGTCGCTTGACTCAAAACAGTAGCAACGACCTGGCTCAAACTACAATGTATAATAAAGTGGCCTGGCTCAAACTACAATGTATTATGTAATGGCCTGGCTCAAACTACAATGTATTATGTAGTGGCCTGGCTCAAACTACAATGTATAATAAAGTGGTCTGGCTCAAACTACAATGTATTATGTAATGGCCTGGCTCAAACTACAATGTATTATGTAGTGGCCTGGCTCAAACTACAATGTATTATGTAGTGGCCTGGCTCACACTACAATGTATTATGTAGTGACCTGGTTCAAAGTACAATGTATTATGTAGTGGCTTTGCTCAAACTACAATGTATTATGTAGTGGCCTGGCTTACACTAGTAGCATTTACCTTGTTCAAATTGGCCTTACTCAAACTACAATGTATTATGTAGTGGCCTGACTCAAACTAGCGACATTGGCCTGATTTAAACTAGTAACACTGGCGTGGTTCAAACTACAATGTATTGGCCTGATTTAAATTAGAGACATCGACCTGACTCAAACTGGTGACCTTGGCTATCATTATTGACACTTAGTAGCATCATAGTTAATTGATGGAACTTTACTTTGCAAGATGTTCTGGCATCTGTTTTATTTTCTACTGTATACTGTCTAACATTAAACATGTATGTTTACTATGGTAGGAGGCTGCCAATATTCTATTCTTGCATTATTTACACTGACCTACATACTACAAACAAAACTGCATGCATACTTGACTTTTATTTTCATGCCTACTTCATACAGATAGATATATTTCCTTCTATTTGAAATATGGTTATTTTATAGCTCTGTTATATATTATCAGTACCAGTTAAAATAATATTACATCCTTTAATTAATAATTCATTCAACAAACAACACTACACAAAAATGTTGGGCATCTTTTTTAATACAATAATCACTTTCATTTGGATTTATGTTCCAAGTTAACAATTGAAATTACATTTGCTGACTAATATCTAATGTTTCTCAAACTGTCAGTAAAATATCACAGGAAAGCCAGTAAAAATGCCTTATTTTAATCATGGAAATAGTAGTATTTAATCAATCTCCCCTATTATCCCCTATTACATGTACCTGGCCGTGAGTGATAAGCCCAAAATGCTGCATTAGCCCCTAACCTGCTGAATGCCTTAAATAGGCTTAGCTGCTTGCCTATGTTCTTATAAAAAATCTAGCATGATAGTTCGATATGAACTTACAGAGTCTGGTATACTTTTTTATTTTGGTAACTTCATCAACATTTTACATTTTAGTTTGATGCATATAATGGTCTCATTGGCCTCCCTTGCATCACTTAGTCATAATACTAACAAATTTTTAGATACATTCAGTGAATTACTTGAATCAAAATTAATAGGTCACCATTTGGCAATACTATTTTAATACCATTTAAGGACATGATTGGTGACATGTCCGGGGTCCGTATTCTCAGTGCCTGGAAGGGCGTATGGACCCTTATTAAACTTAGAACACACACACATCTATATTCTCTATCTACTACATGGACAAGTCCAGGTATATGGACAAGCCAAAAAATTTTAGGGCTATCAAATTGAAATCTATTTCTAGTAATTTAAGTAAACAGTATACATGTAGAGCCTGGTCAGGCTGGAGGAAGTGCAGGCTAGCCTGGCTTTATATTGGTGGGAAAGACTAATCATTATTGGTTCTAGCTGTGTATGGGTTAATATATTGTACTGATCTGCCCTAATGATTGCTTGCAATTCCCTACAGTATCAGGGTAGCATCTGACACTGTATCAAAAGGTAACAAGGCCTGACATCTATTGTCCTATTTCTGTTACAGACACATTAAAGTCAGTTCATTATCATCTTCATGCTTTGCATAGTAAAAACTGACACATAATACATATGGCAGTAAAATGAATTAAAGATCAAAACATTTTCCATGTTTTATTTCATTTGCAGCATTTCATAGAGCACGGAATACAGAAACTACCAGTATATCTTATTGTGGAAATTTTGGTCTGATGCATGTACACATTTGAATTTTTCATTTAATAGAATGTGTTATTGCTGTAGATACTGAAGTTTCAAATTTAAATTGGGAATGAAAGATTGAACAGTCAGTAAGCTGCTAGGCCAGCCTGCATTTCTTAGAAGTCTGATCTGGCTCTATATCCTCTAGAACTTTGAAACTGAATCCTTCAAAACAAAGGGTCATATCTTTCACACACATCAATATTCAGTGATAAAGTTTAAGCAATTACCTGCCATGAATACATCCTGCAGGGCCTCAGCTGACTGACACAACAGTGCCCAAATTTCTGTTTCAGTGAGGGGCCCATCCCGCACCTCAAGTACCTCACTCAGAGATACTGTAATGTTCAAAACTGGCATCTTCTGAAATATGACAGTAATTTTGTTACAAAAAAAAGACACAAAAACTTTAACAGAACAAAAAAGTGAATACATGCAGGTATATACATTTTTTCACTGTCTAATAAATAAACGGTGTTTGGCAATCATGATATACATGTTCTCCTGTAGGTGATTGTAAATAACGGGCTATTTCAAAATGGAAGGTGGACAAATATATTCTGTAAAAATAGCTGGTTAAGGGTTAAAATAAAGATTTTTTCACATCATTTTTAGGCTTAATAGTTATATGCAAACTAACAATCATGTCAGTTGCAATTTTCAGTACAAGAATTTTTTTTAAAAGGATCAAGTATTAGTTGGGCTGGGCTTTTATTAATTTGAAAGAAAAGAAAGAATTTATTTAGCATTTTAATCAGAAAGACGACTATCAAAATAAATTATAATATTCTTAAACACTTTTTCCTGTGAATTATGAACTTTATGTGTAAGAACTCTGTGAGTATGGGTATCTCCATGTGAATCAATAGATAATTGTCAGACTCTAGCTCAAAGAATTTACCTGGGAAGATACAATATGTATTAACATGTGTAAAATTGTGTACCATTACCTATAATCTAAAAGTAGATCACCTGCAGATCATGCTCATATTGCATATATGTTAAAATTGAGGGAGTAAAAATAATTACCAGTAGATAACTACAAGAAATAAATAAGCCTATGGTATTTTTTTTCTCAACAGAAACTTCTTGTGTTTCCCAGAGATTGCAAAATTGCAGAAATTCCCTGTCAGATGTGCAATTCTTCTGCTTCCACTCTGTGCATAGGAAGTTTATTGCAAAGACAAAGATGTCTGTCTGGTTTTTATTTGGTATATGTTTTTTCTTCTTCACTTTTAAGTAGAACTGTCTTTGATTGTACTCAAGGAGTGACCTTTTTACCTGTGTAACAAATGTTGCATTTCAAAGGACCAAGTATATTTTATCTCATTTGATGAACTTATAATTTTAAAGTCTTAGTGAATATAACCGGATAAGTTTTTAAGCATTTTATGAAAATTTATAATTACCAATGGTCCAAACTTGACAAAATAAGTGAATGTTACATTACAAGTATAAATGTATACAATTTTGGACAATCTGGTTAACTGTCAACTGTTTGAATAATCTGGTCAACTGTTTGAATAATCTGGTCAACTGTTTGAATAATCTGGTCAACTATCTGAATAATCTGGTCAACTGTTTGAATAATCTGGTCAACTGTTTGAATAATCTGGTCAACTGTTTGAATAATCTGGTCAACTGTTTGAATAATCTGGTCAACTGTAAACTATTTGAATAATCCAGTCAACTGTTTGAAAAATCTAGTCAACTGTTTTTACCAAAAGTTGAAAACTACAGATATATAAAAATTTAGATAACAATCATGCATCTATGTGATCAACATATGAATAAATGTTTCTTTTGAAAGGTTCCACATTTGTATTATATTGCATGACACTAGAGGTGTAACGATTCATCGATGCATCGCGATCTGTCTTGTCCTCGATGTATGCATCGTAATGAAATGACAAATTCCAATATATTGCGATGCAATACATATTTCACCTCCCGATGTATCGATATAGCGGGAATGTATCGCAATACACTAACAATATCTTCCAGGAATATAAGGACAAACGTATTTTTTGAAAGACTGAAGCTTGGATGAAAACAATTAACAAGGGCGACTATTATCATACCATCGTTGTCATCTCGTTTCCCCATGTCCGCAATCATTTAACGGTTACTAACCAAGTTTTATCAATTCCATGTAAATGGGCTGGTGTTCTTTGAACTTGTTTATAATAAAAACATAATTAGAGATCTGTGCGATTTCAAGAAAAAACAACCTACAAACATGAATTTGTAATTTTATTTTGTAGCACTTAATGTCGGATTAAAATAGTGATGATGACAACATCCCCATGTGATATTCGTCACGTATTTATACTTTCATTTCCGTTGACATCATTTTCCCGTAAAAAAACAACAAAACAAACAAACAGAAAACATGAAGACTGCAAAATATGTAGAAGGGGAAATTACAGTCAATCATCCCTGGTCATATAATTCACAAGTTTCGGGAACATTGTAGTTTTTGGGGAACCATCAGACAGTGTTGTATAATGAGGAAGACGGGACGTAGAGTGTTTGCAAAATTTGCAAACTCAAAATAAAATACTCTGGGGTTGAGCACAAATCTTTCGAGAAAACTGAGACTGAAACTTATAAACTGTCATTTTCACAGTTGTTGACCTACATGCAATTGTAGATCACTTGTTACTATTTTTTTCACAAGAAAAATCTTTAGTGGTGTATTGTAAGATACTGAAATTGTTAAACTGCCATATTTACAGTAGTGGACTTTAGTGTTAGAATAGCTAGTAGATATCAATTTGCTGTTATGGTATAATTTGAAATACCTTTAATCCTCAAGTAATCAGAAAAGTAAATTGTTGAAAGATCAAAATAGGAAACCAAGTTATAACAACAAGTTAAAGAGTTTATTTTTTTGTTATTGTAATAGTTTTATATTATATTCGTAATTATGCTGTAAACAAATGACCAAATTTTTATATACTAAGTCTGAAAGTCAGGATCATGATACGTATCGCATCGCAACATAAGAATCGCAATATGCATCGCATTTCTTCAAAGTATGCAATACATATCGTGAATCGCATCGTTTTGAAAAACAAATATCGTGATATGTATCGTGACAGAAAAAATGGCAATGCACAGCCCTACATGACACAAATATATGAACTATAAACAAAATGTGAACAATGAAAATCCATTTCTGATTTCTTGTACACATTCTGGTATACACTGTATATAAATTGATCACTGACCAGGCTTTACTGCCAAATCAAGACATTTTGTTCTTAAGTAACAAAGCAAACTTGATTGAAAGATCATGCCTTCAAGGTTTCCACTGGCCATTTTTAATGTTCCACCACTGGGGAGGGTCTGGATTTAGTCCAACTAATTATACTTGTCAAAGAGACATCAAGATTATTTTGGACGAACGATGTTTTTTCCAATGGTTTGACAGTATGAAAAAAGGTTTGTAAAATGTGTTAAACCATTCATGCCCAATTAATTAGGCTATGCCTTTCAGTATATAAGCAAAGTATACTATAAGGGCCCTGAATTAATAATTTGCACTTACATATACAACTACGTGATTTTTTCCATTTAAAGTTGTGAACATTTGCTTCACACAAACAAATTTGCCCATATTACACTTGCAGGGAAGTCAAAGGCCAGGACCGCAAAGCGGGCCTGGGCTTTGGCTTGCCTGGCTACCATACATGTGTATATATTTAAAAGGAAAACTTAAGTATAGAATGAAATTTTCAATGTCAATTCTAGTTGGGTGACTCTATTTTCAATGTAACTCAATGATAAAAGGTTGGGTATTTCAATCACAGTAAAATCACAACTTTTCAGATAAATAATAATTGTCAAGTGGTCCTCGGGAGTGAAATCGGAAGAGGTACATGGACATACGAATGGCTCCTGTACAATGGAAAAATGAAAGATTTCTTTCAACAACTTCTCATTTTAAGGCTTTGTCTAATTACATATTAAAAAGAATGTAAATTTACCAATTAAAAATTAATTAAGAACTAGCTGACTAGCCACAGGATTTGATTTCTTGCCATTTTTAATTTAAGTATGATGATAAGTATAATGACAACGTTCTGGAACGAATCTTCATTGAAGAAGCCTCCATTCAAAAATAAGCAACTTTTACTTGATGAAATATTTGATCGAATCTGCCTTGACTTGTCAAATGTATCAAAATACAAGATGAAATAAAACTCAATTTAATTCTGCCATTTGATGTGGCGCCTCTAGATAATTGAATGAAAATAGCGAGTAAATAAAGTAAAATTATGTCAACAAAATTACCTGTCAAGAAGTATCTAAAATATCCTTCTAAAGCGAAAACATTAATTATTTTGGAGTCCACAATTTGACAGATGTTAGGTCGCCACCATTTTTAATCCTTTCTGTATCCGTAATGCTGATTGGCTGATGTTTTTAGACCGTATATCTAAAGTGCGAAAGTAATGCTTTTATACGAAAGGTGCATTTATCTTTTCGTACAAATAATTTCTCCAAAATTTATGGAAAAAAATCATTGGGAGTTAGTTTTACCTTAGAAGATAAGGAATTTGAATTACTTATGTGAATTTTTAACGAAAGAATATATTACAATCGAGAACTTGACATCGCACAATAATAAGATAATAATATTTGGGTAACACAAAACTTTTTAAATTTTGAATATTTTAAACATGTAATGAAATCACGACTGCGTAATCAGTTTTTTTACAAGTATGGAGTAATGATGTACGTTTTAATTCTGATAAGTGTTTAAATTATACAACTGAAAAAAACTCAATCCATGTTTACATATTGTTGGTTATATTTGTTAAAACAATAATGATTTTTATTTATTTTATTTATTTATTTATTTATATTTTTGTCCTCTCTTATGCCTTTAAGGGCTATGAGATTTGTTAATAAATAAAATATTTAAAACAAATGATGTTGATCAAGCTCTCCAATAAGTTTTGGCTGGACTGATTTGATATTTCCCAATGTTGTTATCGTAATTCTATTTCACGAGACATGTGCGAACATATTTTATAGTGATGCAGCATGGACATTACTTGTGTTCGATTTTTAAACTTGAATCAGAAGATCAGATTGTCATAGGAAAAATTCATTGTTATTATAAGCAGCCTTCCCGATAAAATTAGAAACAAATGATTTCAGGTAAGCTTTAGCAAATTGTGTCGGATGTCATCGTATTTACTGTAAAATAAGTTTAATGTTTTATTAATTGTTTTTTAATGTAGTTAAAATTACATATGTTATTTTAATTAAGATTTATGATTCGCTTAAAAGTTAAAAAAAAATGAGAACATATAATGTCATCGTCGACGGAACAGTGTGTGGAAGGTATCCTGTAGGTAACGAGAAAGATGATTAAAAGTCAGGACTTGCCTCGATACAGACAGATGCCAAACTATGAAAGAACTTATGGAGGCGATCTGCTGCAGTGAAACAACATGGCGCATTCTCCATGAGCATCTGCACGTGCAACGCCGCTTTGATGAATCTCAAAGAATCTGCACCTATGGATTTCGCTACATTTTCGGAGTTCAGCTTTGTCGCTTAAGTTACAATTGTTTAAAATAAAACTCGTGAAAATATTGATATAATTGATAATAAACATTTAAATAAATTTAACTTTTTAAATAATTAAATAAAGTTTACTTCTTTTTAAATTTCAATGGTAACAATATTCGTTACAAGTGAATTCAGGTTTAGGGACAATTGAAGTTTAAGACAGTTGTAGAATTCAACGTTTTTGTTGTCTTGGCGAAGTATGATTCATCAAGGATTCACAGACACAAAGATGTGTGGAGGCCGGGGAATTCAGTTCGAGAGAGTGGAGCCTACGGTCAAACACAAAATGCTCGTTGTCAAAATATTGTAGGTTGTTGTTTAGCACTTACTAAACTTTAAATACTCGAAAGGCCCTACACTTTTCTTTGTTATATACGGGTTATCATGCCTTCATGAAAATTTAAGTAATAAATTTATATTTTGTACAAAGATTCTTGTTTGGAAATCAACAAACTTAGCGTTGCCATTTATACTCCATGTGGATAATACAATATGCTGAGTCTGATTATAATCTTGAATGCTTTTGGACAGTTATACGTTGTGAATTGACATCAGTAAATTCTGTCAAACAGAAACATATGCCATGCCAAATTGTCATACCATTACAGTGACTTATGCAAAATTGTCATACAATTACAAGATGGAATTTTATTACAGTAACTTATGCCAAGTTGTCATACCATTGCAGTGACTTATGACAAGCTGAAATACCATTTGAGTAACTTATGCCAAGTTTTGTATGCCATTACATAAACTTATGAAACAAGGGTTGAAATGACCTTACATAACTTTGCCCAAAGTTAGGTACTTTTATCTTTACAGTAAGATATGCCATGTTGAAAATACTTTAGCAGTAATTAAATGCGGGTTTGAAATTTCATTTACACTACACTATGCAAAGTTGAAATACCATTACAGTAACTTATGTCAAGTTGTCATGCCATTAAAGTAACTTATGACAAGTTGAAATACCATTACAGTAACTTATGCCAAGTAGGACTATCATTACAGTAACTTATGCCAAGTTGAAATACCATTACAGTAACTTATGCCAAGTAGGACTATCATTACAGTAACTTATGCCAGTGGAGATACCATTACAGTAACTTATGCCAAGAAGGACTATCACTATTGTAACTTATGCAAGGTTGAAATACCATTTTAGTAACTTATGCCAAGTAGGGCTATCACTATTGTAACTTATGCAAGGTTGAAATACCATTTCAGTAACTTATGCCAAGTAGGGCTATCATTACAGTTACTTACGCCATGTTGAAATACCATTACAGTAACTGATGCAAAGCAGGAAAACCATTACAGTTACTCAAACAAAGTGTGCATATCAAACAGTAGTAGTAGAGCTATACTTGACATATTGAAACAGTAATGCAAGTCAAAATAGGAATATCATTTCAGAAACTTATGCCAAAATCAAACAGCAATTTAATGTCAAAATTGGGCATAATTATCATAGTAAGTGAGAATTAATCAAGCTTGAGGGTACATCATAGCAATGAACTATGCCATGTTGTTTGTTTTGGGTTTTACATCACATCGACACAGTATATATCATATCGCGACGTTCCAGTTAGACCTCAGGTGCCCTTCCGTGCATTATTTCAGGCACGAACGGGCACCCGAGTAGAACCACCGACGTTCCGTAAGCTAGCTGGATAGCTTCCTATGCCATGTTGAGTACATGTGTATCTTTACAATAAATTATACCACACATAAAGAAGAGAATCTGGAAATAAATAACATAAAACAACATCATTGTCAAATTTAATTGCTATTTTATTGAAATAACTGTACATAGCATGTATTTCAGTTACATTTATTCATCATTTTATGGTAAAAATATACAGTTTATCCAGTTATACAGTTTGCTTTTTGCAACCATACTCTTACACTAGCTCTGACTTCTCAACACACTTCGTGCATATGCTGATTTGAGATGTGGTAAATGACTCATAATGTAATTGGTCGTATATTTGTAGACTTTTGAAAATCCTAAGGCGCTCTAATCTTAATATATGTAAAAATCAACAAGAGAAAAAAATCTTTATCAATTATCTTAAACTATAAAATCATCAGCTACAGCTGAATTATTTGTTATCTTCACATCAGTAGTAACCTGTTTTAAAACAAAATCACAGAATACATTTGACGATAAAGGTTTGATTTGATATAACCAAACAATGTGCATGTATAGATCAACAACTCTCATATTGCACCATTGCACGTTTTTTTTGTAAAATAAACAAAACCCTTTACGATATGCGTTACTTATTTTGTTATGAAATATTTCAAAGTAATAACATTTAAAATCAATAAATTCAGAAATCAGCCAGCAAAAAAAATTCTAAGTTTTCTTCTACAGGGTTCATTGTCTTTTTTTTATAAATAACATTCATAGGTTATATAACATACAGATAATTCTTTCATAACAAAGGAATAGGCTTCAACACATTATAGGCTTTAGCTTAATCATAACTTTTAACATAACTAAATTAGCAAATTATGGAATTTTGCTAAATAAACAAGGTTAAAGCAAATATTGCAGACAAAATCACATAAATGTCAAGGACATGATTACCAATGTCCTTTTCTCCTTAAGATGGTCCTAGTGAAAGACCTGTTCCCAATTAGTAGAAAATTGTTACAAATTTACAGATTCGGAATATGTTGCAATTTTGTTTCCAAATTACCTAATTTCACAACTTAAATTTAAAGAATTCTTTATTGGGCAAACATAAACCATTTCCAAACAGTGTCATAAAACACTGATTACAGTGAGTATAACTCAATACTGAATGCATAATATATAAAGACTTATGGGCAAAAAATCTGGTTGCCTAAATTAAGAAGCTCCCTTTAAATCTGCTTTGTTGTTTTGTTGGATTTCCAAGTCACACGACACTATAAAGGTCATCTGGTGTGCCACCAGCTAGCTGGATAACTTCCTCACATGGAAGAACCTGAAGTCCATTGCAGGATTTAAACCCACAGCAGTGAGAGGCAAGTTTAAGTTCAAGTTTTTAAGTCAATGACCTTAACCATTTGGCCACAGACACCCCTAAAATCTGCTTTGATAAATCATAACAATATTGTAAAATAGTTGGTACTCAGAACCACGCAATATTTATTTTCTAATGTAGATGGTGCCAGATACCTTGTACTATTCATCTCATACACTAGATGGCGCCAGTAACAGTATGATATTCATCTAATCATGTAATATTGATCTACATATATATATAGAGAGATGGTGTTCTGAATTTAATAAACATCAGCATATAGTCGAGAAATGTTGCAAACTGAGTCAATTTATTCACAAACTGTATCTATTCATAAAATTGGTTTAAAGTTAAAAAGACTGTGTGCTGTCCTGAACACACATGACAGGAACTGCATAAATAAATGATTTACATGAGGGAAAAAAATATAATATTATAAACATTTAAACATAACATAAATAAACAAAGAGCACTATTTTGGGCATAGCACAGATTTCTGATCTTTTTTTTTACATACAACCTAATTTCCGAAGGTTGAGCAGTGACATTTATTCAACAAAGAGGTTTTTTTCGTATATACATCAAAATTTTCCTACAAACTCGACTAATTCTCCATTGTAACACGCTAATATCACTAGTGTGTTAACACATACTGTGTAATTCTATTACACACACATACATTATATGTAACAAAGTTACACATGCACTGTCATATATCTGCAAATCTATCAACAAAACAACTTGGTACTTTGTCAACCAACAAAAACAACTAAGTTCTATTTATATGAAATTGCAATTTCTTAAATTTATTTGTTTGCTATCCCCACCACCCACCTATCAATGTGCCTTTAAAATAGAAATTTCAAAATGTAGAAAATACTCCATTAATACTTCAGGCAGTAAATGTCTTTGAAACCATAATTTCTTTCCTTAACATTTCTACTTACTGGACAATCGTAATTGTTTCAAAATCTTTAACAATGACTCAGCATTACTGTTTGAAGTCATCATTGCTCGCATCATTTCAATTAACTTATTACAAAAAGAGAAAAACAAATAATGCAACACAATATATGGACAAATCTAAAGCTGTAGCGATTAAAATATAGAACACTTATTTCATCTTTTTAAGTAATAAATTGAAATACTGATACAAGTTTTAAATATCTGAAGGATAAAATTTTTAAAATTTAATTTATTCTAATAAAAATAGGAAAATCATCTAAATATCTAAATGCAAAGTGAATATTTATCACATATGTAAAGAATCAAATAAAAAATTGCAATCTTCAGATCGAAAAAAAATCATTTGATAAATAGGAAAAAACGAATTTTCAAAAAATTGATTTTAGGCCATAAAAACAGTATTTGACCAGGGTTAAAATTAAAATGCCCTTTAGATACTTTTCTAATGATTCTTGCTATGATTTTAAAATAGTTTGCAAGATACTTCGGGAGATTTCATACTTTTGAAATAATAGTTATTACCACCATCAATATTTGTGCATAACTTATTTAACTATATATCACAAAGACATAGGGAAGGCAAAATTAATAGAACACATGTCTTAACCCACTATCTATAATCTCATGAATATTACTTTGACAATAATTTAACAATATACTTATGTTGTTTTATAGCTCAATTAGAAAACAATTCTAAACAAAGCTAGGACCTTTCATCAACAGAATATTTAAGAACAGGATAAAGGTCTCGAAATACAAATCTGTAAGCTAAGGGACAAAACTCTTAAAAATCATTGGTATGTAAGCATTTCTGTAGTCAATGGTGAACACATGGTAGACGGTTGCTTTGAAGCAGTACCTGAGACTTCAGCCTACTTACACCTATATGAAACCTTGCCAGTGTGTGATAGTTGATCACTATTTTGTCTGATTTATATAACAGATCTGAATGTGCATGATTTAATTTGTTATAACACAATCATAATGGCTGATTAGACCGATTTGCAATGTATGATTGCATATGATTACCAATATATTTTAATAGCTGAATCACATACGCTCGCAGATGTTTATTATCATTAGCTTGTAATTTTTTCCCCGCGAAAACTGAACATGATTAAGAATTGCATTCGACACAACACTGAACATAAAGCACCAAATCATAATCGCTGAAATTCAGAGCTGCAGCAGTTTTCACCAGCAATGCAGTGAATATATCGTTTATATCTTCATTTATACATGAGCAGAGTGTTCCGTATCCAGATGCGATGTAGTTGTCTTCAATTTTGGTAAATGGCCTAAGTTATTGTTTATTCTATTACTTTTAATACTTGACCTATAGCTATGGTTCGACCTGAAATATAGTAGAATAATTTTTATCAACAAATGGAAATCATATAATAAAAACATGAATGTCATATAATCTACATATATTTTATTATCATGATAAAGGGAACTGAAATGCTCGCAGGCAGTGACTGAATCTATCCATGTGACCAATGCAGACTTAAGCTAGCTGTTAAGTCATTACATATTTTAACCCTAAAAATGATAAATTGTTTTGTCCAGAACGTAAGATTGAGATATTTAGTGTTGTAGCATTTAAATTTAAAATCGCTCTGGTAAAAAGATCAATGAAACGGAAATTCAATACCCACAAGTCTCGTTTTATGCAATAAATGTTCTAAAACAATGTTCAAGTAGTTAAGGCGCCAAAACTCTGTAAAGAGCAGTACTAAGCCCGATCCCACTGCATGGATGTGAAAATTTGCCTGGATATATACTAGTGGCAAGTCTATCATCATCTCTATAATCCTTATTATCACACAGATATTACAGGAAGTTCACTTACCTTCGTCTCGTAAATTAAATCTGCCCATCTGGGGAAAGTCTGTGAAGGTCTCCATACATATCATGCCAGCGTTCACTTGGAATCGAGCAATACCAATCTGGTCTTGCATTATAAATCGGGTAGGAGTCTTTTTACCAGTTTTTTTGTCTAATAAACATATGAGGTTTTTGATGGTCACTTCCTCCGCTACAGTATGAAGATGTAACACAGCACTATATCCCGCACAGATGATTGATTTGTGTTCCAATATCACTATCTGTAGGTAGTTTATATAGTTATATGTTAGATGAAAACTATAAACAGTTTTTAGGCAAATCATATTTTCGCAAATATCGCTAAAATTAAACAGAAAATTAAGATGAAAAGTTTCAAGTCAATCTACTTAAATAGCAAATTTCTTTATTGATTACACTTTGTGATACACAATACCTGTATTAGTATTAATAGCTTATCAATAACTGCTACTGGCAAATGAATAGTTTCATAAATTTCTCCAATATCAACACTAGAGTATGCAAAATTACAGAATAGAAATTACTCTGCGAGTTATTTTTTGTTTTGCTAAATACAAAATTATAGGCAAATTAATGAAAGCAACAAAACTACTACACGTACATACATTGCTTATTTATTAATGCATTAATTTACCACTAGTTCCTCTGAAAATATTTAACAGAGTACAGATATTTTACTCGAGTCTGTGAATTTCCATACTTAAACTCTGCTATTTCTAACAAAATATTGCCATATTAACCACATAAATAGCTTATATAGTTATATATTTTACATTACATCAACACAACAGGCGACTTTCCAGCTTTACCGGTGGAGTATGACCTTGGGTGCCCCTTTGTGCATTATTTCAGATTTCAGGTACAAACTGGTACTTGAAACACTCGCATAAACAGAAAGTTAAAATTTCTTAAAACTATATTTGCTTCATTGTCTATAAGCTAGAAAAAAGTTTAAAAGTTTTAAAGAGTTTCACCTACAATTATCTAATTAATTATGTGATAAGAAAAACAATTTACTTACCTTTGCATCAAATATTCTACCTGTATTACAAGGGGCATCTAAAGCACATATCACAAAGCCAGGTGAAACATCCTGTAATAAAATGTAAACATTAAAGAATTCTTCCAAGAAATATCTAATAAAGGCAGTTTTCTTTTTTGTGATTAAATGGCAACGTTCTAGATTGACTAGCAAGAGAAGACCTTTGGTGTCTCTCCATGAGTTATTTATAAGCCTGAGAGACACCATAACTAGAATCATGAAAAATTCCATTAACTAGTCAGATAATTTTGAAGGAATGCAAAGACCCTGGCTGGATTAAAACCAACAATAGTAAGGGACAAATGAATAAAGTCAGTGACTCACCCGCAGATGCCTCAACCCTTACTTTCTGTGACTTTATTTAAATGTAAAGTAAACAAGAATTTTGTTGCTCTCTTTGGACATTAAAGCTGTTGAAAATATGTTAATATTCACAAACTCATTATGTATGTTTATAATTTAAGCTTATCAGTTCATAAAATATACCACACTGTAGGAAAAAAAGAAAAATCAGTATGAAAATCATAAAAGAATCACACAAATTTACTTCATTGAACTTAAAAACACACTGCCCAAATACTTAAGACAATTTTGTATCACTATAGTATGAACTGTACCTCTTCTTCTATTCCAGATACTTTACATTTGACATTTTCTCCAGGATGAACTTCATCAGTCTCCTCATCATAGGACCATAACTGCATAATCTTTACTGTTATCTGTAAATATATCATTATATGAGCCGTGTCATGACAAAACCATTATAGTGCGTTTGCGACCAGCAAGGATCCAGACCAGACTGCGCATCCGCGCAGTCTGATCAGGATCCATGCTGTTCGCTGTCTGTTCTCTACTTGTTATGCGGATGCGCAGGCTGGTCTGGATCCATGCTGGTCGCAAACCCATTATGTTGGTTTTGTCGTGACGCGGCTCATATGTCAATTGTTAATGACTTACTAAAACATCATCCATTTCAATATTGTGACACCGTTTCACTATTTTAATACCCTTTTGCGAATATTCTATCACAAGGTACACTGTGCTTTGCAACACATTTCTACATCAGCATTGATTTTGGATCCGTGGAAGTTATTATACAGGCAAAGTAAGTACGCTATAATCATATATTATCATCTCAAAACACAAATTAAATTATAATTAATCATTGTTCATAAAGTCAAATGAGTTGTTGAAATCTTTATGTGTAACACTTCTGGAATAGCCCCAATATATTGGTTACGAGTTGCTTCTACAAATAAACAGCGGATATGAAAGAATATACATACCCTGTTCGGCATGAGTAACATACTCTGGTTTTTGGAGCAGATTCCAGATTCTACTTTTCCTATTAAAATGGTTCCCATGTCCCTATATCTGTCTACAACTGGCATACGGAAAGGTTTGTCTAATGCTCGACTGATCGCTGGAAGTCCATCTAAATATTGAATTAATGAAGGTCCTCTAAAAAATAAAAATATGGTATTTTTCATGTTAAATAATGATAAACAGTACTTACAGAACTGGAAGTAACAAAACTTTAAAAGATACATTCTGTCTAAATTTCAAACTGCAAGAAATGTTTTAAACTTTGTAAGCATGACACAAAACATGTTTGCATTTGACAATATTAAATATGTATATGGGTTAAGAAAATCACTTAACAGTAATAGATATGTATATAACTTAGTATATACTAGAAAGCCGATTAATTAATTTTTATGTTATTGCTTAAAATGATGGTTTGAAATTAGGATTATATCTAGACTACTTCAAACTTTTGCTCAAACTATATAAACCATAGAAATGTTAGTGTGTGTTCTGGACAACAAATAATGAAGAATTTCATGATAAAATCATTTTGTCTTCTTTAAAATAATGCCCTTACCTGTACCAAGGACAAAGATCTTCCGGAGGGACATCTCGTAGAAAAGCTCCTGTTAAACCAGATACTGGGAAAAATATTAGATCTGTTTTAGGGTTAAAGCCGCACTTCTTTAGATATGGAATAAGTTTATCTTTGCATTCATTGTACCTGTAAATATGAATAATTGGCATAAAAATTCTTTGATTAATTTAGTAGACAGATACATTAGGAGAAAATACAACATAAACAATGCAAGGTCACTGCAGGCACTAATTACATTTTAATTAAAAGAGAGAAAGTGGAAAATAACTAACTAGTATTTACAAATTTCTCCACAAGTGACCAACTACTTATCTCACAATTTAAATTTTCTAAGAAAAAATTTTGCCTTGTCCCTGAATCAAGCAGTGACCCCAATATTACAAATTTGATGCTCTCCCCATGGAGCTAAACAGTCAGACATAACAATCCGAAGGATAAAAGAATACCATAAACTGATTAAAATAATTACATACCTTTCTTCCGCCCACTCTACTGTTGGGTCATCCATTTTATTTATAACAACTACTAGTTTCTTGACTCCTGCAGTTTTTACTAACATAGCATGTTCTCTGGTCTGACCACCTCTCTCAAACCCTGTTTCAAATTCTCCCCTTCTTGCAGATATCACCTGTAAATATTAAATTAACAGTAATCATGTGACATTTATATCATAACATAAATATATTTAAACAAATCTTTAAAATATGCATAGATAATTCTGTTTCAATATATAATTTTAACATGTTTCACCCTGTATCCTTATGAAACAGACTATGAAATCAAGTGTATTATTTACACAGTAATGCATTGAAAAAGTAAGGGAAATTTAATTCAATCAAATAATATCATGAAAATTAACTCTCCTTTAACTATTGCTACCTTCATACATATATTCAATAAGCATGTTACAATTGAAATAGAAATCATTTTTCCAGCAATGCACTACAATAATGTATGGTCAGCCCGTCAAACTAGGAATCATGGGTTAAAGCCCTAATTGGGTTACGGACCATGTTTCATCAAATTTTCATAGACCATAGACTAAGATCTTTTACATAATACAAAAAGCAAAGATATCAGTGTTCAATGACCTCATAAAAACTCGCTAAAATGATATATACACACACACAAAGTCTCACACCAAACAAAAGTTTTTAAACTTCAATATGATGATAAAATTTTACCAGAATAGCTATGTCTGCCTGTGAGGCACCACCAATCATATTGGGTACAAAACTTTTATGTCCTGGAGCATCAAGGATGGTAAAATGCTTGTTTTCTGTCTCAAAGTAAGCTCTTCCTACCTCAACTGTTTTACCCTTTTCTCTCTCCTCTAAATTTGTGTCTAATGCCCATGATAAATACCTGTCATAAAAAGATTGAAATTATTTAAAACTAGTATTAGAGATAATAGATTTCTTATCAAATTCTCTTCACTGTCAAATCATCAATCCAGAGATCCCTTCCTAGAAATTGGGAAAAGGATTAAACTTTCAGTTTGAAAGAATCAAGCACAATACTTTATCAAATTGAGTAAAGGTGGACAGACAACTGAACAACAAACAAAAAGTACCGTAAAATTCCTAATAAACGCCCCCGGGGGCTAAACATTTTCAAAAAGGGGGGCTATTATTACAACACAGTTTTTCCTAAATAAAACAAGAGGGCCATGATGGCCCTGAGGTCGCTCACCTGTATATAGCCCCCCCCCACCCCCGGGCCAATTTTTATCCAAGGGCTTTTATTTGTTTATTTGAACAAACTTGGTAGACACCCATAAGAAGATGTTTCATGCTAAACATCTAAGCTCTAGCTCATACGGTTCTTTAAAAGAAGATTTTTTAAGTTTTTACTATACACATATAGTTAAAAACAATGACACCCCTGGGGCAGGGCCAGTTTTGACACCCGGGCTTTTATTTGAACAAACTTTGTAGATATTTACTTAAAGATGTTTCATGCTGAATATCTAAACTCTAGCTATTTGGGTTTTTTCAAAGAAGATTTTTAAGTTTTTGATATACACATATAAGGAAAATCAATGACCCCCCCGGGCGGGGCCAGTTTTGACCCCAGGGCTTTTATTTGAACATACTTGGTAGACACCCATTAGAAGATGTTTCATGCTAAATATCTTAGCTCTAGCTCTTTGAGTTCTTTAAAAGAAGATTTTTTAAGTTTTTACTATATGCATATAGGGAAAATCTATGACCCCTGGGGCAGGGTCAATTTTGACCCCAGGGCTTTTATTTGAGCAAACTTGGTAGACATTCACTAGAAGACATTTCATGCCAAATATCTAAGCTCTAGCTCTTATGGTTCTTTAAAAGAAGATTTTTTAAGTTTTTACTATATGCATATAGGGAAAATCAATGACCCCCCGGGGCGGGGCCAATTTTGACCCCAGGGCTTTTATTTGAACAAACTTGGTAGACACTCACTAGAAGATGTTTCATGCTTAATATCTTAGCTCTAGCTCTTTGGGTTCTTTAAAAGAAGATTTTTTAAGTTTTTACTATATGCATATAGGGAAAATGAATGACCCCCTGGGGCGGGGCCAATTTTGACCCCAGGGCTTTTATTTGAACAAACTTGATAGACATTCACTAGAAGATGTTTCATGCCAAATATCTAAGCTCTAGCTCTTACGGTTCTTTAAAAGAAGATTTTTTTAAGTTTTTACTATATGCATATAGGGAAAATCAATGACCCCCCCGGGCGGGGCCAATTTTGACCTCAGGGCTTTTATTTGTACAAACTTGGTAGACACTCACTAGAAGATGTTTCATGCCAAATATCTAAGCTCTAGCTCTTAGGGTTGTTTAAAAGAAGATATTTAAAGATTTTTCTTTCGGTTGCCATGGCAACCAGAGTTCTGCATGGAATTAAATTCTTTGAACAATTTTTAAAGGTGACCACCAAAGGAACATTCCTGTGAAGTTTGGATGAAATTGGCTCAGTGGTTTATGAGGAGATGTCATTTAAAGCAAAAGTTTACGGACGGACGGACGGACGGACGACGGACGGACGCCGGACGAAAAGCGATCACAAAAGCTCACCCTGTCACTTTGTGACAGGTGAGCTAAAAATCACTGTAAATACATTTAGTGTTGGTAATGACATTAAAAAATGTTAAGGTTTTAAAGTTCATATTATACATATTTGTGTTTACTATAAAATACTATGGATTCTGAATGATTTGAATAAAATTATGGCTTTAATTATGAGTTCAGCACTGATGAGTAGATTGTTTTCCCTATCAAAAGGCCTGGGGGGCCTTTATTAGGAATTTTACGGTATATATTTAAGAACTTCATTCAATTAATTTTAAAGTGTACATTTTACAACATAAGCTCCTGCCAATCAACAATCAGTTATCAAAGAAATTCTCAGGATTGTTCACAAAACATTATTATGGGAAATTGCTGATAAAATTGGGATACATGGATTTTTTTTTCAATTGGGAAGCCACCAATTATGGGCCTCAGTTACAGAAAAGCCCTTCAACTCATATATGGTAAAATTGCAGTTTAAAATGGTATGAAACAAGGAAGGTAATCCCTTTAACATCTACTATTAACAAAAGTAGTATACACTTGTTCACCTGGTTAAAAGGCGTAACATTAGTGACACCTGTATGAAAAAAAAAAAGAAGTTAATTTCATATTTTCACAAGATATATTTCACTGACATGTTGATTTATTTTAACATTTTTTGCTTGTCATGCAGACACTGATAAAGTCCAGGGCTTTTTTTCCACAGGGACGGGGCTCATCCCTTAAATTTCGGAGAAAATAATACAGCACGATAAAAAACTTTATGGAAATTGAATTTTCCCCAAATAAGGGGAAATATGCATGATTTTTAAAGAATTTCTATAGTGGGAAGACGCCTGTTAATGGCCTCTGCTAGAGAAGGGAGGGGGGGGGGCGGTAATCTTGATGTCATATGGTAAATTCCCAGCTTTACTTGCGAAGGAAGACAGGTATCTGAGTAGGAATTTATTAAAACTATGTAACATGTTTACTGATATCATCAAACAATTAATCCCATCCTAAAACAAACAAGAAATTAGTGTTCAAGCTTGGTCAGACTTGATGCACAAATATAATTCTTGATTGTTTACAATGATATTAAAACAGCTTTTCTGGCAGCTTGCCAATTTCATTCCATCAAAATATTTGCAAAAATATTAACACTGTTTAATTTTTTTATTTATTCCTCATTAACTTTGGGAGGTTAATTGCAGAAATTGGAAGAGGAGGGAAGTCACATGCCAGATGCTTACTTTTTCATACAGAAAAACAATCAATGACAATTTTTTTCTTAAAGAGGTGAGCAATACTACATACCAAAGTAATGTTAATATTTACCAAGTTTCTCTGTTTTTCTCTTTTGCTTCTCTCTCATATTTTTCCAGAGTTCTTTTGTCTACCATACCAGTAAGGTACCTACAATACAATCAGACAGTTTATTAATTTGGTTTCTACACAAGTTTATCAAACTTTTTTAAGTCACATCTTGGCCATCAATCCACAAATCAACTTTTCTGGATAACTAACAAATAATTACTAAATTCCGCTCCAGTGACAGACTACTTATTCCACAAGATTTCTGAATCAGCGGTGAGTCTATTAAATCAGAAGTTTTGCTTTTATGAAGGTTATATGTTAATACATCAAACCTCCCATCAAACTTCACAAATATCATGGAGCTTTGACTTTTTTTTAACAGAAATGTTTATGGTGATTTTCAAGCTTCTTAATTTGTGTAACCACTTAGAGCTCTTCATTGCTTGTTAACAGAATCAATTGATAGATTGATAAAATTTGACTGTAAATAATAGAGTATGGTCACACATATCTATTTTACACTGGCAGGTGATGTGGCTCTTGATTATCATTAACACCCATGAGGTTTAATTTCAAGCCTTATTTCATGTAATCTTCAAAATAAACATGAATATGTACAATATACCTTGTCTATCTATCTTACAGAGTTTAACACGAAAACTTAAATGAGCATTTAAAGAGACTGAAAGTAAGAGACTGAGAATAAAAGAAGTAATGAAAGTTGGTATAATATATCTTTTGTTTGGTTGTTTTGGGTTTTACGTCACATCGACACAGTATAGGTCATATCGCGATGTTCCAGCTTTACTGGTGGAGGAAGAACTCAGGTGCCCTTCCATGCATTATTTCAGGCACGAAAGGGCACCTGAGTAGAACCACCGACGTTCCGTAAGCTAGCTGGATAGCTTCCTCACATGAAAGAATCCAAAGTCCCTGTCGGGATTCGAACCCACAGCGGTGAGGGGCAAGTGGTTTGAAGTCAACGACCTTAACCACTCAGAATATATCTACTTACAGAATTTGTCCTCCTATTGTTGATTTCCCTGCATCTGAAAAAGTAGTTTCAAGGTATTATCTTTTTTTACAGATGTTTTGCAACATAATAAGCCATGCTGCTTTTAAAAGTTTTCACATTACCAAACTAAACATAGGTGTGTCCACTAAAGCCAAATTCAGTTAAATAACAATATTCCTATTGTAAATTCAAAGGTCATACATGATATGAAGTTTCTAAATTCTATATCATGTAGTTTATGATGAAGACTTAAAATAGAAAGGATGGTGTTGATATTTTTAATTATCGCTTAACACAACTCAACTGTACTCAAAAATGCACAAATTAAACTATATGCACAAGTTTAACTATATATGTATATAGCACATACTACAAGAAAATTTCTGAATTTAACTTGGAATTGGAATAGCCAAAATTATAATCTTGCAAGGAAAATTAAAATACTTACCAACATGGCCAATAAAGATAATATTCATATGAGCCTTTTTGACTTTTGGTTCCGACGAAACAGATTGTTTCTTGGGTTTCTCATCTGCCCCTTCTTCATCCTCATCATCATCTAGATCATCATCTTCATCTTCTTCTTCTGCGCCCCAGTCATCAGCTGATAAACAATATTATTTACCCATATTCGCTATACAACTTATGCCACTTTTTTTAAAAGGACCCCCGATTTAAATTTAGAAATTCTACATAATTTACAGTACACTTAAGAAAAAAAGACTATATTTTATATATCTGTCAAAAAAGTTAAAACTATGACATGGAATTTGACACTTAATTAACCATTCATTCTGGCAGATACCAGGTACAGATTTTATACCTGATATGCTGATACCCACCTACCAGATTCAATAGTTAGACAATGCAATGAAAAACTAAACATAAAATTTCTTCTTTATTCCTTACAACTGATAACTGCAGGTTAATATATCAAAATATTATCAATTATACATGGTACCACAGTGTAATGACTTTTTGAATTGAAGGACCTCCCATTTCTGTCTAAAATATGACCATTTCCCACATGCAATGATCAAGATATGAATGCTGCTTTGATAAAGCAAGATCCATTATGCTAAATGCACATTCAAATATTTTAGCACTGATATCACCGGAACTGCCAGCTATTTACAATAGTAACTACAGTTAAAACTGATAAATAAAAAACCCTTGCTGTTGAAGCAAAGATGAGATTTAACAGAAAAATGTTTAATCAAGTTTACAGCAGAATGAAAATGCTGGCACATTACTTTTATCTTATTCTTAGCAATACTGTCATGTAGACTTTTTTTTTTCATTATAATTCTACAGATAGAACATAATTGTATCATTGACCTTCCTTTACTTTTTTTTGTAAAATGAAACATTCACTCACCAACTTCTTGATTATCTTTTCCTCCACCTTAAAAAAAAATAACACTAAATTTGTCAAACAGTAAGTACTAAATATCAAGTAAATTCTTGAAAATTAAGTCCTTAGTTTTGACAATTACTCTTTGACGAGAACAAAAAGAGATGACTCTTCTTGAAAATTTATTTATTTGTGGAATCAGACTACACAATGTAACAAAGCTATTTTAGTTTTTATTGTGATACATGCAGAGACTTTGAGACAAGAGACTTGGCTTTCAGTCACAAAATTGATATTATCTATAGTTGCCAAGACTTACCAAGAACTTATAACAAAACATATAATAAGACCTTGCAATGTAAATTAAAAGAACTTGTTTTACTATCAATCTAAAATAAATACAGTCCAACTTGAGCTAGCGGTCATGTGATTTATCATATAACAGGGATGCCAACAGACAATTTGGAAAAAAGAGAAAAATTAAGCGCGAGGGGTCATGGGGGCCACGTAGGCCTCCCATGCAGGTCTAGGGCAGAGCCCTGGTGGGGGACCAGGGGTGAAGCCCCCGGAAGCTCCTGGGTTTTCATCCTTTTCAGATGGTCTAAAATGCATTTCCTTTTAGTGCTTTATTTTTGTCACAGTCTTTGATCTTCGAAGCGGTGTTGAGTTAATTGCTAAAAAATATCTTTCTTGCTATCGGCCGACAGTTTGTTTTGCTTTCTTCAACTACAGAAAGACGCTACGATTGGTAGGTATATTTAACACTATCGTTCATTTGATTACTATAATAGCGACAATAACTGAACATACCCTAAAAGCAGTATGGTCTAAATATTTACGGTACAGTCTAAACATTTACAATCGGCGGACAATAGACGGTAGCAAACTGGGCGAAAGGACCCCCACCCCCCTAATTTTCTCCTCGGATTTACATCGTTCTCAAAAGTGGTTCGAGGACCGGATCCACGGAAAATTGGCATCCCCGATATAAGCAACTAACTTGCCAGCGGATATAAAGAAGGCAGGGCCAAAACACCATTTTTGGGGAAGGGGCCTCAGCCTTTTTCTTGGGGAAAATATGCGTGATTTTGGCTTACTTTGGGAAAAGGGGTCTGAAATTTAACACAAACTTTTAACAAGTTCTTCAAAATAGAAAAGCAAAAAGCACTGGGAAATACTAATAAGGCAGTAAAAGACCTTAATTCAACACCAACATTTAGTTTTTTTCTAAATTCTATGGGAAATTTCAAAAGACTGGGGAATTTTGAGGACCAAACTGGGGAAATAAAGAGGCTATTTTGGTTGGGGAAGCAGCCTATATTCGGCCCCTACACAGAAGGGTTTTTTGGCCCTGGAAGGAAATACTGGCAACATTTTGCTCTAATTTCTGAAAGAATAAAAATTACCTTCATCTTCATCCACAGCCATTTCAGTGTCTGTTGGCGGTTTTGCCCCCTCAGCTGTAGGCGTATCTAAAAGAAGTAATCATTAGGGGTGTAACAATACAGCAAAAACCGTATTGCAATATATTGCCATTTTGCTGAAGCGTATTGCAATATATTGCAATACGTATTGTCATGTAAAGATGGAGTAACATTTATATATTTTTATTATATGTATATATTTTTAGTAGAAACTTAATAAAAATGCAAGGAATAAATAACAATTTGATAAACAAAACTAGTCGCGTGTGACCTTTCACATCTGGGCCGCTAATGTAAATTATGCGGCCGCTTATTGACTTTTAAGTGTATAGTTGTCGTATACTTTTATCTTACGTTGGCGCCAACAAATTCGCCAATTAAAGATTTTATGTGAAATTTGTACAAAATTAGAAGGTAATTAATTGAAAAATATGATTTTAATAAGATACCGGTTTTCCAAAAATCGTACCACGGTACGAAATTTGTTTTTTTATATTGCAATATATCGGTATACCGGTAAACTGTTACACCCTTAGTAATCATATAATATATTATTATATTACAAAAATAATTTACATAACAAAATTTAACATTGAAATTTTAATTTCTATTGAAGGCCTCTGTCCTTTGAAACTAATATGCTATGTAGAATATAAGATGTAAATGGATTAAGTTTACAGAAAAACTTGAACCATGTTTAAAGTCGAACTATTTTAAGTATAAAATCTGCCTCCAGTATATTTCCTTTTCCCATATGTTTTTGAATATATTTATCAATACGGTACTAATCAACCATAGAGTAAAATAGATGACCATTTATTTTACAAAATATTTAATAAATTGATGGAAATGGGTATTGTCAGCTGTATTAACAGATATGAAAATAAATGATAATTCATAAAATATGATTCTTGTTCAGTTCGCCTGCTCAGAAGGATAACTGTCTAAATAATAATAAATTGTTCCATTTCATTGCACTGTTTTCGAGATTGTTTTTAGACTTTTCCTTACATGAAATCTAAATTACTGAAATAAGCATATATGTCATGTGGTTATAAATAATATAATTCTCAGTGAAATCAAAACAACATTTGTCAATATTGATTATATTTTTGTTTCATTAAACAGAACACCGATTTAAAGGCACAAATTATGAAATAAATAATTCAAATTATTCAGAAAAACAGGAATAAAGTGTTTATTTCCTGACTTTGAGAAACAGCAAAGCTCTTTATTTATTATAATATTCATAATATTACTAATGGAAGGTTTTTACTTCCTATTGCGCAATAATTCTAATTGCACTGGTACAACGTCTCATTCTCAGCGTTCATCAGTTTTGAATGAAATATATCTAGCGAAAAATGAGGAAACAAATCTAAGCATCAAAATATAAAAAGATCTGACTTAATTTTGTTTTTGTACTTGTACTAAATATACTAAAGAACAATAGTGCGACGAGGAATTGTGTAAAGAGCATGAGTCATCCTTGTTCAAATAACTTTAATTTCCATTAACCACCACTGTATATACAAAAAAAACATTCCCTACACTTAAATATAGTCTATACAATACTGAAATAGACAAGTTCGACTTTAAAATGTTCACTTCAGTAACATCCGAAAATGTGACGTCCGAAAAACTACGCAATCACAAATTTTGGCAACCTGCCCTAACATTCCTTTAAACTAATCTATATAAAGTAGAGTATACATACTGAATATGTATGTTTGAATAAAAAAATTGTGACTTTTATTCATTATAATAATCTAAAACATACTTACCGGCATCTTCTGGCTCACCGGAAGGCACAAAACTGACTGCATATGGATTCTGTCCGGGAACGAACGCAGGTGCATTTATATTTAGGGCGGTCATGGGTTTGTTTAACTTATCATCAGCTTGATCCTCATTCATCTCTGAATCCCAAGAATCGGGGGCACTGTTTTGATTATTTGTAGAAGCCATTTAAGCAATCACTGGCATCAATAACAATATTACAAATGTTGGGCAATACAGCATGTGGACTTTTTCGTGACGTCACGCACTTCTCGTGTGTATCAATACCATATCATACGAGACTTCTAAATACTTTGTAGAAAATATTTTTTATTGTAAAATTATTAACATAATCAACAAATTATTTTTAAAAATATACATAATGATAAATATTTAACAAAAAATAAAAAAAAATAATTTGCTAAAACGGTCTGATACCACCAAATGTTTTGTGCAGTGAGCCTTTTGCGCGAACGAAATATACGTGCATTTTTAGATTACAGTTCTAAATATAGATTACACCATTCTTACCATAGCCTTTTACACCCAATGTTATTTGTTTAGTAAATTATTTTATTTAAAAAAAAGTAACTTAAATGGGCAGAATTGGTAAATGAAATATGCTAAAAGTCGAGATAATTTCATGAGTAATTGCATGTCATAAATTTGTACTAAAAGATGGTTTCGTTTACAAAATACAATATAGATCTGCTCGGTTTAAGATTTTACGCATGACGTTTTCTCTAAAATGCATTTAAATAGTTTTCAGTTTCTGCTTAGGACTAAATGATATTAAAGCATAATATGCAGTTTGAGGGGTTTAGAGACGTGACTTTTCCCATGTTTTCCTCTTGGGGTGGGGGTTTGATCCCCGGGTGCTTGGGAGGTTTAGCGCGAAGGGAAGGGTGTAACTCTCCAGGAAAGAGTTAGGAAATACCCGCCTATATGACTGAAATACTGTTGGGAAAAGGCGTAAAATGAAACAAAAAAACAAACAAAACTACTAGATAATTTTATGATATTTTTAATACACAAAATATTGTTGATAGCAAGGGACTTTCAAAGTATAACTTGAAAGTGAACTGTAGAAACATTTTTATCTGATGATCTATACACAGACTGAAACGTTGATTTTAAAATGTGCTCATAAGACGCACCTGAAGCCAACATTTGATTTGCATATTTCTTTTTTTATGATATATATATAAAGTTTCTAAAATAATAATATTAAAAACACAGCAAATTTACATATTTTATAAACAAACATATTCAATACGTTCTTAATTGTAGTAAAAATAGTAAATAATAGATTATTCCAACGTTTTTTTTTTTTAGTTTTAATATTTGAAAAGCTCAGCATACTTATGCCTGGGACATACGATACATACTATGACCCAGATTATGCTCAAATGTAAATTTATATCATAAATACACGTGTAATGTCATCAATTACCTATAAAGTAACAAACTTCAACAAATATATAATAGCATAAATAGTCAAATTGTTAATAAGATATCAATGTGGAGAAATAATAAATGTTTAAATTACTCTAAAAAAAATCTAGATACATGTATAGTACTGTCTTCAATTACCTAGTAACATATTATATACAACGACATCATAATTAACATGGGTTAAGTTTCAACAAATAATAGCATAAAATGTTAAATTATAAATAGGATATCACAATCTGTTCAATGTGATAAAAGCAATATATGTTTATTTCTCTAAAATATAGTATACATGTATACTGTCATCAATCGTCTAGTAACATATTATATACAACGTTCAACATCATAACATGGGTTAAGTTTCAACAAATAATAGTATAAATAGTTAAATTATAAATAAGAAATTATAATCTGTTCAGTGTGAAAAAAAATATGTTTATTGTTTAATACTTTAAATAAAAAAGCTTTATTACTTAAGTGTATTAAAAGGCTCTGATAGTCTCTGCATGCATACAATGATAGTATATTGACAATATGGTGAATGCATTTTTACCTATTATTTTCGATAAAGATTGAAAAATATTATTTTCTACATAATTTCTACATATACAGGTTCAGCAATCTTCATTTTCTCACATAGAAAATACGAAAGTGACCTCTAAAATATCAAATATAGAGTTTAATTGAAATATAGTGTTGAATATCAAATTATTAATTTCTGAAAATATACGTTTACAAACTGCAATTTAAGTACATTTTCAATTCAAACTCTATATATTGATATTTTACAAGTCACTTTCGTATTTTCAATGTAAGCGAAAGGAAGATCGCTGATATTGTATATAGAAATTATTGGAAAAAATGGGGTATAAAACTACAAATCATCATAATGATTTATTAGAAAATAAATAATATTAATTTCTTATTATATATACACAAACTGCAAATTTAGTACATTTTCAATTTAAACTCTATATTTGATACTTTACAAGTCACTTTCGTATTTTTCTATGCAAGAGAAAGGAAGATCGATGAACTTGTATATTGAAATTAGGTCAATAAATGGCGATTAAATCATGATTATGGTTATTTATTATAATATACATAATTATTTGCTAATAATATACGTCTACAAACAGCAATTTTACTGTAAAATTCTATTAAAACGGTACGATTCAAATTCTAAAAGTCACTTTCGCTCACTTTCGTCAAAAATCTCACTTTCGTATTTTAGGTTAACCCGGAATCATTCTTACAACTAATAAATTTTAGGTCTACCTGCTCCCTTCACAGCTCACGTTACAGAAAGTGAGCGATAGTGAAACATTCGACCGATGCGTCTGTGATTTAGAGAGAGTGAAAATCTATAGCGGTTGTTGACCTTAACTCCCAATTTCAAACAAAATGGCGTCGAACGCACTGGCGGCGATGTTGGATGAGTTGATGGGAAGAGATAGAAACTTAGCACCCACAGAAAAACGTAGCGAACCAAAATGGGATGACCCAGAGGTTTACTTTTAGCCTTCAATTTGAACTTTACTCTGTAATCAATATAGAATACGAACAACCTACCTCGCGAAAATATGTGATATTGATTTTTTTATCCGAATATTTAAATGAAGGTCATTTTGATATTATGTCATAGATTTTGTTATAATATCTATTTTAATCTGTTGTGTTTTACGTTCCTTCAATATATGTAGATGAAAAGAAATTATTGAAACATTAAATTTTCATTTTTTATTTTTTTTTCAGAATTTTCAGTTTCTGCCATTTCTGGACTAAAATTTCTTTATCAATATTTAGTCAAACTAATTGGGCTTGCCTAAGAGACAATGAAATAATGTTGTATGGGCAATGTCTCTGCTTAAGTCCAATTGCTAATTGTATTTTTGCATGTTCAATGCCTAACCACAGGTGTTCAACTTGTGACACATTTTCTTAAACTTACAGCTGGACAACAAAGGCCCGAATGACTAGTAGTACAAAATGGTAGTCAGACTATTCTCTCCCTTACCAGTTCCTCCCCTGACGTTTCCTCCCTGACGGTTCTCTCCCTATTTTGGGGGAGAACCGTCTGCATATTTGCAAATAAGCAGGCAGTTCCTCCCCATCTTTATTTTTATTATGCCTTGTTCTCATATTTTCGGGGGTTCTCATATTTTCGTGGCGTCATGTCCAGTTGTGAATGACAGCTCGTGCGATTGATTGGACTCTCCAAAAAAGCATCAAGTTTTCGCCGACACTTATTTCTATAAATTACTACCATAAGAATTCGTACTAAACATATTAAACACATAAATATAACTCTGTCAATGTCATTACAATTATAATTTTTCTTTTCTTATTTCTATACGTTATTTTCAACTACACAGCAACAAAAAAGAACAAAATACATATCTTCGCCTTAAAATTCATCACCAAAACTTACACCTAACTTAAACCAATGTCCCGAAATATATTGAGTGCAGTATAGAATTTGTGCGCGCGCAACGTAATTATCGAAACGAGGCCATCCAATCAAAATCCCCGAAAATATGAGACAGCTTCCGAGCGACACAGACTACCGATAGTGAAAGTAGAAAGATTAGTATTTCTTCCTGAAATAGTTTATTTTTGTATTTTAAGGGGTTCCTTTTTTGTTTGTCATAGTTTTTACTCACTGTTGATGTTTTTTGTCTTCCATTTACTATTAATTTAAAAACGGTGGCTTTAATTTAAAACATTAAACCCCCGAAAATACGGGTCAACGGCATAATACTATTAAGTATTTAGATGTTTAAAAAATGGATAAGTTTATTATCAAATTATTATATTAATTGATATAAATAAGAGAACAAATTTTTTTATTTGAGTACCTAGATGTTCAATACATGGGCATGTTTATGATAAATTGATATTAGATTAGATAAAAAAATATTTTTAGCATATTAGTAGTATATTATTCTGATTTTTAGCTCGACTATTCGCAGAATAATCGAGCTAATGCAGTCACCCATTTGTCGGCGTCGGCGTCGGCGTCGGCGTCCCTGTGGTTAAGTTTTTGTATGTAAGCTGGTATCTCCATAACTACTGAAGGGAATGGATTGAAACTTCACACACTTGTTCTCTGTGATTATCTAAGATGATTGGCACAAGTCCCATAACTCTGATTTGCTTTTTTTCATAATTATGCCCCTTTTTCGACTTAGAAATTCTTGGTTAAGTTTTTGTATGTAAGCTGGTATCTCCATAACTACTGAAGGGAATGGATTGAAACTTCACACACTTGTTCTCTGTGATTATCTAAGATGATTGGCACAAGTCCCATAACTCTGATTTGCTTTTTTTTTTATAATTATGCCCCTTTTTCGACTTAGAAATTCTTGGTTAAGTTTTTGTATGTAAGCTGGTATCTCCATAACTACTGAAGGGAATGGATTGAAACTTCACACACTTGTTCTCTGTGATTATCTAAGATGATTGGCACAAGTCCCATAACTCTGATTTGCTTTTTTTTATAATTATGCCCCTTTTTCGACTTAGAAATTCTTGGTTAAGTTTTTGTATGTAAGCTGGTATCTCCATAACTACTGAAGGGAATGGATTGAAACTTCACACACTTGTTCTCTGTGATTATCTAAGATGATTGGCACAAGTCCCATAACTCTGATTTGCTTTTTTTCATAATTATGCCCCTTTTTCGACTTAGAAATTCTTGGTTAAGTTTTTGTATGTAAGCTGTTATCTCCATAACTACTGAAGGGAATTGATTGAAACTTCACACATTTGTTCTCTGTGATTATCTAAGATGATTGGCACAAGTCCCATAACTCTGATTTGCTTTTTTACATAATTATGCCCCTTTTTCGACTTAGAAATTCTTGGTTAAGTTTTTGCATGTAAGCTGGTATCTCCATAACTACTGAAGGGAATGGATTGAAACTTCACACACTTGGTCTCTGTGATTATCTAAGATGATTGGTACAAGTCCCATAACTCTGATTTGCTTTTTTTGCATAATTATGCCCCTTTTTCGACTCATGAATTCTTGGTAAAGTTTTTGCATGTAAGCTTGTCTCTCCATAACTACTGAAGGGAATGTATTGAAACTTGAAGAGTTTGTACCTTTTCGGACAATTTTATGTATTCATATAGGTAAGCATTATTATACTCAATGAAACACCCTTGTGACAAATTTTCGAATAGTCGAGCGTTACTGTCCTCCGACAGTTCTTGTTTTATTAGATCTAACATATATTTAATAATGTGTTTAATTTACTTGATCATACATGTGTATTTATTATTGGGCACGGATTTATATAAATATAAATGTGTTTAATTTACTTGATCATACATGTGTATTTATTATTGGGCACGGATTTATATAAATATAAATCCGTGTATTGGGTGAGGTTTTTTATGCCCCCACAATGTGGGAGCATATAGCGTTGCACTTGTCCGTCCATCCGTCAGTCCGTCCGTCAGTCAGTCCGTCCGTCAGTCCGTACGTCCCGAAATCTTGTGAACGCAACTCCTCTTAAACCGGATGGCAGATTTTGCTTAAACTTACAGGGATGAACAACCTTAATGTGTAGATGGTAGTAAAGGAAGGAATTTTTGCTGCGACCAAATTTAACAGAATTATGGCCCTTTGTTGATTTTTTCACTAGATACTATGTAGAAATTTTGTGAACGCAACTCCTCTTAAACCGGATGGCAGATTTTGCTTAAACTTACAGGGATGAACAACCTAAATATGTAGATGGTAGTAAAGGAAGGAATTTTTGCTGCGACCAAATTTAACAGAATTATGGCCCTTTGTTGATTTTTTCACTATATACTATATAGAAATTTTGTGAACGCAACTCCTCTTAAACCGGATGGCAGATTTTGCTTAAACTTACAGGGATGAACAACCTTCAGGTGTAGATGGTAGTAAAGGAAGGAATTTTCGCTGCGACCAAATTTTACAGAATTATGGCCCTTTGTTGATTTTTTCACTATATACTATGTAGAAATTTTGTGAATGCAACTCCTCTTAAACCGGATGTCAGATTTTGCTTAAACTTCCAGGGATGAACAACCTTAATGTGTAGATGGCAGTAAAGAAAGGAATTTTTGCTGCAACCAAATTTTACAGAATTATGGCCCTTTTTTGATTTTTTCATTATATACTATGTAGAAATTTTGTGAACGCAACTCCTCTTAAACCGGAGGGCAGATTTTGCTTAAACTTCCAGGGGTTAACAACCTTAATGTGTAGATGGTAGTAAAGGAAGGAATTTTTGCTGCGACCAAATTTAACAGAATTATGGCCCTTTGTTGATTTTTAGTTTTCAACTTGTGGCACATGTAGTCCAAAAAATATTTGACCTAGAGTCATAAGATTGACAGAACAGTGGCGTGTGGGGGCATCCGTGTCCTATGGACACATTTCTAGTTTTTTTAATAAATTAGAAAAAAAATTATAAGAAAAACATGATTTATAAATTTTAATTGCTAAATTTCATACTTTTGTATAATGAAGAAAGGAGTTCAATACACATGTGCATTAAGTTTGCTGTCAGAGATAATTAAGGTGTTTATTAATTCATTATTCAAAAATCAAGGTGTAATCTAATGATTTAAATAACTGTGAAAAGGTGTTGATAAACAAATATTTAAATTAGTTATTTGGTAATATATATTGTTTCATGTCAATGACTACATGTTCTTTAATCAAATTTGTATATAAAAGTAAATGTGAATTTATTTTATTTCATTTATGTGATTGCATACCAGTTGTTGCTTATTTATTTTCTATAACATACTTGTTACCACCTTATTCGCTATTTAACAAATTAATGAATATCCCTAGACCTTAACATAATGACAGGTGTATGTATATCAGTCACTGTCCAATAATCTTAACCTCTCACAATGAAGGTGTTAATAGGATTAAAATATCTGAAAAAGGTGTTAAATTTACAAACACTTTTCTTAATCAAATACACACTTTTTTACTTAATATCAAATACATTCTTTTAAAATCTTCAAGAAATATTATGAGATTAAGTCAAAACTAAAATGATAACTTACAAATAAAAATTGGGGGAGAACTGTCTGCATATTTCAAATTTGGGAGAGAACCGTCAGGGGAGGAAACGGTTTGGGAGAGAACCTGGTAAGGGAGAGAATAGTCTGTCATTCGTACAAAATTGATGCAAAAATAATCTAAAAATAAATGACCAATCAGAAAACAGTTCACCAAAGTCAAGGTTTACTGGAAATAATAAGTTATTTTAGATGTAAATTGACAAGCATGATGAAAACATTGTAGAACCATAAAGCCGTCTAGTTAGCCCAATAAGTATGCTTTTCTCTCGTCGATTCGTGACTCTTATTTGGAAAAAATGCACTTGCACAACAAATATCAGACATAGATACAGTTCAATTAGTGCATTTGTTAAATAAATTCATTAGCTAAAAGTTCAGAAACTTTAAATTACTTCTAAAAACAACCACTCAAAGATTAGAGCATCTGAACATGTCAACCATGACTGTCTTGCTCAGCTGGACGGTTACCCATCGATTCGTGAAATCCGATTCACCCTGTGACGTCATCAAAAAATAGGTGCTCACACCACTAAATGTTCGCATGGTTATTTTCAGTCCGATCTGATCAATATATGTTTCAAAGTCTTAAGTAAATTCTTACAGCATAATGAATATTTTTTTTGGCTTAATTGTAAGTGTGTTTGATAAATTAAAACATCAATATCTAATATTTTAAAGTAATTAGGTCATCAGTTGATTGTAGGGTAAGCTCATTTACACCTGTTCAATTACGCATTTTGATTGGATAGAATTGTCAAATCGAGTGTCTAATAACACTTGTGTAGTTTTCGGATGGTGTATGTCCTTGCAGAAGTATTTATACCAGACAATTATTTAGGTCACGAATCGATGAGAAGGCACGAATCGATGAGAATAAGGCATAGAGCGTTGGACTGTGAATCGGGTGACCCAGGTTCGATATCCAGACAGTGCAAGTCACTTTGGTTGTGATTGTTCATGAAATCTTTTTTTTTTTGGTCATTAGCACTGTACCTTTTTTCTGGTGTTTACAGAAGTTTCAGTTCCTTGCAAAAGTGAAGGCAACTAGGACTGTAGTAGAAGTACTGGTAAACTGCTTGACAGCCTGCCCAGGAATGATATGGTGGCTGAACTGTGCTCTGGTAAATTCAATGTGGCTTACTGCTGTGATCCGAGTGAAAACTACCAACACCACCACCATTATACTAATTTATAGAACCATTTGTCTGTTTCAAATACATATCTATATAATCATGTCTAATTAAATCAATAAAAAAAAAGATAGATATATAAAATAGATAAGCCTGAGAAGACAAAATCGTGGTTGTCCTGTTCAACAAGATCCTGTGTAATTTTAAATATTTTTGTTTGATTTTCAAAAACTTGGTTTAGATTTTTAAAATAATGATCATTCTAAACCATGGAAACTGAATTTGGCACAATATGTGAACTAAATGTGAGAACCAAGGCCTCAAAGTATTAGACACCTGCTTTAGGGCAAACTATTGCCTCAATGTTTACATCCAGATTCCATAACTAAAACACACTGTCCCTGTGTTTCCTCAAGCTTATATGCATGTAAAAATAATAATTTTAAAACTGCTGACTGCCAACAACTTCATCCACGGTCACATATGGAATGCACACAGTCACTGTCCATGGGGCAAGTTGACATCCTGTTTTCTTTCCGTGTAATATAGAGCTTTATGTTACTGGGTATGTGAATAGAGGGCCATATGAAGTTATGCATGTCCAGCGGAAATAGGTCTAGGGTCTTTTGAATTGTGTAAATTAATACAATTATGCCATTGTACGTGAATAAGTCCTATTTTGTATTGTTAAAATTAAGCTGTTCTATAAATATGATAGTATCTGGATAACAGCGTTTTTATTCTCTACTTTGGGAATGGTGCCGGTACCAGACTGATTGGGAAAAAATGCGTTATTTTGACTTAAATTGGGAATTTTTTTAATGCATTTTTTTCAGCTACAAATAAAATTAGTTAATGAATAAAGATAGCTAACAGCTTCCACTGTTCAGGTAGAACTATTGAGTGGAGATTTATGTGAATATGATTTAATGATTTCGGAGAAATCACTTGGCCTTGTGGGAATTTTGAACAGCCATTTTGGGAATTTAAACATTGGAAATTGAGAATATTTAATGTCTTATTTTCTATTGGGAACAGTACCGTTTTAGGGTAGTAGTTATATAAAGAAAAAAAACACTCGATAAAAACCTATTTTTTGTGTAATTCTATTAGATCATTGCTCAGAATGTTAAAAGAAAGTCTAAGTAACACTAACAGTCCAATGTTTTTTTTTTTCATTTAATAAACAGTTTCAAATCATGAACCCATTCACAGTCATTAACGGTCCTTCACAACTTTCAGACTAGGTCAGGCGTATCCAATTACAATTGCTGCTGTGTAATGTAGTCCTTATGTTTTTAAATTTTAGTGTTTGAATAAATAAAGAAAAGGTAGGGCTGATATTTCAACAGCATCTTATTTGATCTGAAAAGTAATGAAGAATAATTCCACTTATATGCTGAAATTCCTCCTGCTGAGAGTAGTGACCAACTTCTTCCTAATTGGATTGCTGTTGTAAAAATTGAACAACTGAACACCTGTCTAGCCGTTTCAAATATGTGATTCTTTGTAACTTGTTATATATATACATGTATATATGATATATATGTATATAAGTACCATTTAGCAAGTTAAGTGTTTACAATTAATGGAACATTATCTAAAATAAGTCACTTTTCTGTTTTTCAGGTTTGTCGATATTATCTAGTAGATTTCTGCCCTCATGAACTATTCACAAACACTAGAGCAGATCTAGGTAAGTTAAATAGTTTTCCTGAAAGTTTTTGAAAGTTACTCTTGATAATATTAAAAATTATTCTAAACAGTTGTGGGCATGCTGTGTCAAATATCTAGAAATAAAAAAAAAATCCTTAAAATTTTTTTTTTTACTTTTTGTTGTAACCTGTTAAATAATAAATAAATGTGTTACCTTGTAATACCTTGACATTCTCTGAAAGCAATTGTTTTTAACTCAACTTTCTCAAAGGATAATTCTAGGTATTGCTGTAGTCATGCAGGCTTAATACAGTTGTGTCATCTGTTGCCATCTGAAAACTTTTATCATTATTGTTTTATTTTTTAATGGATCAGTGTCTATTCTAGGAATTGAAAAATAGGGGTGATTTTCCCCCCTCTATTTCAAAAAAGGGGGCGATTTTCAAAATCAAAGGGTGCCAATATAAACTGCCAATGTTAAATTGTCTGCATTAAGTTTACACTGAGGCGTTCAACCGATGAAATAATTAAAACGATAATATTTATTTAAGGCAGCAGAAGTTGTCCCCCCTTAATTTTGAAACGAAAACAAATTATTACAGAACTGCCGCGATTGATTATAAAGGGATTGGCAATACAAATAATCGACCTACCTTTCACATCTAGATCGTAGCCAAGCTAGGAATTGCCTCATTTTTCTTGATTATTTACTACACTAAAATGGCGCCCAACTGTCAGACCTAGCACACTAGTTCCGGTCGATACGGAACATTCCGTTAATTTTTGTCAACTCACGTAACCAGTACCATACGGTACTAAATTATTATAATTAGCTTACAGTTACCTCCCTTCGGTTTTCGGTGTAAATGTAAACAAAACAACCAAATATAATGCGGGATGGAAGTTTTACGGTTTTATTAACTTTTTTTATAGATGCGCGATTTTCACGCACATGATTTTGAATTGTGCGCGATCTGTGAAATACTAGCGTCAATCGCGCGTCCTAGAATAGACACTGATGGATTGTCTTCATACTTGGACACAACAACCTTTTGGACAAGACCATCAAGTTGACCAGACTAAATTTGACCTTGACTCATAAATGACCTTGATCTTCAAGAACATGTTTGAATTTTGCTATAATCAGGGGTGGCAATATCATTTGTCCGTATTGCTCAGGTTGTCCCACAGCCTGTACAAACAAGTGGAAATTTTCAAGAATTTATTACATATTATACAGACAAGTTAAAAAAATTTAATGCTTTGTTTGCAATAAAGTCTTTTGTTGAGTTTTGATTAGATTTTTTTCTTCATTTTGATAAGAGCTGTCATTGATTCAGTGCAAAGCATATCAACGATATATCGATATCAGATGACTAAAATCAACGATACACCGATATATCGATAATAACCTATAATTACTTGTCTGTCATTCACTTTCATACCAGTTTAAATTATTTCAGTTAAAAACATGTTCTGTACAGTGTATTGTCCACTGCATTTTTTTTCCAGACAATATTTTTTGTCACCATTGCTATGAAATATTTCCAATATTTAACAAAGCATAACATTAGACATAAATAACTGTTCTGTATATGTTTTGGGTGATTTTTATATAATTTCTAGACATTTAATTAATTAGTCAAAAGTATCGATTTTTTGAAATGTGTATCAATTATTGATCGGCAAAAAAATATCAACGATACATCGATATTGTCTCTATCGATGACAGCTCTAATTTTGATAGTGTAGATGTGATTTAAAAGTGTATCAAATAAAAAAGATATATAGATTAAATGATATGTTTGTGTATTTAAACAAAACTGTTTATTATTTTACAGGACAGTGTGAAAAGATACATGATGATCACCTTAGAAAAGAGTAAGTTGAGAATATGTTAAAACTTATGAATTGTTTAACATACATAAATTAGCAGCCAGACTAGGCATCAAATGTAAAACCTACCATTAATTTTATATTCATTTATCTTCTGTTAAAAGAATAATTGTGATTTGAATTAAAAGCAAATGAACATATCTCCTCTGTTTTATATGGATTTAACAAGAGTTCTGCTAAGGTAATGAGGTTGTGTTGTGTTTAAAATCATATTTTGTTAATCAGCTGAGGTGGGACTAGGTAGCAGCATACAGGCCTATTATATGAAATACTGTTTTCAAAATATTTTGTGTAGGGAATGGGACTTGGAATAAAGCTTGTAGCTTAGAATTTTGGCAAGGGGAATATTGATGTCCAATAGTCTTTATTTATTTCTTGGGAGAAATTTTAACAGTAAGGAAATTATCAGGAAAAAATATTTTATTGAGTTTGTTGAAGGTCGTAAATCTTAGATGTTACCAAATTTTATCATATGACATGTTTTAAGAATACTTTGTTCAAGATAGAAAGATATTGATGCTATGTACTTTTCATTTTTCTTGGTACCACGAAAGATACAAGAAAAGTTCAAGAGTTGGCCGTCTTGGTTATGAGGAAGATTTTCTACGGTACTTACAAACATTGATCAATGACGTAGAGAAAAGAATAAGGAGAGGGCATCAGAGGCTTGCCCTGAATAGTATGCAAGGAAATGTAAGTTTATTTAACCCTTACCATGTTAAATACGTGTATCTTAAATGGACTTGTCTATCTTCAATCCTGGATCAAATCAATTATCATTTTTGGGGGAAATTTTAAAATATGTACTGATTAAATATAGCAAATAATGCAGACCATGATCAGATGACACAGATGTATTGGCTGACCATGGTCTGCACTGGCAGCCTGTGTAGAATCAGTTGCCACCACCAGGCTGATGGTTAACTTGTGTAATGGTTCTGCTAAAAGCCCCATTGATGTTTAGGACAAAATATAATGGGTGTTAAATCACTTCATAGACTGAATATGAATGGCAAAATATAGATATTTATAGAAAATGATTAGCAATGAGCATTTTGACATGTCTTAGTTTCTTATGTCACATAATACATGTTGTACATATAGAATTTAATCCTTCTTTTTTCTCATTTATACATACCGATTTAAAAACTCATTTGTAGTATATTTTTAATGGTGTCCCTCTGGCAAAATCACATTTTTGGACAAAATTACATACATGTGCATACTCCATCTATAATTTTAAAACAGATACATGTACAATGTACAACTTGCACTTTGCAATTAGACTGTTTTCTGTATATGAAGCGATATATTTCAGTTGAATGGAAATCCAGCCAGTCAGAAGGAAGAAAAGGTGAAAATGTTGACAGAGAGAATAAATGAACTTGTACAAAAAGTAATTAAGAAACATTATTATAATTTTATAGTTTTATTAAAAGCTAAAAGCTGTGTGTCCAAAATTGAGGGGGAAAAACTGAAAACTTGAGAAATAAGTATTTATAATAGATTTATTATTTACAAAGTGGCTTTTGGTTGTGATCAAAGTGGTAAACCACACTAAGTGAAATTATATAAATGTACATAATTATGCAAATAAAACTATTTTCAAGCATCAAAGAATATGTAAAATATGTATTGCAAATATTTGTGCATATTATATGTAATCATTAAAATATATGCATTCATTTCTTTTTGTAAAATTTGACTTGAACTTTATAGAAAATGAATTTTTATTACCTCCCTTTATTTACATGAAATGTTAAATTCGAGAATATCTTTATAAATATAGCTTATTTGAACCTACAGTATTGATAAATCTTAATTTGAGCATGATATTTTTTATTTAAAACCATAAAAAGTTGTGTTACAGGATCTTTAAAATTTAAAATTTGACATCTTTTTCATCACCATCATATTTTTATGTGATATTGATAGTTTTTGTGGACAGTATATGCTTAAGGCTACATTTAATGACTTCATTTAAATTATATATTCAACATCAAATTAGAATGGTCTGAAAATTTTCAAAGAAATTGGCATGAATTTGGAAGCATGCTACTTTAAAAAATTGAAATACAGGCACCTACTTGATGATCTGCAATTGTGAGATGATATTTAAAAATCTCATAGATCGGTAAACTGTAGCACTTTTAATCTTCATGGGACATCCCTGCTTCAATTGTGTAATGTTTTAATTGATATTTTCAAAGGGTACTAAATTTGAAATTTAGGTCAGACAGCATGGAAATGTTGGCTTGCTTTTTTGTGTCGCCTCTACGGAGTAGTGGGGACATATGGGGATCACTTCTCCGTCGTCTGTCTGTCCGTCACAAAACTTGTCCGGACTACTCCTCATAAACTACTGGTGCAATTTCATCCAAACTTTACAGGAATGATCAGTACCAAGTGTAGTTGTGCATATTGTCAGCATTTTCCGGTTCAATGATTTTTGTCAGAGTTATGGCCCTTTAATAATTTTTATTTTTAAAGTTTGTCCGGACTACTTCTCTTATACCACTAATGCAATTTCAATGAAACTTTACTGGATTGATCTGTAGCTCAAGTCCTTGGGCATATTGCACGGGTTTTCCGGTTGATTGATTTTTGGCCGAGTTATGGCCCTTTGTTAAAAAGGTGTTTTTTTTCTGTGTGTTGCCAGATACACAAAAGCTTGTCCGGACTACTCCTCATAAACTACTGCTGCAATTTCATCCAAACTTTACAGGAATGATCAGTACCAAGTGTAGTTGTGCATATTGTCAGCATTTTCCGGTTCAATGATTTTTGTCAGAGTTATGGCCCTTTAATAATTTTTATTTTTAAAGTTTGTCCGGACTACTTCTCTTATACCACTAATACAATTTCAATGAAACTTTACAGGATTGATCTGTAGCTCAAGTCCTTGGGCATATTGCACGGGTTTTCCGGTTGAATGATTTTGGCTGAGTTATGGCCTTTTGATAAAAAGGTGTTTTTATGCCACCGCAGCATCTGCGATGCGGTGGCATATAGCGATTCACCTGTGTGTGTGTGCGTGTGTGTGTGTGTGTGTTTGTTTGTTTGTGTGTGTGTGTGTTATATAGATTATATAGTGAACTTAAAAAATCTTCTTGTGAAAAACCACTAGTCCAATTTCAACCAAACTTGGCAGGATTGATCCTTTGGTGAAGGGCTTCCAAAGTTGTTCAAAGAATTTAATTCCATGCAGAAATCTGGTTGCCATGGCAACCAAAAGGAATTATAAGAATACATTTAAAAAATCTTCTTGTAAAGACCCAAAAGGCCTAGAGCTTAGATATTTTGCATAAGGCATTGTCTGGTACACTTTTACCAAGATTGTTCAAATTATAGCCCTGGGGTCAAAATCGGCCCCGCCCCGGGGGTCATTGATTTTCACTATATGTACATATAGTAAAAACTTAAAATAACTTTTTGTAAAGACCCATAGGCCTAGAGGTTAGATATTTTGCATAAGGCATTGTCTGGTAGACCCTTACCAAGATTGTTTAAATTATAGTCCTGGGGTCAAAATCAGCCCTGCCCCGGGGGTCATTGATTTTCACTATATGTACATATAGTGAAAACTTAAAATACCTTCTTGTAAAGACCCAAAAGGCCTAGAACTTATTTTGCATAAGGCATTGTCTGATAGACCTATACCCAGATTGTTCAAATTAAAGCCCTGGGGTCAAAATCGGCCCCGCCCCGGGGGTCATTGATTTTCACTATATGTACATATAGTAAAAACTTAAAATAACTTTTTGTAAAGACCCATAGGCCTAGAGGTTAGATATTTTGCATAAGGCATTGTGTGGTAGACCCTTACCAAGATTGTTTAAATTATAGTCCTGGGGTCAAAATCAGCCCTGCCCCGGGGGTCATTGATTTTCACTATATGTACATATAGTGAAAACTTAAAATACCTTCTTGTAAAGACCCAAAAGGCCTAGAACTTATTTTGCATAAGGCATTGTCTGATAGACCTATACCCAGATTGTTCAAATTAAAGCCCTGGGGTCAAAATCGGCCCCGCCTCGGGGGGGGGGGGGGTAATTGATTTTCCTCATATTTACATAGTAAAAACTTTAAAAAAAATTCTTCTGGCAATTGACAAATGCTAGAGGTTAGATATTTTGCATGAAACATTGTGAAGTGAACCTCTTGCAAGATTGTTCAAATAATAGCCCTGGGGTCAAAATTGCCCCAGCCCAGGGGTCATTGATTTTCAATATATACGTATTGTAAAAAATAAAAAAAATCTTATTGTCAGAAGGTACAAGGCTTAGAGCTTTAATATTTGTTAAATGATATCATCTATAGGTACTCTACCAAAGATGTTCAAATTTTGCCTCTAGTGTCAAAATGAACTTTGATATCAGCTGACCTAGATTTTGACAAAGTGTATTACATGTTGTCCTTTGATGCAGTCTTGAAATTTAGGCTGTGTGAAATAAGACCTTCACCACCAAATTCACTAGACTCAACTGCATTGATATATTCCTACTCTGATCTTTTATTGAGTTAACAATAGATTTAACTACTTATCTGATAATAAGAATTAGATATGCATTATTTCAATCTTCAATTGTATAGAAACAAAAAAAATCTGTTCCTACACTACTATTTAGTATTGAATTAATGCGGTGGCATAGCATTTTTTCTCAAATGCAATCTTGTTTTCTGTGTGTTGCCAGATACACAAAAGCTTGTCCAGACTACTCCTCAAAAACTACTGGTGCAATTTTATTCAAACTTTACAGTAATGATCAGTACCAAGTCTAGTTGTGCACTGTCTGTCCGTCTGTCTGTCCGTCTGTCGCAAAACTTGTCCCAACATGAAATTGGCCATTATGAGGCGACACATGTGATTACTGATCGCTCTTGTGTTTGTATGATTTCATGCCAATTTTAACTCATTATTTAGTCATGTCCATGTGATCGATCCACCTGACCAGCTTTACTGGATAGCTACATGTAACTTAAACTTATAGAGTACATTAAGCATTCTGAACGTTTTTAATGTACGTTTGCAGGCTGAGGAACTAGGATGTGAGGGTAAAGTAGAAGAAGCACAGGGTATTATGAAGCTATGTGATCAACTTAATGAGGAAAGAACGCAGCTACAGAATGTAAGAATTCTACTGTTTCATTAAAACTAATCTCTGACTGTTAAATTATCAGAAATATTGATATTAGAAAAAGAAGGAAGTCTGTGTTGTGACCCGTTTTGTGTAGTCTTGATTTAATTAATTTGGAATAGTTAAGTATCAAATGGCATGAGTAAGTGTTCATAAAGTAAAAGGGGAATCTATTTCTTGCAAATGTGCAAATAAAACCTGTTTTGTTTGGTTGGTAACCAAATAGCAAATACAGTTCTTTTTAGTTGTTTTCAAAGTAATTTATATGTATATGACATCATATGAGGTATCCCATCTAGGCCGGCAAATACAAGTTCAGTGAATTTTTATTTAAACAAAAGGGGGGAAAGTTTTGTCAAAACTACTTCATAGTGTATGAAAGCATTCCATAGCAACTCATACATCTGTTCAAATCTTAACTTATTGGTAATAAATGAAATTGCAGAATCCAACACCAGACCCATATAATGAGCCACTGAAGGCTATGGAAGTATGTACAGTATGTGGGGCATTGTTAGTGGTTGGTGATGCTCAACAGAGGGTAGATGAACATATTATGGGCAAACAACATTCAGGATATGCTAGAATCAGAGCTTACGTAGAGGGAAAAAGAATGGTGGGTTACTATTTTATATAGTGTTATGTTTCCTCTTGTTTTATTTGGAAGGAGCATTTAAAAATGTTTGGACTGTTTGAAATATTAGTGCTTAACAGTTAACTTAAATATGTTAAATATTTAGTGACTTTTAAAATTTATATAGTTGGTAAAAAAATGAAAACCAAGGTTATCTAGTTTGAAGATAACATCTGAAAACTAATATGTTGACACTGTACCACTCTTCTTATCATCTTGATTTACACTAGAAAGGCAATACCTTAGATTGTCGTGTAAAACACTAAATAACTTTGTTCAGATATAGAATAATTTAAATTTAAAATGTCCCTGAAGGAAGAATGGTGTCAATAAATAATGGCAAACAAGATATCATTTTAGACATGAAAGCAACAAAAAGGCCATAAATTGTAAGGTTTAGGAAATAAGTAAAGATTTCATGAAGAAAAAATGTTTTATGTTAATTGACAGCTTTGATAGTTATTGTTGAAATTATCATTTCAGAAAACAAAGGAGGAGGAAGAAGAAAAAGAGGCTAAACTTAAGCAAGAAAGGGAGGAGAGAGAAAAGGAACGAGAGAAAGAGAGAGAGGAAAGAAGGAAGAAAGATGAAGAGAGGAAGAAAGAAAGAGAGGAAAGGGAGAAAGAAAGAGAAAGAAGGAAGAAACGAAGCAGATCAAGGAGTAAAAGTCGTAGATCAAGAAGTAGAGACAGGTAAAACTGAAAACCACTTAGTTATTTCAGATATGTAAAGATTGTAGGATTGGACTTTGGTTTACCTGAAAATAAAAAAGAAATATTTGGAATTTATTTTCAGCTTTGAATTTAATTTGAAGTTCGAATTATATTTTAGAACCTCTTTTTATCAACTAAAAGCGTGTATGATTTGCTGTTTTGAAGTTAAAATATTAGGACGAAGCCTGATTAGATTTTATGTTGTAAGAACTTACTCAATACTGATTTTAGGAACTGTCCACTCAGTCTTTGTTCACATACAGTGGCCTTCAGGACCTTTTGCCTGCAAACCACTGCCTGAACTTCATTATTGTGGGCTAAAATCTTGCATACGGCATTGATTTATTTTCATACAGGGCTTTTTTTGACAGGTTTGGGAAGCAGCCCTGCCCTTAATTTTGGGGAAAAATTACACTGTATATTTGCAAAAGGGGAAGAAAAAACTTGATGTAAATTCAATTTTGGGGGAAAACTGCATGATTTTAAAGAGTTTTTCTTTGGGGAAGCAGCCCTATAACGGCCCCTACTAAAGAAGGAAAAAAGGCCCTGTCATATCAGGAAGCTTTCAAGCTGGTATGAATCAAAACAAGTGATTGAAATAATGCAAATGGTAGCACTTCGACTTTATGACCAAAACATTGTTAGTAGTTTTTAAAATCTCCTCTTAAAATAATAAACATGATCCCTAACAGGTTTGGTTAGATTTTAAACCAAATAAAATATGTAAAACATATTAAAGTAAGTTTCTGTAAAAAAAAATTAGGAAGAAGAGGTCAAGAAGTAGAAGCCGTCATCGACGTAGGTCTCGTAGTAGGTCACGTGACAGACATCACAAGTCACGTCGCCACCGCAGCAGAAGTCGAGATCGTTCTTCCAGAAGCGAAGACAAGAAAAGGAGGTCAAGGAGCAGAGAGAAAAGCAGTAAAAAGTCCAGTAAGTTAATTGTTTAAGCTTTGATTAAGGGGAATATATGCATTCCAAATAATTTTTTGCCTTCCTTTTCATTAAACTAGTTTGTCTGATAAGTTTAATCTGTGATGATTTGCAGGTTTTAGAAAAGTTATTTACAGGAGTATATTAGTATGCGATGATAATATTATCAGTACAAACAAGCCTTAATTAGTCCCCTACCGGTTTAACCGGAGGGGACTTTAGGTTTACCCTCCGTCCGTCTGTCTGTCTGTCTGTCCGTCTGTCAGTCTGTCAGTCCGTTAGTCCACAAAACTGGATCCCGCGATAACGCAAAAAGTACTGAAAATATTTTTATGAAACTTGATATATGGATAGATGGCAGTATGGAGATTATGCACGTCTTTTTTTTTTCTTCCTATGTTGAAAATTCTGGTTGCTATGGCAACAAATAGTCTGAAAATATGGCAAATTTAACACATAAACTGGATCCAGTGATAACTCAAAAAGTACTGAAAATATTTTTATGAAACTTGAAATATGGGTAGATGGCAGTCTGGAGATTATGCAACATATTTTTCTTTTCTTCCTATGTTGAAAATTCTGGTTGCTATGGCAACAAATAGCCTGAATTTCAAGATTTCTGATTTAAATTTTTCAGCTTTTTCACTATATGTTCTTTATTTCTTAAGGTGTTTACTTCAAACTTTAAATATAAGTTTCTGGTCATCAACCAACATCATATGTGACAAGGTTTATAACTCTAGCACAAAAAATATCAGTATTACCTCCCTTGAACTTAGATTTTTTAGGGGAAAAAATGTTGTCTTTTTTAAATAACTTCTTTATTTCCTAATGTATCTACTTCAAACTTCATATATATGTTTCTTATTATCACTCGACATTTTTGAGAAGGTTAAATACTCTAGCAAGACTATTTCCAGAATTATGTCCCCCTTGAACTTAGATTTTTTTCGAGAAACTGGTATTTTCACTCCAACTTCTTCATTCCTTATAGGATTTACTTTAAAATCCCACATCGTAATAATATGACAAGGTTGTATAAACATAATTTCCTTACTAAGCATGGAAAACTTAACACATTACTGTGATATAGACAAACTTATTTTATTATGTTTTGTGGTTGATATTTTCAAATACAGACTTCATCCTCAAATTCATTATAAATGGCAATACACAGGAGTGTATGACAATTAAAGAACTTTTTGAGGGACCGGTAGGGGACTACTGTATTGCCCGCAATACTATCAAATGCTTGTTCTTATTGTTTGGGACTCAATGTCAGAAGAAGTTGTTAAGGCCATTGACTTTGAACCACTTCCCCTTATTGCTATGGTTTGAATCCTATTAAGTTTAATTTAACCCAACAAATATGTAGTATGTATTTAAATATAATATTTATCAACAGGCCGCGAGAGGAGTCGTTCAGAAGATAAACAAAAAGAACCAACAAGAAGCAAGTCCAAAGAGAAGACAGACCGACCATCCGATGATGGTGATAAAGCAATTAAAGTAGAAGTCAAACAAGAAAACATACCTGAGCAAGAAACAGAAAATGAGAACCAAGCTTCTGACATGGAACCAGGGGAAACAAACTGAAGGTGACTTATTCATGGATATACAGGTAAGTGAATAAGTACTTCTTTTTCCATATATCATGCTCGTTTTTTTGTAGGTCACCAGGTAAGTGGAAAACAAATGATAAAATTTTACCTTTTAAAGGAGAAAGATAGAAAGAAAAAAAATTCAAAATTTGAAATTTCAAAGTTAAAAGGTTGGGAAATTCTGTTTGTATGTTGATCTTTTTGGCATTCTGTCAGGTGTGGACTGGGCAGTTTGAATGTTAATTATCTATTTGATAAAGTGCCAACATTTATTTTTGTAGTTTAATGATGATAACAATAAGATTAGTTATAAAGTATCTAAAACTAAATTGTTATTGTGTGTCTGTACACTATATATTATTACTAGTAATTGTTTGAAAATAAAAGGAGCCTCAGAAGTTAAGCCACTTGGATTGAAATTACTGAACACACAACACACAGAATTTCCCAAATCAAACATCTGAAATTTAAAAAAAATAAAAAAAGGTTAAAAAAAACAACAAGCCAATGACTAGTTACATGCACTCGAACTTCATTTCTTAGCACAAGGAGCCGTCGTGTGAACACAGCACAGTGAATTGATGAAGGACACCATATATGCAGGAAGTCTCAGAAAGTTTTTGCCATTTTAGAGCAAAATTGATTTGCTTCAGGTATTTCTAGCTTGTCTAGCTTTAAATACCATTGTTAATATGATTGTTAAATGATAATTGAAAAAAAAAAAAAATTCATTCATGTAGCAGTATTTGTGATATGAAGTGTCATAGTTTTGTTTAATGCAAAAGTCTTGTCTCCATACAATGTAGCTGGTTTCTTTTAAAGACCTATGTAGACTTTCAGTTCAGCTCTTTAGTTAAGTTGGCCTTGTAGAAACCCACTGAATTTTCTCATCAAGGGGTTGCTGATTTGATCTTTGGGTGGGGCAAAATTTCTCGGTGACAATTGATCACCATTGATTTGGGAAATAGAAGTCAAGAAGCCAGTCACATAATTACTGGTTAGTTCCAGGAATGACAACAAATTGGATTGACTTCTGATATATGAACAAAAGTGTGTTAAAATCAGCTTAAAAACCAGAAAAACAAACAAACAACGGTAATGAACATTCTCTTAAAGTGAAGCCTATGATGTACATTTCTTGGGCCAATCTCTATGAACTTTACTTTTCTTTCAGAACTTAAAAAGCTGTTTAGTTTATCATTTAGAAAATTTTACAGATTCATGTATAATTGATTATTTTCTTGAGAATTAACTTTAGTGTAAGAGAATTTTTCACAATGATACATGTCTGCATTAAGTTGACTTTATGTCTGACCAATTGGGGCTTTAAACCCAAGTTCAGACAAGACGTGTTTAGATTTTTAGAATAGTGACATTTATTCTAATGTTAATTGTTTCATTAATATTCCTATGTTTAACCTTGATGAGGTGACCTCAACAATGGAATCTATAAATAGAAACATGCAGTGAAATTATGCACGGAGTGTAGAACATTACATAATGTCACAATTAAGGAAAGGTATATATTAATAAAAAAAAAACCTGGATAAGAGGTATTTCTTATGTGTTTATTCAAAATGGTGTATTGTTTATATTGTAAAGAAAATGGTCTTTGAGATGTGGGCGCCAGCCTTCATTTATATGTCAGAGGTATTTTAAACTGTTAGAATCCGCTGTGCCGGGCAATCACCTGATATAGAGAGGTATTTATAAAAATGAGTAGTCAATTAAACAGGTTATATTTGGAAGCTTTAGATTTCATACTTACAAGAAAATCAGACAAACTATACATTCATATGTATGTTACTGAAATATATTACTGAAAAAAAATGTTTATTTATTGTTGGACGATAAATTAATCCAATGTTATTAATGGGTGCAATTGATTATTATGAATAGTTGGCTCTTACTGACAAAGAACAGGTCAGTATTTGTATGGAATTAAGAATTTTGAAAGGACAAGGTTATTAAAATTGAAAATCCATCTGTTTTAATATTATCTGATTGGTGGAAGTCCTGTCCGATTTGCAGAGATTTGCTTAATGAGCAATAAGCTCTTGAGCACATTTAAATGTGTGACAAATATTGAATTAGTGGTATGATAATTTGTCAAACTTTGGAAAGTTAATGAGAAATCAGCAGCAAATCTGCAGGGATCTCAAGTTATATGTTGAGGTAACAATGTTTAAAGCTTTGGTATATGAAGTAAGCCTTGCTGTTTCAGATTTTGTCAGTATTTGCAGAGGTTAGTGATCTAATTGTATATTGTTTTCAGGTCTTTTATTTGTACATGCCTAGTGTGTTTTGGGTGAATATATTGTCAATTATGCGTCACTTAAAGACAATTGTAATTTTGAAATAAATATTCTTTGAAAAAATATGTCAAAATTGTCAATTATGCGTCACTTAAAGACAATTGTAATTTTGAAATAAATATTCTTTGAAAAAAATATTTGGAAAACTTATCTTGGCATACATATATTTCTTTTTAATTTGAAAGTAAAAAAAAAGTTTTTATAAAATTATTTGGTGATTATGTTGCTTTGAAACAAGTTTTCAAGGGTATTTAGCGGAAAAAAATCTGTAAAATATGTCATATAAATAAAAAAATATTTGAAGATTTTATTTCTCTTCATTTTTCATTTGGACAAAACCATTGTGTATCAAGCTGACTTTTCACATTCTTTAATTGGCAATACTATGTCACACAAAACACTACTGACATTGTAAACTCCCCTTCCAAAGATGTCAGGCAAACAAGAGGTCAGTGCAAATTGAACCCTAGATGATTTTTATCTTTTTGTCTCTTTTATTTTAACTGATTCCTAACTAAACTGCAAAAACTTTTCTCATTAGATGAAGTTGGGCAAATAGAACTCTTTAAAGAAGCTAACATTTCTAGATTAAGATGATATTATATGGTGTAAACTATGTTTGTTAATGCTTTGAATTCATATTTTTCAGAATGTTGTTAAAATTTTCCTTCCACTGGTTACAAGAGGATGAAGATTTTGATAGGATGGGACTAAAAGGCTGCCATGGATTTTTCTGCAAGATTTCAACGAGGTACTTAAGAAGTTGATAAAGTTATCAAAAATAGTCCAATATATTCTTTCCTTGTTATGGATTTTGTATTACTTGCTCTAATTTGTATGTATTCTTGTTGGTCATTGTTGTTGTTGTTTACAATATTTGGTTTTACTGAACTATTTTCATTACAATAAAGGGATTTGATGTGCTATCTGTGAATTTCTGTTGTTATACATGTAAATTACCTGAACATTGTTGCGCTAGAGAGAGTTGAAGAAAATGTGAATTTTAGTGAACATTTGACATTTATAGTAATTACATACTTATTCCAATCTTGTGTGTCTTGGACATTAGTTGTGAGAAAGAAAGAGGGAAGCTCTCTTAGTAAAAGTAACTTACTAATACATGAGAAAATGTTAAAAGCTAAAGTTGGATTTTCTAATTTTATAATGTTGAATTGAATTATATTTTCCATCAGTGTTATTCTTAATTATTAAGTGAGCTTGTATTTAGGAAATTGATATTTGGTACACTTTATGAATTATGTCTTAATTGGAATGCAATATTGAACTATATGTAAATTAACAATTGCCTATGGTAGATTACAGAATGTGTAAATAGAAGTGAATAGTAAGATTTTTAAAAGGATTATGATAGGAAAACCTGTGAAGTCTAAATATTAAAAGGACATCAGTCATCTCCTCTTAAATCATATTGAAGATTTTATTCTAAATACATTTCTTTATTTTCTTTATCATTGGGTTGGTATAACTTGCTATAAAAGTATTAAGTGATTTCCAAAACAATGAAATTCAGTTGATACCTTTGTTTGTATCTAAGCTATGTGAAAATGCTACCTTGTTGTAAGATGGTTTAAATTTAAAGGGGAGACAATATTTTAAAGTATATATGATTGAATATTTTGCTTCTTTTAAAATATATTTGTAATGAATGCTATCATGCTTTATTTTGGAAGGGAAGATTTCATTTTAGGATAGGGACATTTACTTTAGATTTGTGCTAAAAAGGAAATTAATTGAAATATCTGTTAGAGTAATTTTAAGGTAGTAGAAGTTTGGGGGGTTGCCTATAAACATTTAACCTGGTGAATTTCATAAATGGACCTTTCCGGTGTTTACAGTTTTATGTAAATTGGCTAACTTGTTATCCAATCCCTACAGTGAGATAATGCATAGTCACTGGTTGACCTGGTTTTCACAAAAGAACACATGCTTATGTTTGTGATACTGTTTGTGAGCAGTTTTCCTAGCAATGAATGGAAAAGGTGTGGCTAAATGTTCCGCTACGAAAAAACGGAAAGGTCCATTGGCTTGTCCAGTATCAGTTTTGGAGATGTCAAGGTGAAAGTTGGTCAGTCAGCAGTATTGAACCTGGTCAGACTTCACAGAAGTGCATGCTGGCCTTGCGTTATACTGGTGACAAAGACTATTCACTTATGGTCAGTTAATGGTTGAAAAGAAGTCTGCATTTTTGCCCTTACTGCCCTGTGTTTGAACAGGAAAGCCCTTCCACATTTGTTGATATTTCAAATTTTTGATATCTGAATTGTTTAGGGTATTTTTTAAGTAATTCTCCTTTAATCAAACAAATGACTCAACAATTTGTATTTTCATGGGATTTATTCTTTTGTATGAAAAAATGTGTAGTGTTTAAATTCAAATAAAAAGAATGAATCTTCATTGTTGTTCTTTATTTATATATACATGTATATTTACTAAGCCTGTATTACTTGCTTTCTGTTTTTGTTTAGGGACTATTGTACAGCATCACCACCTGCTGTGGATGTAAAATAATACAGTATAGAAAATGAAACCATATATCAAGCAAATGAAGTATGAGAGAAAAAATATAGTCAAATATCAATAATTGTGAAAATCAGATCATACCTAAAGAGTATTTAAAATTATCAGAGCAGTTCCAAAAAGAGGTAAAATGCTGGAAATAGAAACTGCTTCCACGTGTTTACATGTACACACAAAAAAAAGCAAAAATATAAAGTTATGAGGTATCTTCAAGTGCCTATGTTTGCACTCCACATGTAATAATATCTTTCAAAAGATTCAATATTATGATTATTATGCTTTCCGTCATTAAATATTGTTACAGTCATCACAATGGCTTTTGTTGAAGGTATTGCCATAATGGATAAAATTAGGTGTTACTCGGGAAGCAAGTTTGACTGTCCCTATATCATGAGTCCAACAAAGGGAAAAATTGTAAGGAATTTGTTTGTTTGTTTCATTTTACGCATTTTTCCAACAGTATTTCGGTCATATAGGCGGGTAGTTTCCTAACCATCGTTCCTGGACAGTTACACCAGTACTAGACAACCTTCCTCCGAGCTAAACTACCAAAGCATCTCCCGGGGATCGAACCCATGTCAGAGAGGTAACTGGATTAGAAGTCATTGACTCTAACCCCACGACCACGAAGGCGGTTTAAGGAATTAGTAATAAGCATCAAGAACATGAAATTATAGAGGGTCCTGAATTTTGCACCACTAAGTCTGACCTTGACCTACTAACCTAGCTTAAGAGAGTGACATTTTGTCTCCCGATATTGAACAATCATTAAATACTGTTGAACAATCATTAAGAAATACTGAAATCCTTTCATGGATGTAGAAGATTGGCTCGAGACAAAATCTGGACATTTTATCCTCTAATGACCTTGACCTTGCATATATGGATTCGGATTATGCATGTAGCTCTGATGGTATGCATTGTGACAGAATTCCTAAATTTATGATGACTAAAAATGGTCCTAGTACATAGTATTTTGATCTGACCTTAAATTTTTGTAGTGTAAAACATGTACTACAGTCCATTCATGAACTCCGCGAGCATATAAATTAAAACCTGGAATCTTCAAACGTAGTTTTGCATAATGTAATTTAATGCAATGACAGCGCCTGACATCAGAAAAAATAAACATCCGTTTTTTTAACTGAAACAAAATTGCTGTCATTAATTCCTCTTTAGGGTGTTTGTCCAATACCCGTAGTGAATTTCTTTGTTGATTACTTGTTGTTAACCTCTTACTGTTCGGTAAAGCAGAAGTTCTTATCATATCACTTTTAACACTTGAATAAATTATGCTTATACATCGGTATCTACATGTATTTTGGCTATCTTACTCTGACAAAGTTAACTTCATGGCAATTTGTTCTTAGTTCTTGCTTACACTTTGACAAAAACTTGCACCATTTATTTTGATGTGTCCAGAATATCCTATAACCGTTATCGTACAAACTCTTCAATAATTTCAATGCTGGAAGATATCTATCTATATCTTGTTCTGGTGAGCTCATCTCTAAATGAAACTCCACAACAAGGTTAGAAGTCCCCACAAGGTCCCCGGAGGAGATGATATCAGGAAGTACTTGCCACTCGTAAATTTCTATATCCATCTTTAGAATTGAAATAGGCACCTGAAATAAATACATGTAAAGTATTGGAAACATTTCTTAAACACGAAGTACTGTGTGTATTATTATAAAGATGTTTGGCAAGTTACAAAATGTATATGGCCCTATATGCTTGCATATTTATAACGCGAGCCGGTAGGAATTTATAATACAGTAAACTTCCCTTTTAGAGAAAAAAGTGAGCAGCCGTGTACATGTACCAATAAAAAGCGACTTCACAAACGTGCAGTATTATAAAATCTATGATTTTTTGTTTCCCATCTTTCTTTCAAGTTACCATCCTACCTTTGAGAATGAATGCCTAACAAGGCTTCAAGTTGACATCCTAAATATTTGACAATCAAAACACCATATGATGACTTAATAATGCCGTGCAATTCCAAAAGGGAAGTAATTTCATCGTATTTTATTATAAAAACAAATTTGACTGGTTTAGTTTGGAATTATACAATGAATTAAAAGCCTTTTTACCCCCCGAGAATAGACACCCACCTTTGTATGTCCTAATTTCGACCGGATGGAACTGTATCGTAAAAGCTGCCACTTTTCCTTGGTCTCTTCGTCTCGAGCAGAAATTCCTAAATTATGGAAATGTATATTCCCTTTTGTAAAATCACCAATGTCCATACTGAAAAAAAAAAGACGCACGTCGTGTTAGATAGCTTGTGAAATACAAAAGATAGTGTTTTTATTGAAGTAACTTCTAACCAGTCACTATGTATGAAGCAGTACCTCTTTGATTCCATGCGAAAGACGCGCAGTTGTCTTTTAAAATAATCATGACTATTTGTAAAATAAATTATTTGACCAACAGATACATGTAAGTATGTGACAAACACTTTGGATTTGACAATACATTTTGGAGCATTTTAATACATAATTTTATTCAATAATTTTACCTCGGGTCAAAAGAATGGACATCGCAACCGTAATACTTCGCCACAGCTTCATCAAAACTAAAGTCGTTGTTTATTCTGGAATATATACATTATGAAGTCTTTCATCCGGCAGAATCCATAAGCATTACATAGGCTCAAGAAGTAATCTATATTCTTAATAACAAACTACTATGAGTCTATATACATGAACATTTTCATTAATTCGCAGGTGGCTTATTACTTTGATATTTATTTGACAAAATATGAGCGCAGTATTGGTATAACATATTCTTTTATTTTAGTCTCATCTATATATGCATATTCATGCATTCATATAAAAATAACATAACATTACATTCATGTGTATAAAGCAATTCCCTATATAAGAATTACAAGAGGCTAATGTACATATACATAAATTATATACATGTATATATACCCGTACGTAAAACGCAAGGAATTTTAAAATGTATATCTTAATACCCGAATGAATAGACGAGACAAGAGTCAGTTTTTGGCCTGAATCGCTCCTCATCACAAATATCCCATCCGCCATCTTCTATCAGGCCGAGTCGAACTTTACGCTTGCACATGTACTGTATGTTTTCTATGTACCTAAAGAAATTGAAATAATGAGTAAATGAAACTACCAGACTTAAAACATTAACGTAGATATACATGTAGATTGAAATAAAAACACAATGTCTTGCGAATTGTATGAAGTTTTACAAAAGAATTAAGGATGTGTATATAAAAAGTGAAATGTTTCAATGTCTTGGTCATTATATTGACAAAAGAATAAAACTTCAAACATAGATGGCAGCAACATACGTAAAAGGATATAATATTCGTATATTATACCCAGATAGTTTTCACGACTAGATACATATGAATCAATATTAAACACTAAACCCCAGATTAATACATCGAGTGTTTGTATGTCTGTCTGTCTGTCTGTCTGTCTGTCTGTCACATACCTTTGACATTGGTCATTACACGGAAGTCCTTTCATCTTTATGCTCAAAACTTTACTGTTGCATGCACCTTTATGAGCTCATAAACGTAATCAGAGTAATATACATATTTACGCACCTATGATATAACACTGCTAATTCCTCTCTGGACAGCGTTTCTAATGTATTGATGTCCGGTATAATTACTGTTTCGTGCTTTTTAACTTGTTTGATGAATGGCGTATCTATGTAGTCGTTAGGCATGCACGTGATTTTGTCGTCTGCCCGGGAAACGCTACTCTCAAACTGCATACAAAAAAGTGAGTTGACTAAACTGTTCTAAACTATTTTAAGAACATTTCTTCACTACCTTTAATACCAACCAGTCAAGAACGTTGTACATATAAGGCCATAAAACAAATCATGTTGGTAACGATTACATATTAATTTAACAATTATATGGTTTTAATAATGTATACTATTTTCAAGATGAAATCAATTTTACATAGAAAATGTTCATAAACATTTGTTTATTGAGTATGTTATTGATTCTTATATGGAATTCGCTTGAGAGTTAACAAAGTTAAGGGTCAATATTCAACCGGGATAAAAATCGATCAATTTTATCGCAAAGCTGCGATAAAAAGGAATGCTTATCCTTAGAGCATCTCTTTATACCATATATAATGATAACTCAATTTCTGTTTCCCATGTATAATAAATCTTGCCTGGTATGGATATTAAGGGGTTGTACCTTTATGCCACACGTCAATGATGCATTTAATATATGAATCACATGGACCTTGGCAAAATGTACTTAATTGTAATCGGTGATTCAAACATTATTTATTTTTCTTACTAACCTTTTTCTTGTAAAAAGTAAATTAAAGCCAGATATTAAATTCATTTGATAAATATTTTGATAATCTTGTTTTAATTAAAAGAAATCCACAAAAAAACGTTAAGATGAGGTAGCAAGCACGAGTCACAAGTGTATACTCGTATGTTCTTACCTTTTCTGAATCTCCATACAAAGTGTATAACAAACTTATTGCTAAAAGAAGTCCTAAGCACACACTTATATGTCTTTTACTTATTTGTATCATTTTATTGTATTATTCCTTTGTATTCATTCTTTAATGTCTTAAGAAATACTAGTCTTAACTACCCCTTAAATTGTTTCCTCATGATAAACACAAACTATTTCCAACAATGCACCATGTTTAAGTGACATAAACAGCTTAAACTCGAATGATAAAGGTAATGTTTGGTTTTCTTCGCCTATGTCAATATTGAAATGTTGACTGATAAGGGGTGATAAAGAACTTTATTTAAACATGCACTCTGACCAAAGATTATTGAATTTACCTGAATCCGATGGGATTTTCTGAATTCCTCTCCCTCGGAAAAATGGAATTCTGCGGGTATGATAAAATCATATGGTTAGCATTGATGCAATCCAGAAAGTATTGAGTATACCTGGGACCAAAGGTGCTGGCCGCATTGATTTGACCTAAAAGATATTTTATCTAGTTATTAATGCAATATGATAGTCATATTATTATTATATTCATGTTTTTGATGCTGTTGTTGTTTGTTTTTTTGTTAATTAAAAAAATCAACACCAAAAATCATGTTACATAAATAACTAGATTAAATATCTTTTAGGTCCAGCACCTTTGAATGGGGCAGTCCATTTCTATAGTCCCATATATACATATAGATGTATAGTAAAAAGAGCACAGTGTAGTCCCTGGAGGATATCTTTTATAACATTTTTAATAATTGTCCGCGCAGTTTAAAATATTTCTTTTAGTTCGATTGTAAAAATAAGTTTTTGCAATTTATATAAATCATTTTCAAGTCCCCTTTCTGGAATTTACCACTAGTACACGTATGATACCTGGGACAGAAGATAACTTTCTGTCCCAGATGATACCTAGGTCGTGAAGGAGACTTCTTGACCACGATGAGTGCTGATGCAAATTTTATGCTGGCATACATACTTAAATATTATTAGAATGGTAAGGTTCAATATTATAATATCATGTTGATATCATTTTATTACCATATCTCATATTGATGCAGTACCGCCTCCGTGGTCGAAGGGTTAGAGTCGATGACTTCTAATCCAGTTACCTCTCTGGCGTGGGTTCGATCCCCGGGAGATGCTTTGGTAGTTTAGCGCGGAGGAAGGTAGTCTAGTACTGGTGTAACTCTCCAGGAACGATGGTTAGGAAACTACCCGCCTATATGATTGAAATACTGTTGGGAAAAGGCGTAAAATGAAACAAACAAACAAACATCATATTGATTCAGATTTCTGAACTGCTAATGTCTTTGATATTTTCTTCAAAATTGTTTGTTTCAGTAACAGACACATTATGCCTCAAAATAAATATTGTTGTCCTTGTTTGTGATAGGCAAATGTTATATAGAGGATATTGAATAAGTGTAAGTTCAATACTGAATTTATTGCACGAGTTGAATAAAATATATTATGCGAGCCTCTGGCGAGCATAATATTAATTTATTCAACGAGTAAAATAAATTCAGTAATGAACTTAGACGAATTTAATATTCTATTTATCACATACCCAAAATAGAGACCGTTTAAAGTGAAATAAGAGTCATTTTTCATTGACGCTCCTATAGTATAACACTAACATTTAGCGCGTCTTTACACTATGTTAGCATAACGCTAATGACGTCACGTCAAAATATATGCACGGCCGTGCCATACCATATTTACGGAGTCGCAAAATCGGCACGGGTGTGTGATAAATTAACTTATATATATGCCAATCATCAGAAAAAAATAGCACCAAATGTGAATTAAATTGAATCAAAGGTAGAAAAATGTTCACAAATTAAGTAGTATTTTGACTTCCATACACAATACTAAATCACTTCAATTTGGTAAATATAGAATGCTCAACTGGAGATTCCCGGTATATGTATTCTTTTATTACATGTTTTTCGGTAGTTTATAGAAATATATCATTGAAATAAAAAACTAATATTTCACTGTTTGAAACAATGAAATTTTCAATTTGATAATTTTCACTGTTTTGAATTTAAGCCCGTTACGTTATTTCAGTGAAATATACCAGCGTGCACAGTACTGGAAACCAACTTACTGACGTGACGTTGTAAATGACGTCACGTTGTATTATTATTTGGCGCGCTTTTCATAAAACGTCTTTTTAAACGTTATTTTGCATATATTAAAAAGAAAATTTGTTTAGTTTAGTGCAAGATCGAAATATATTTCACATCGTGAACACCAAAAGTTCATATTTCACTCGTGGCTGCGCCACTCGTGAAATATAGCTTTTGGTGCTCACTCGGTGAATTATATTCCGATCTTACACTGAACTAAACAAATATTGTCTATAACATTTGTCAATGGAATAGAATACAGACAAACTTTAACCCATTACGCGATATACACGCCTTTTTCACCCCCCCCCCCCCTTTTTGTTGTCTCAAATGGTGAAAAAATGCCTTATTTAGGGGCCCAACACTTGTTTTTGTTTGAGAAATGTTGTTAAAAAAAGTGGCCACTTTTTCGGCGCCCCCCCCCCCCCAACCAAAAGATACATCAGGGGGTTGCCAGAAGGGGGGTGTGCCCCCTTCTGTTTGGGGTTTGAAGGGGACGGCAGTCCCCCTCATCGCCAAGAAAATTTTGGACTTGTGAGAGGCTAAAAATTACCCCAGATCAATCATAAGGTAACGTGTAACCAACGCTGAAAAGCATTTGACTCTATCTCAATCCATTGAGAAGTTGCAGCGCTTTGAAATCAATTTTAATGGAAAAAATCAACGCAAAATAGTGATTTTTGGCAATTTTGAGATGTCCCCTCGTTGCCATGGTAACAGGAAATTTAAGCCCGAGCATGTTGTTACAAAGGCAATGGTGCAGTCAACATTTGTGCTAAGTTTGATTAATATTGAAGCAGTTTTTATAGTTTTATAGCAATTTGAACTTGTAACGGGAGACTTTTCAATGAAAACAACCATTTTTCACAAAATGCTCATGAAGTAATGGGTTAAAACAAGGGAAAGTAAAGTTTTTGAGGCGGCTTTTCTCAGTCAGCGAAATTAGCGTTTAAATCATAAAGAAATTGCTATTGCCTCATTTAGTTAAACAGAAATCATAAGTACTTAATGCGCATGCGACTTACTGAATTTTCTTTTCCCTTTGCTTTTTGTCTGTCAACTAAAATTGGTAACGTAATTTACGACACGGAAATTGTAGTGATTACGTATTCGTTGTTGTACATGTATAGTGTGAGCGTACTGAAAGTTGACAAAGAAATGAGCAAGAAGTATTGCTATACATGCAATTTTACAGTTTACAGTTAAGTATAACTGACGTTTCATAATTCTAGCAAGTTTTCATTAACGCAGCAGTTTTTAAATTGAATGTTGACATGCTATGTACTTGACTGTATGATTAAAACATCCTGCTTTACCGGTCTCCCGTGCATTACGTGCGATGCACTTATTGATCCCAAACATATGATCGCAGGTGCTCGATTTATTGACGCATGTCAATTAAAAGTCACATGACTGCTCCTGTCCAATCGTAATTGTGAAGTTATGACCTGCGCAAAAAAGATGCGCCATAGAAAATAATGACAACAACAAAAATGCCGTCGGAGAGCCCGGCTCTGCCAGCACAAACGGAAAAACCTCCGCATTACACGTGAGTTTTTACGAAATTATGTTTTTGTTTGTTGCATGTAACATTTCTCTATAAGAATATACAGATGTCATGCCTGATCTATGCTTAATTTCTTCTAGGTACTTGAAAGAGTTTCGCACTCAGCAATGTCCGCTGTTTCTTCAACACAAATGTACACAACATAGACCATTCACTTGTTTTCATTGGCATTTTATGAATCAGCGGAGACGAAGGCCAGTTAGGAAAAGGGATGGTACATTTAACTACAGTCCTGACATATATTGCACTAAATTCGACGAAACAACAGGAATATGCCCTGAAGGAGACGAGTAAGTAGATTTCATTCATTCTGTTCAAATTTTGGTGGGAAATATGCGATTCATTTTATCAATAAATTGACTTTGTTACGTAAAAAACGCCAAGTGACAGTTACCGTAAAATATTTATTGTCTCATATGTTTGCTTTTTGCACCAGTGGCAATGTGTGAAATGTCTATCTAAGTCTGTTTTCAGTAAAAATTTGGTGGTGTAATTTCATGACATCTTGTAAACAATGTCGGCCATTTTGGTTTAGTTCGCAATCGGCTATGGCCTAGTTTTCTTTGTTATGAAATTTCTCAATTTTGTGAAATTTTACTGGTCTACCGACTTCTGCAGTTATATCAACTTTTGAATTTTACTATTTAGTAAATTTATTAGTACGTGAACGTTGCCCCCATACGTGTTTTTAAAAATAAATGTTTTGTCATTTTCTAATTACCGAAATTGATTTGTTGCTAAAAATAGATACAAAACAAAAGGCTGATTCAGCTCATATTTTCTCAAAAACTGTTAAAATTGTGTGCATCTTCACAGTAAGAGCATGAAGTTTGTGATAACTTATTAAGAATAGCATGTCTCCTGGCCAAAATTTATTGTTAAATAATAAACGACCGTTGAAAACAGTTTTAGCCTTGACCTACATTTTCAATCTTGTAAACAAATAAAGAAATTGTCATGCACGTTCCATTTTTTAAAGGAAAAGGCATCTTAATAGGTTCAACATTAAAAATTTTAATATGATATTCAATTAGATTCAGATGCTATTATATTGAAATAACTGTATATGTTTAAATAAACATTCATTTATTAAGAATTAGATGTATTGTTGTATTTTTTTTACAGATAAGCTTAATTAATTGTTTAAATAGGTTAATAAATGACAAATTTTAGTTTTTATGTTTATTCACTTATATTTAACATGATATAATCCTGATTTAGCTAATGATTTTGTTGTTGTCAAACTAGAATTGTTGCAATCTCCATTCACCACAAAGCATTGCCAGCATAAATAAAGACAAGGATATCTGTTGATTTAATAAACAGATTGAATATAGATGTTGTCATAAAATTTCATTGGTTTAACTATTGATACAGTAGGGTGAATTTGGAAGCCTTTCTCATATTTTGGTCTATTTTCAGATGTCCCTTTTTGCATAGAACTGCAGGAGATACAGAAAGAAGATACCATCTTCGGTATTACAAGACTGGTACCTGTGTCTATGAAACTGATACCAAAGGTCACTGTGTGAAGAATGGACCCCACTGTGCTTTTGCTCATGGTCCTGTGGACTTGCGGGCTCCAGTTTATGATATCAGGGAGCTGCAGGCTATGGAACAGAATTCTGATATATCAAGCAGCCCAGGAACCCCAAGTAGTGGAAGTTTAGAAAAGGATAGGTTGTTATTAGAAGATCCCAGATGGAATGGTAAGCATAGATAATTTGACCACTCTTTTTGATGGAAAATGAGCATAGTTCATAAATATGTCACTGAAAAAAGGTGACATTGAAAGAAAAGTGTCATCACTTAAAGAAGAGTAGCATCAAACAAGGTCACCATGTTGTAATCAATTAATGTGAACTTTAATGTTCAGAGTCAGTATGCATTCTGATTTTTCTGTATTCAATACAAAGTGTAAAAGAATAAGCTTGTATTTTTTTGCCATATTTGTCATTCATTTATTTTTGTTTAAATTATATCATATTTTATTCAGCTTAATACAGTTTTAATAGGTTGTTATAAGTGATAACTCCTAAGTTGCATCTGTTATGAAGTGCATCATAAGGCACTTGACAGCAATCAGTAACAACTCTACTGAAGTGTAGCATTTTATGTTTTAACATGTTAGGTGTCAAGTTAGAAATCCCATCTAACTACTTACAGCTTAATATTTAAAGGCCTTGATAACATTTTTTTATGAAAGTACTCTCACTTATTAAGATCTTAACATAAATTGACTGTTACTGATACTTAATTTACAAGGCATGAGTTTTGCATGTAACAAAAGTTCTTAAATCAATCAAATATTTAAAGAATAATGTAATAATCAGAAGAGGGGCATTTCTTTTTATTTCCTCTTAAAGATTGTTTCAAAGGACTTGGATATTGATCATTAATTTCTGGGTATTGATAACGTTGGTTATTACATGGTAATTTACAGTAAAAGCATGCTTTATATAATTATTGTTGATGTCATATATAGGATTAAATTACTGTCATGAAAGTATATAAATTCATTACACTAGAAGTTCAGTTATGACAGCTTTAGTTTAATTTATTAGAAGTTAAACAGGTGTTAAAATGTATAGCAATATAACTTTTATTTCAAAGGGTGTGATGCATTGATTTTTAGCTCGACTATTCGAAGAATATGAGAGCTATTGTAGTCGCCCCGGCGTCGGCGTCGGCGTCCGCGTCGGCGTCTGCGTTGGTTAAAGTTTTTTGTAAAGTCAAATATCTCAATTATTACTTGAGATATTCAATTGAAACTTACAATACTTATTTATAGTAACAAGGTACATCAGATTGACAAGTTGGATAACTCTGCCTACAATATTGACAGAATTATGCCCCTTTTTAACTTAGAAATTTTGGTTAAAGTCTTTTTGTAAAGTCAAATATCTCAATTATTGCTTGAGATATTCAATTGAAACTTACAATACTTATTTATAGTAACAAGGTACATCAGATTGACAAGTTGGATAACTCTGCCTACAATATTGACAGAATAATGCCCCTTTTTAACTTAGAAATTTCGGTTAAAGTTTTTTGTAAAGTCAAATATCTCAATTATTGCTTGAGATATTCAATTGAAACTTACAATACTTATTTATAGTAACAATGTACATCAGATTGACAAGTTGGATAACTCTGCCTAACCATATTGACAGAATTATGCCCCTTTGGAACTTAGAAATTTTGGTTAAAGTTTTTTGTAAAGTCAAATATCTCAATTATTGCTTGAGATAATCAATTGAAATTTAAAATACTTATTTATAGTAACAATGTACATCAGTTTGCAAAATTGCATAACTCTATCTGCAATATTTGCAGAATTATTTACCCCTTTGAAACTTAGAAATTTTGGTTAAAGGTTAACGGTCTTCAAAGATATTTACTTGAAACTTTACACATGCACTTAGGGTCATAATTGGAGGGTGATAATTGTATGTCACTGACCAAGTTCCATAACTCTATCTTGCATTAAGGCTGATTCATATCCCCTTTTCTACTTAGTCTCTTGGTTAATGTTTACATGCAAGTTTTACATATCTCAATAACTATTAAAGATATTTATTTAAAACTTCACATATGCATTTAGGGTCATAATTGTAGGTCACTGACAAAGATCCATAATTCTATCTTGCATTTTGGCTGATTTTTCTCCCCTTTTTCAACTTACAAATTCATGATAAAGTTTTGCTTGTAAGCTGTTATCTCAATAACTACTGAAGGGTTTGTGCCTTTTTTTGGACAATTTTATGCATTCATAATAATAAAGTAGTGATTTACTTGATAAAACATCTTAATAACAAGCCTTTGTACCTTTTCTGTCAAATTAATGTATTCATAGGTAATTAGTATTATTATACTCAATAAAAAACCCTTGTGACATTACCTTCCGAATAGTCAACCCAATTCTGTATAATTAGACTCTCTCTAAGGCCTATAACATGAATTTATAAAAAAAAATTAGCCCTTTTGTGAACTTAAAAAATTTAACAATATCAAGGCTCTTTTACTATCAAGCACTTAGAATAGTCGAGCATGCTGTCCTACAGACAGCTCTTGTTTAAATGGGCTTCACTAAGGTCCAAAAGCTTATAAATAAAAATGATTTGAAATTCTTGAAGGGGATCACCTTGGGCACTTAAAACAAAAAAATATACAAATTATAATAAAAGAAATAGATGCATACTTAGAATCAAATTTAAAATCTGATTTGTGATTAAAATGAAGTACCTTTAAGAATAATATGTCTCAGAGAAGTTGATATTAGTCATTTTATTTACATGTATTTTGTTATAGCCTCGTATGACCTTTCAACATAAATCTGTGCTTATTATAGTCATCTGCTATAATGAATTATAATTTATTGTTTAGGGCCTAATAACATTAAATGATATTATTACTGTGATTTTAGTAATTTCTCTTAGACATACAATTATCTGATCAATTATCTTATAGTGAAAGTTTACAGTCAGAACTCTTCACTTACATATGTTATAACCATGTCTGTTAATTTGTTTTTTTTGCAGATACGAATTTTGTATTGGCTAATTATAAAACTGAGACGTGTAAAAAGCCCCCTAGGTTGTGTCGTCAAGGTTACGCTTGTCCTCATTTTCATAATGCAAGAGATAGAAGGAGAAGTCCAAAATTGTTTAAATACAGGTATTGAATAATACGCTTAGTTAGCAAATAAACAGTGATTTTTAGAATTATATGTACTCAAAATAGTTATTAGATTATATGTCATCAGAATAATAACTATGATTTATCTTGCTCAATTTCTGGACACATATTAATATTTGACTTACCATTGTAATGTCAATACTCATTACTCTACTGTATAATATGCAAATTGCAACCTTAAGTGTAAAAAATTAATTCCTTACCATAATAATAAATGACATTTATTTCAAAATTTTCTTTTCATTAAATTAAAAAAGATGATTTATCATCATATTTGATGTTTTTGAACAATTGTTATGTATATGTTTTTGTAGGTCTACACCATGTCCAAATGTGAAGCACGGAGATGACTGGGGTGATCCGACACAGTGTGAGAACGGAGATAATTGTGGCTACTGTCATACAAGGACAGAACAACAGTTTCATCCCGAGGTAAAGACCAATCATCTTAAAACATTTGAATTGGTGTTATAATTGAGTTGAATCAAATATTTCTTCATATGTACTTACAGAAGGTCAACAGAATCTTATTTGTTGCTATGACAATCAGTGGCTTTATTTGATGTGACACAGACAGGTTTTATGTCTTTGATTAATTGATGAGGTTGCATTTAATTCACGGCATATGAACACTTTCTATAGAATGCTGATAGCTTTTTGATAGCTAGTCAGGTGTAAGCCACCATTTTTGTGCCGCATGAACTTGCGCATCCTTGAGTTTAAATATACTAGTATTCAGATATTGGAGGGGCGTCCGTGGCCGAGTGGTTAAGGTTGTTGACTTCAAACCACTTGCCCCTCACCGCTGTGGGTTCGAATCCCGACAGGGAATTTGGAGTCCTTCATGTTAGGAAGCTATCCAGCTAGCTTACGGAACGTCGGTGGTTCTACTCAGGTGCCTGTTCGTGCCTGAAAAAATGCACGGAGGGGCACCTGAGGTCTTCCTACACCAGTAAAGCTGGAACATCGCCAAATGACCTATACTGTGTCGGTGTGACGTTAAAACTCAAATCAAACAAAAATCAGATATTAGAAGGGTTCAGATATTGAAATCCCTTCCACTACCTATAGACATTTCACAATTCAAGTCCTAACTCTTTTAACATGCTAGAATTCTAATGGACGGTTCCCATTAAGACCAGGGCAAGTCCACAATAGTAATGCAACATTGTAAGAGTAAATTCTTTGTTGAAATGTTAAATGTTAATAAATATTTCAGATATACAAGTCAACTAAATGTAATGATATGGTACAGACTAACTTTTGTCCAAGGGGACCATTTTGTGCATTTGCACATGTAGAGCGTAAGTATTGTATTTTCTTATTTCTAAACCAGTTATTGAAATGCTAAATAATTTCTATTTTATATAAGCCAAGAAATAATATGAATGAATATTAGTCCAGTAAGAAACCTTATTTAGAGTTTCACATTGTTTCAGTGGTTTGTTAGAAACTTTGTGACCTCACCATTATTCTAATTTCAGAAAAAAAAGGTAAAAGTATATATCGATAAAGCAAACTAAGAATTTACATATGTTTTAATTCAGTATTTATATGTTGTTAACTTATTATTACATTTAAACAGAGGAAATTACAACCCAGCGTGAAATACTTCAACAGGGATCATCTTTCTTGGCAGCTATGATAACAAATCTACTGCCTCAGTCTAGTGTCCCAGCAACTGTAGGAAGTTCAAGTTTACCTTTATCAACTAGTGCTCCAATCACTTCTATATTACAGTCTACAGTAAGTGGCTTGTTTTCTTTAATGTTTATAAAATGATAATAGTAGAAGCTGTCCGATGAGTTTGTATTTGTCAGATAATGTTGAATCACTGATCTATGTCAGACTAATATGTTAGAACCTGACAAGCAGATAAAGAACTTAGTGTGGATATCTTTGATACGGGTTTGTGAATTGCAGGTTATATCATAAGTATTGCACCAGTTTAGGTATTCATCCTTATCAGTGATAAATTTTCAATGAAACTATAAACATTGTACAGTCGAGACTGTCATATGCGACTTTCCAAGGGATCTTCAGAAAAAGGTCACATATGACAGGGAGTCTCTAAATACAGTCTCAAAGAAAATTAAATTTAAATACCATCTATCTGATTATATATCATTGTGACTTAACATACATAACTGTGTGAAGGAATAATATCTAACCAATTGCAAATAAACATAGGTAATCGTAAATTTTTTATGTAAATAAAATAAGAATCCATGTAAAACAACTATATATTAGCATGTATATCACATAAAATTTAATTTTATTTTTTGTATTAAGATTTAAATTGAATCTTTTTTGTATAAATTAACTGGAATTTGATGCATCCATGTACTTGTAAAAGTTAAACATGTCCATATCCAAATTTTCTGGTTTGATATCCATATTTTTTCCGTATTAATTATGCAGCCATAGAAAGGTAAATTAAAAAAATACTGCCTAAAATATCTTCCGTTGGCACTCTATAATTAAAAAAAAATCTGACACAAGCTTAATCCAGTTTACTCAGGTCATTATATGTACATTACACACCATGCTTCCCATTTACAGACGCTTAGTGACGTCACTCGATACCTGTATACATGTTAACTGTGTAATTGAGACAGAGGTGTGTAGACTTTGCTTGCTACTGGATTATAATTGGACTTAATTATTTTGGCCCTCTGGGTGTTAAAATAGGTATTATTTATCTGATTAACGGACAATTAAAAGGTGTGAAAGTCGTTTAAATCAGACAAAACATTGCATTGGGACCAGACAATTAGGGTCGCTTGTCACATATGACAGGGAGTCGTTTAATTCAGACCATTTTTATAGGAAAATACGTTGGGAGTACTGAAACAAGGTCGGATAAGACAGGGAGTCGTTTAAATCAGGGGGTCGCTAAGGCAGTCTCGACTGTATATTATATAGAAAAATTTGAATGACAGCCTCTTAGAAGTTGATTCACTATCATATAACTTTACCATAAGTGTGCTCTACCCAAGCAGCACATCAGTGCCATCTTATCATGGTCTGTGCTGTTTGCTATTTAGCTGCTGCTTATTTTGAAATATAAGTGATAAATGTTTTATTTCAAGATTGACATTAGTGTGCAAAGAAATAATATATATGAAAACACTGTTAAATGAATTATGTGTATTTGCAGGAAAACTCGTTACATGTAAATGGTATAGCAACAAATTCATGGACCAAGATGCCGGATCCAATAGGAAAAGAAAGAACTAATAGTACTTCTAGTAACACAGTAAGTTTGCCCTTACATTTCCTGTAATGCTTGTAAGTTTTAAATTAAAAACATTTGAATACTGTTTTAGAGTATATAAAAAAAACCCACAGATCTGTATCATCTGGTTCTTTAACAGCACCTCTAGGTCTCATTCATGGAATCTAAAAGGTAATAACAGATGAAAACAAACATTAACAAACCCAGGATTTGTCTGTGTTACCACTGGACCTTGTTCTCATTCAGTTTCAGATGTTTCGATCCATTTTTATTACGAAAATTTGATCAGTTTAAATACTATTTCATATCCAGTAGAGTCAGTGGATATTGTTTTATTTACAGATAATAAACACAAATAGCATTAGTGGTTTTACAAATAGCAATCACATAGGTAGTTCGTTACCAGAGCCTATAGGGAAGGGAAGATCAAATAGTACATCAAGCAGTATTACATCTAGTGATAGTAGTGGGTTCTACCAGAGAGCACCTGGTTCTGAGAGGGATGATTATCAGGTATATTAGATTTGAGATGCCTTCAGTATTGGATCATTCCGTATTTATGCTTAGGATGACAATTCAATTATAACAAATAATATAAAATAGTTACTACAATACAAGGAGTCGGGTTTGTTTCTGTTAATAGTGACTAGTATATTTGGCTCTCATTGCTGAATCAGAAATTGTTTGAGATTAGTATTGGGTTACAGGAAGAGAAATCGGTAATGCCATGTAAGTAATCAAGGGAAGCTGGTTAGGTGGATTAACCACTGAGATTATCAGATCTGGCCAAAATGGGAGAGGGGGATCAGTATAAAAGCAAGAAAAACAATTTTTTTTATTATTTAAATATTTTATTTACAGGGTTTATTCTAGCATCAGTATTTTAAAATGTAAACTGTGACAAAATGACAATGAGTCAAAACATGTTTTAGATTAATTTACTATGTTTGTTTTAGTTAAGAAGCAATAACTAGGGTTAACCTAATTTTGTAAGAAAATGCCTTTGTCAGCTTGTAACCTGATACTAGTATTGATAAAGTCTATATGATTGTATAAGTGTTGGCTCGTGACTGAAATAATGCCTGAAGGTGCACCTGATATCTTCCTCCACTGGTAAAGCTGGAGAGTCACCATATTACATTACTTTCGTTTTTGTGATTTAAAACCAAACAGAACAAAAAGAATTACATTGTATAACAAGTGTTTGAACATGATTTCCTTTCCCACCTTGCATACAGATTTCAGTACTTTTTAGTACAATACATTTAGTCTCATTGCGTTAAAAATTTATTTTGTAAAAAATGAAATTTTCCATTCTTTTGACTTTGGTGGCAGTGTTAATAATCGCAGTTCTCATATTATGAAAAGTGAATCTTGTGGTGATTTGTTTAACACAGATTAAATTACGTCAACAGCTTCAGTGTATAGACAATGATGCCACGTTAGATGCTACAGAGAAGGCGAAACGTAAACAGAACTTGATGCTAGTACATAATATGGGTTTGACGAATAATATGTCAGGATTGTCTATGTCGGCACCTGGGCTACCTATGACAACGATAATGTCACCATTTGCTCCAGCTTTCTACCCACCAAGGGATACCGTAGGATCTGTTATAGGTAAATATTACTTCTCTAAAAATTGATTCAAGGACTTGAAAAATTATCTTATGTTTAACATTATCTATATATTTATGTTTTTAAGCATATGTTTGTCTAGTTCTGTTCTCTGAAATTGAAGATTATAGAAAAATTTCAAAATAAGTTCTAAAAGTGATGTTATTTATCACAGTATGCTTAAAGTGGAGTTGTCCTGCTTTTGAATTTAGAGCTGCCTGCATTGTTTATGTGAGGGATTTAAATATATGAAACTTTGTTCATCCATTTGTAAGTAACCTATAACATGACATGCTTGTTTGCTATCTAACAGTGAGCAAGTCCTCATTGCAATTTATGAAACAGCCAATAGTCTTGTCAGTCAGCAGTCGGCTTCACTTTTATGCAAGTCACAGTCTCAATGAGCATTTAAAGGGTTGCATTTCAAATACAGTGTACATTCTGTATGATTATAGTAAACCACGACATGATGAACTGATGTGATGTAATTTTATGAATGTTTGAATGTTTCAGAGCAAGCATTAGAAGATATTACTCTGGATGATATAGATATACATAATCTAGACAAGGAGCTAGATAATGACACAAACTCCTTAAGTAGTTCTATCAGTGCAGGACTCTCTTCAGGTACATATATTTCTTCTAATCTTTAGACAGGCTTTTATTTAAAATGAAAAACTGTCTTCCGCACTTATTACATCAATTAAGTAGTCTTACTGTAATGCTTTCCCGCCAAAAAATTCTAATATCGGCCAATATCGTAACAAATCAGTTATTTCCAGAATTTTATTTATTTCCAAATCTTAGGCATTAGATTATTTACAATCGCTAATCCTTTATCGCTATGTACTGAATTCTGGTTATAAACGGTAAAATTAATGAATACGGAAGATTGTGAAAAATAACATTTCCGAAATGACCAATTTATAACCATATTAGCTGATGTTAGATATTTTTTGGCAAGAAAGCATTACAGTAAGACTACCTAGATTTATGTAACTGATAACAACATTGGATAATAACAATTTTGAACGATTTATTGTCGGTGACAAAACTATCTTTGTTTTCTTTTGGTTACAAAATCATGTTTATGGCAGTTCAAAATTTTTGATGTTATGTGAATATAATGAATTTTTCAAGGGACTTGTTTATCATTTTCATTATTAATTTGTAATCTTACATAGATGAATTTTCTTCCAACTGTAGACCATGGTGAGGCATGTGTAAGTAAAAATTTCACTACAAGGATGGTTCAATATTTTACTGTGTATATACATGTATTTCAGGGTTTGGTTCCACATCTGTACCTATAGGTATACCACCATGCCAGATCCCACGAGGCAGTGTAGGTAGCCTATCACAGTCACCAACTTCTCCCTATGGTAGTTTTCCACACTCTATTCTACCACTACAGTCACAGAAAGAATCAGTATCCGAGGTATTGGTTAGTTACCTATTTTAATATTTCACATTATTTACTGTTTTATATGTATTTAATATTGATTTAGGATGTATGATGAAGTTTTTGTTGGAAATGTGGCATGGAAGTAAAATTTGGGTCTTCCTATTCTGATATCTGGAAAGAGAAAATATTTCAAAACAACTATTTTACAAGAACTTTTCTTGAAAGCACTTTGGTGTACAGTTATTAATGTGTTATTTGACTGTTACAATATTGCTGAAACAACAGAATAATTAAGTACAATTGTTAATTTTGTTTAGTCTTTATGAATGTGTTTCAACAGTAACCCAATATTTGTTTGTTCTTTTTCAGAGTTATTTAGGTCAACACAACCATATGAAATTTTGTGGCAGCCCATTTGGTGAGATTAACTCTATGTCACCTAGGAGCGGTCCAGGGGGTCCCCATTCTCCGCTATACTCACAGAGTTTAACTAACAGCCTAAATAGTAGTCAGAATAGTGATATACATAAACTACAGACTGATGTTCAATCATATAAGACCAAATTAGAACATTGGGAGCAAGCTTACAACCAGGCTAAAGCCGTAAGTTACTTTGTTTGTATTTGTTATATTGAAGTCTCTAGCTCACATTTGAAAATATTTTCATCACATATAAGACAACTGTTAGTATTTGAAAAAGAAAATAAAGATCTTGTCATTATTTCCATAAGGATTCAAAGAATCAAAAACCAATGACAAAAAGAAACATTGTTTTCATTATTGTGATATTTGATTGATTATCATTTAGTTGAACTAGTATACAACAGTCTTTTTATCCACACACAATAATCTAGTGCTTGTCTTACATTGTTTTCCAGTTATAATAATGTTGGTTTTACATTGTTTTCCAGTTATAATAATGTTGGTTTTACATTGTTTTCCAGTTATAATAATGTTGGTTTATACAGAATTTATTTTAGTTCGATTGTGAAGGAAGCAATTAGCTTATAGACACACTTTCGAATCTGTTCCTGGAACCAACCAGTACTGAGCAATGAGTGTAAAGTTTCTTGCTCAAGGAAACAGCGACTTGCCCCTGATGGGGTTTGAACCCATTCGGCTTGCGATCGTAGATTACTTGTCCAAAGCGTTAACCACTTGGCCATGCCGGCACTCAAATTATAATGTTCTAATGATGTTTAGAGTAACACATGAAATTGCTCTTCTTTTCACATTAAAATGTATTGTAAGGAAATCTTGTAATTACTTGTCCTGAAGATATGATGTGTTTTGACTTAGTAATGGAGTGATAAAGTATTGGTGATTTCAAAGTATGAGTTTTAATTGAAGGCATGTGAAGCATGGAAGAAGGAGGCCGAGGATACATCACGGAAGATTAAAACAGTTGAAGATGAGAAAATGACTGTCCTTAAACAAAGAGATGAGGTTAACTTCACTTTTAATCTGATATTCAATTTTGATAATTTTAAACGAGCAATTTCATGAAAATGTAGGAACCACATTTAAAATTCTTTATGGATCTGTAGTTTTTGTTTCTGATATAAATGTATGTAGTTTATTAAAGATGATTCTTCGGGAATATGAAATATTTCGTAATTGTTAGACATTAATTAATACTTAAAGACTTTAAGGTCTATAAGCTAATGATGTGTTTTCTTTATTTTCATCAGGCTTTAAGTCAATACAAGAAAGTAAAAATAGAAGCAGTGACAATGAAAAGCACAGGCAGTCATTTAAGAGCGCTGCAGCCAGCCAGTGACCTAGAAAATATGGTGTTACCACAGTTACGACAAATACAACAACAGCTTAGAACTGACCTAGAAAAAGTTGAACAGGTATGTTTATTGATCCTTTTATGTAGTCAGAATGGTGTAATGTCTGTATATACAATCAAATCTATGCCATCTTGAGAAACTTAGGAAATGTTTGTCATTCCATTTTGGACTGACTCTTAGTTATTGTGATTTTGGACTAATGCTTTTCATTTACCTTGTTTAGTATCATTAAAAGATTCAAATTTCATGTAATATAGTTTATTTTCTTTTGTCAATCAATCTTGATATTTCATCTTGTCAAATTTTATAAAGTTCTGCAAGCTGAATTTTCTTTAACGACTATCCATTGTTTTTGTAAGTCTTACCACTTTGCAAGTTACATCATAATTCTTTCTCCTCTAATTCAGTAAAAGGTCGTTCATTACAGGATCTTTGAGTACTTTTAAGTAAGGTATAAATATAATTTTTTAATTGCAGGATATTTTGTTCTAAAAAAAATCGAGTACTTTTAAATCTGGTATAAAAATAATTGAAAATAAATGTATTTTTTCAGGTGATATACAAGCAATCAGCCATCAAGTGTGTTATATGTCAAGAGAAGAACAGGAGTATAGCAACATCACCTTGCAGTCACTGTGTTATGTGCGAGAAATGCGCACCATCAAAAACGGAATGTCCGTTATGTAGGTCACAGATTACACAGCGAGCCACGGTGAATTATCACTTGTAATGATAGTGTGGCATAGGGACTTTATGAACAATTGACTTTTAATAAATTTGTTTATAAAAATTAGGTCACGGAGATTTTTCCTTTCTTGAAGAAAGAGATTGAATTTCACACTCGGAAAGTCGTGTCTTTTTACAATGATATAGGTATAAATAATTGCATAGGCTTAACAAATTTATGTATAGTTGTACATTTTCTGAAGAGTTGTTTTGTATATCAGTGTTTTGATCATGTTGCAATGACTTTATGTTAGATTTTTTCTCTTTTGTTGAAATTTGAGCCGTGTCATGACAAAACCAACATAATGGGTTTGCGACCAGCATGGATCCAGACCAGCCTGCACATCCGCGCAGTCTGATCAGGATCCATGCTGTTCGCTATCAGTTTCTCTACTTGTGATAGAGTTGGTAAGCGAACAGCATGGATCCTGATCAGACTGCGCGGATGCGCAGGCTGGTCTGGATCCATGCTGGTCGCAAACCCATTATGTTGGTTTTGTCGTGACGCGGCTCATTTGTTTTAGGTGCATTGAGTTATATTGTTTTTCATTTCATAGACATTTTTCTAAAGTAGAGTTTATGTAATAGATTTATGGTATGATAAAGTGTGCATTTACATTTAGATTGCTTTGAAGAGGTGAGGATGTTTTTCACCATCAAATAACATATAGAAATGAGTAAAAGATTTTTGGAAGAAATAAAAAAGATATGTTTTATTTTGGTACTAAGGCTGCCTCATTCGACAAGTTTTTTTTCAAGGTTAATGAGGTTACAGCTAAATAAAAATATAATATTTGATGTAAATTTTAAATTGTCAACTTTATATTGTTAAAAATGGCAATTAATGAAGTAAAGGAATGTGCATTATGTCTTACTCGTTAGTTATTGGTAGATTCGTTACAAAATACGGAACATTTTTTAGTTCGGAAAAGTCAAAATAGATTTCCCTTTCTAGCAATGTCTGTTAATTACTAATCCTTGTTGTTTCACATTCATTTTTGGTAAGTGCCATACCTGTTTTAAAGTTTGTCATTTAAATAAATAGATTATTATGAAAAATATTAGTATAGAAAAGTGTAATATTTTTTTCACCACCTGTTTGAAAACTATCACTTAAATGACACCATTATAAACATTGCTGTCAAATTTACTGTATGGAGGCCACCCATTTGGAAAGTATGGTAGCCCTTTTTTTTTGCAAGTTGTTTACTCAAATCGGGCTACTTTACCCTATAATTGATCAATAAGGAGAGAAAAAAATCAGACCTTTGTTGACAAGTATTATTTATATGTTTTATTTCGGGCTGGTTTTTTGCAAGACTTGTCTGTAATACATATAGACAGAGGTAGTCTTTATTTGAGTATGATCTTAATTCAAGGGTGATCTTAATTCAAGGGTGATCTTAAGCAGAGGTTTAATTGTATTAAAAAATCTGATGACTATAGATGCTGATTTTTCATTCATGCAACTAACACACTGATTGTCCTAGAATAATAGTTCTTTGGTAGTGATCCTTATACAATTTCATGACCACTTGTTTAATTTTTACAGCACCATTTTGATTGTTATTTTTTGTTTGTTTATTTTAAATTGACAGTTTGCCATAATTTTCCCTTTTGAATTTCTATTAGAATATGTCTGTAACAGCGTCATTGTTTTCATTATGTGTTATTAAAATTGTTTTAAAGGACTAATTATATAGTAGGAATGATAGCTGAATGATGCTTACATTTACTAATTCTAATAAATTTTTTACACATTATCTGTCTTGATTGGATATATGATCAGCCACCAACACTCCAATGTTACAAGTTGGCAGTTGTGTTTAATGGTAGCTAATACATAAAATTTACTTTAATGATATTTTGTTATTAGGATAATGAGTGTCATACTTTAGTCTCTACCATGCTTAAAATATCTTATATGGTCTTAGTATATCTTGCAATCTAGACAAGAGAAATTTAAAAAATGTACTGACTGATTAAGAAACAGTGCAGACCATGATCAGATGGCATGGATATTCCGGCTGGTATTGGTCTGCACTGGCTGCATGGGTAGATTCAGAAGCTGCCAGCTGTCTTAAAGGTTATGGTTCGTTTTTCCGAGTATGACATTCTTCAAAATGAAAACATCATTTTTTATGAAGCTTAATTGTTTAATAAAGAAATGTTGATTTTGGATTTTAGCCTTACTATAGAATTTGTTGATTGTTTTCACAGTAGATTTACGGATTTATATTTAGTGAAAATTGAGTAGAAACACTGCATGTCAGCACAGGTTTATAGTTAGTGCTTTTATATCACATATATTAAGTGAAAAAGATCACATTTTGTTCTCCACATTACCTTCTAAACTTATATCATGGTGAATATGAATATTAATAAGCGTCAATTTAGCCCAGGCTATTAATAGATATTAAAACATATCTTTTATAATTCTGGTACAGAGTATCATTATGCTGTTAAGGGAATGGAAAATTAGTGATCCATTTTTCGGAAACTGGGTTTAATCCCATTAACTATAGATAATATATTGTAAGTTCATTTTTGTTAAATGATTGATAATATGTACCAATGAATCTCATTCTATTTCATATTTTCAAATGTTTCATATATAATACATTAGTTAACAGCTCACTTTTAATTATGGAATTTCTATATCCGCATGCATTCTTCAGTGTGAATAAGATGGAAGGAATTAAGATGGAAGATATGGAACCAGTCTAAAATTCTGGTCCTGATTGGTCAATGTAAGACTCATAGTTGAAGTTGACCAATCATTAAGCTTCAATTTTAGACTGGCTATTTCAGTTATGTTTATAAATGAAATCTTAATCTGTACTTAACATATTTATGAGAGTAAATTTTGGAATTCAGGAAAAAGATTTCTGAATTGTATGTTACTTTGTAGAGTTTATTAACAATAGTGTATATTTTCATTAATCAAAGTAAATAAGGGTTGTTTTATTTTAAAGCATATGTCAAAATGTATGTAATTTTAGTTCAAGAAGGGCCTTTTTGAAATTTGTTTTTGTTTCCAATTACTTGTTAAGCTGATCAGTTGTAATTATTATAGAAATTGTGATCTGTATAAGTTCTGAAACTACAGTGTTAAGTCATAATTAAGTTAAGCAAAGATAGAAAATGTGACTTATGGGTTCTACATTTTTGTATGCAGTGAAATTACACAAATTAAATGCAAAATATTGTTAATATGTAGTTGGAAGCAAGAATTTTATTTTTATGACGCCTTTAACATATTTGTTTGTGGTCAGCCGCTGGACGGTTGTGATGTTAGTAAAGAATTGGACCAGTCTTGTCTAGTAGTTAGTGCAATAAATGTATTGGACAGTCCAGAATCAGGAAACAGGGTGCACAGTCTATAATTACAGAAGGAATTGTGGGTAAAACAAAAGTCTTGATCACCAGATGCTTGGTATTATTTGTGTGTCTGGTAATGTCATTGTTTTGATTGATATATACATAGAGGATATTAAATGAGTGTAGTTTAATACTAAATTTATTGAACGAGTTGAATAAATTCATATTATGCGAGCCTCTGGCGAGCATAATATTGTTTTATGCAACGAGTTCAATAATTTTAGTATTGATTCTACACGAATATAATATTCTATTTATCACATACATAAAATAAGAACAGTAAACTGTTCAAATGATTAATTTTCAATGACGCGCCCATAGTGTAACGCTAACATTAGCGCGCTTTAACGCTAAATGTTTCTATATAGCGCAAATGACGTCACGTCAAAGTGTTATTACACTAGTGTAATATCGTTTTTATTAAATGGCTTTATTACACTCCTGCGCCGCGGTTTATGTGATAAAAGTGTTTTAATAATTGCCTACATACAGAGGTGGGAATTCATGAAGTGTTACTACAATACATCAAATGACTAAAGAATGAATATTGTAATTTTATGCTGATTCTAACATAATTTGATGACTTTGTTTTCATAAATTTGATCTCATTATGGAATATATGTAGGTATGCCACTGTTATAACGAGTGAACGATAACAAAATAGTTTAACAAATTTTCAGTGTAAATGGGCCCAAACAAATATATAGTTCTCGAAAATAATATCATTGTTTTGTGCATTATTATGTCATTTTTCATCCATTTTATTGACTTCATTTTTTTGGACATTTTGTGAAAGATTTTCAGGTTGCGTGTGTCAGATCAAATAGGTCTAGTTCTATTTTTTCATAACAAAAAAATTGTCACAAAAATTATTTTTGTACATTTGGTATGCAAGTTAGATACACTGAAGTATTTCTTTTCAGTTCATTTCAGCTCACAGCCAGTTATGATATATTGAAGTGAATAGGTAATAAAACACGGACAAAGTAATGTCATGTTTGTAACAAATTTTCTGTGTATGTTGTGTTTTCAGTTATATCCCATAGAGTTGTAATGAATGAATACATGAATAATTTGTCTCGAGAAATTTCTTGAAGTTGTAAAAAGTTATGACAATTACTGGGTAAATTTCAGAGGAAAAAAGGGTTGTGAAAAGTTACAGAAAAAAACTGTGTACCAGTAATATTTTGAGATAACTAAGCATACCTATGTACATTATACAGTGTTGATCTTGACTGAAAGAGTATTTTGCCAATGATTTGAAGTATTTTCTGTTGTGTTTTTTTTGGTCATAGCTGACTGTGAGATGTTTTGGCAAATCATTTGTGTCTCAGGTACTTGATGTTGTACTTTTTGTATACTATGTTTCAGACATTGAAGATGAATATCATTTACTAAACTAAAATTATTGTCTTTTTGTCAGAGAATGTATGATATTTTCGTTTCATTCATACAATTTTTATAAAATATTGTTTTACAATGTTAAATTTAATAGTGTGTTATCATTAAATGGGTTGGATTTCTAACTTTATGTTTCACTTAAGAAATTATGCCATAAATCATTTATGAAATTGTGTTATTATAAATTTCCCATAAACAAACACAAAAAAAAAGAATGTTAGAAACTTTATTTATGTAGAATCACATGTATGTATAGAATTTGAAAGTTTTTATCATAAAATCTTTTATCTTCTTTCTAACACATCTATTTCTGCATTTCTTATCTTTGAAAAAAATGATGGACTTTGATCACAAGGCCAATATTTTAAAAAATAATAAGACTGGCAATAAATCTTTTAAATGACCTGCTTGAAGTAAAGCAAAAAGTTGTATAGAAATGAGTATTATTTATTAATCATTCACAGAAAACATTACAAAATTACAGTTTGTTATGAGAAAATGTTTATCAAAAAATTTATCGTGCTTTGAATGAAACAAAAAAGTAATTTGCTTACATCATTTTCTCACTTGTTTCCAGAAATTCTAGATTTGTTCCTATTTTAGTATCTTTGGCTTTGTTTAATAGTTGACTGTGTAACCAGGATTGTAAATATCTTATCAAACAAGCTTTTTTGAGCACTTCTTTATTTCATGATCTGTGTTGATTCAAATCACTTACAGTTAGCTTAAATACCTGAGAAATTATTAATTCATATTTTAAAATTGTATTTAGTCAAGAAATTATAGTACATGTCATGTTAAAAATGAGACGCGTCACAACATAACCAACATAATGGGTTTGCAACCAGCATGGATCCAGACCAGCCTGCGCGTCCGCGCAGTCTGATCAGGATCCATGCTGTTCGCTTACAAACCCTATAGCAAGTAGAGAAACTGATAGCCAAAAGCATGGATCCTGATCAGACTGTGCGGATGCGCAGGCTGGTCTGGATCCATGCTGGTTGCAAACGCACTATGTTGGTTTTGTCGTGACGCGGCTCAAATATTATCCATTAATTTTATTTTAGTTAAATGAATTGAATTCATTATTGAGCACCTTATTTTGCTTTAAACTTTTTGAGTGCTTCAGTTTTGATGAAAAAACCTGTAAAAAATATATTGTGTAATAAAAAGGACCTTTTAAGCTTAAGAGAGGTTTCCATGTACAGTATTTTTTGTTGTTTTCAAAACTGAGTGTGATATTTTCTGGTATGTAAACTCATACCTTAACTAGATTTTAGTACATTTTTTTCCAAGAAACAAGCTGTTGGCAATTATTTCAATGTACATTTTAGTAAAGACTATACAGATGGTCATATGTTACTGTGGTAACTATGAGAAATAATAATGAATTTGATGGCTGATGCACCAAAGTTTTAGTTTAGTTGTAAGATATATAGAACAAAGAAGATGTTATTATGTGCTATTATTTTTTGTATGTTGAAATTATTGCTAATGGTGCCCATAGCAAAAAAAATAAATCTTTAAGAATTTCATTGTTGAGTTTGTGTTACTTCTTTGTGCTGTAGTTTATTCAAATTGTATATCAGTATTTGTTCTCCCAGATACCAATTACCTATACAGTATGGAATGCTGTAAGTGTTGATCATATTGAAATTTAAAAATCAACAACAAAAAACTAAAATACTGTGTTAAGACTGCAGCAGATGTGCAGGCTACAGTGGCTCTACACTGATGGTATTGATAAGTTAACTAAAGATGCCCCCATTCCAACAAATGTGATATACATACATGTATAGATGGTATTGATAAGTTACTAAAGATGGCCCCCATTCCAACAAGTGTGATATACATACATGTATAGATGGTATTGATAAGTTAACTAAAGATGCCCCCATTCCAACAAGTGTGATATACATACATGTATAGATGGTATTGATAAGTTAACTAAAGATGCCCCCATTCCAACAAATGTGATATACATACATGTATAGATGGTATTGATAAGTTAACTAAAGATGCCCCCATTCCAACAAATGTGATATACATACATGTATAGATGGTATTGATAAGTTAACTAAAGATGCCCCCATTCCAACAAATGTGATATACATACATGTATCAGTGATGAAGTAGGAGCACTCTGAAGAATGTTAAGTTTTAAGATAGCCGTGATCCGGTTTCTCATTTTAACGGTCTTATCTTCTATACATAAAAAGACATGATCAGATATTGACCAGGCAACTACATTATGGCATGTAGTTGTATGCGTGGTTCATTAAACACAATCGCTTGGATCCAGTATTTTTACAGCACTATACAGTCTACATACAGGGCCAAAAAAAACTTCTTTGTAGAGGCCGAATATAGGCTACTTCCCCAACCAAACTAGCCTCTTTTCCTCCCCAGTGTGGTCCTTAAAATTCCCCAGTCTTGAAATTTCTCATAGAATTTAGAACAAAATCAAATGATGGTGTTTTTAGCTCGACAGGGTGAGCTTTTGTGATCGCTTTTCGTCCGTCGTCCGTCCGTAAACTTTTATTTTAAATGACATTAAACCACTAAGCCAATTTCATCCAAACTTCACAGGAATGTTCCTTTGGTGGTCACCTTTGAAAATTGTTCAAAGAATTTAATTCCATGCAGAACTCTGGTTGCCATGGCAACCAAAAGAAAAAACTTTAAATATCTTCTTCTAAAAAACCCAAAGAGCTAGAGCTTAGATATTTGGCGTGAAACATCTTCTAGTAAGTGTCTACCAAGTTTGTTCAAATAAAAGCCCTGGGGTCAAAATTGGCCCCGCCCCAGGGGGTCATTGATTTTTCCCTATATGTATATAGTAAAAACTTAAAAAATCTTCTTTTAGAGAACCCAAAGAGCTAGAGCTAAGATATTTAGCATGAAACATCTTCTAATGGGTGTCTACCAAGTTTGTTCAAATAAAAGCCCTGGGGTCAAAATTGGCCCCGCCCCAGGGGGTCATTGATTTTTCCTATATGCATATAGTAAAAACTTAAAAATCTTCTTTTAAAGAACCCAAAGAGCCAGAGCTAAGATATTTAGCATGAAACATGTTCTAATGGATGACTACCAAGTTTGTTCAAATAAGAGCCCTGGGGTCAAAATTGGCCCCGCCCCAGGGGGTCATTGATTTTCCCTATATGAATATAGTAAAAACTTAAAAATCTTCTTTAAAAGAACCCAAAGAGCTAGAGCTAAGATATTTAGCATGAAACATCTTCTAATGGATGCCTACCAAGTTTGTTCAAATAAGAGCCCTTGGATCAAAATTGGCCATGTCCCGAGGGACATTGATTTTCCTTATATGTGTAAAGCAAAAACTTAAAAATCTTCTTCGAAAAAACCTGAATAGCTAGAGTTTAGATATTTAGCATGAAACATCTTCTAGTAAGTGTCTACAAAGATTGTTCAAATAAAAGCCCTTGGGTCAAAACTGGCACTGCCCCAGGGGTGTCATTGTTTTTAAATATATGTGTAAAGAAAAAACTTAAAAAAATTTTCTTTTAAAAAACCCAACAAGCTAGACCTTAGATGTTTGGCATGAAATATCTTCTAATGGGTGTCTACCAAGTTTGTTCAAATAAAAGCCCTGGGGTTTAAACTGGCCCCGCTCCAGGGGGCCTGTATACAGGTGAGCGACTTCAGGGCCATCATGGCCCTCTTGTTTGAATTAAGGTCTTTTACTGCCTTATTAGTATTTCCCAGTGCTTTTTGCTTTTCTATTTTGAAGAACTTGTTAAAAGTTTGTGTTAAATAGGAGACCCCTTTTCCCAAAGTATGCCAAAATCACGCATATTTTCCCCCAAGAAAAAGGCTGAGGCCCCTTCCCTAAAAATGGTGTTTTGGCCCTGACATAGTATGTAGTACATACGGTTTTAAGCTAGTAATTATTACAATAATAAGATTTCCATAAACATCGAGAACAAATTGATGATACAATTTGATATTATCACATGTCAAAAACTAAGGAAATCATGTTTCAAGACCGGATCTTTTTTATCCTTATCTCATTTTGCAACATATTTTCCTTGACAAATATATGACAAAATATTTATACATGACCTCTTGAACCACAGACTAGGTCTCTAGGTAAAGTGGAATGAAAACTTAGTAGTCATCAAAGATTTCATTCAAGTCATCATGAAATATAGTTATAATGTTTCTGATGGTATAAGTTTAAACAATATTTTATTTATAATCATTACATTTACATGATAATTGACAAATAATAAATTGTACGGATTGAGTAGGAAGCTTGAAAAGCTTTTTTTAGAAACTCTCTCTCAGATGGTATTAAAATGAGTTCTGTAAATCCATTAAGTAAGAATCTAATCAATTTTCTACCCTACTAGGCATTATTTATTAGAAAGCCATGGCTATCATTTTGGTGAATTAAAACCATATACTTTCAAGTTTCATGCTTGACAAATATGGGTTTTTCCCCCCATGTAGTCCAGGGATAGAAACAAACATCTACTGTTATAGCTTCACTATGCACTACCTCCACAAGATGATCAATGTGTTGTGCTTATTATCGATACATTAACATTAATATTTTCGATATGATTACCACACAACAAAGCTAAAAATTTGTTGTACTCTCCAATTAGCAGAGAAAACCCCCAAAATATTCTTAATCCTGGAGTAACTCTGCTTTAACGATACATGATAAGCTTTAAATCTTGCAATGCAATGCCCATTAGTCACTGGTTCAGAGCTGGTCTGAAGATATCCTTTATCAAATATTTTTAAAAAAAAAAAAAAAAAACAAAAAAAAACGGAAAATAAAACAAAAGAAAAATGGCAGATTCAAGACTTTTTATTGCAATATATTGCACTACTATGACAAAAACACATTTATTATAAATAAATAACATTAATTCATCTCGTAAACACGATCAAAACTACATGATTTACTGACATACAAAACATTTCTCTTACATCAAATCACAAAACTGCTTATGTTTATATTTGTATATGAAAAATAATGGCTAAGACATGTAGCATGAAAGCAGAAAACAAAACAACCTTATAATCGATATATATTCAAACATAGATCAAATCCTGTGAAATCCTGTGAAATACCGTAAAATGTTAGTATGATTTATTTAATAGATTATTCCTGCTCTTTGAATACAGTCGTGTATGAAAAAAGAATTCTGACCACATACTATGTATGATAAAGACTTAGTGTAGAAGTGTCTCAATAGACTTTTTAAAAATGTAAGGCATTTTCAAAGACAAATTCATCAAATTAATGGGCATAAATAAGGTAGTGACCCTTTCTTGAATTTTATATATACATCATGTATATTAAAAAAACAAAAACAAAAATGTTCCAATATGTTACAGAACTAAATAAATGATGATATATTATTTATATTCATATTTTAGTCCATAATGCAACAAACATCTAAAATTTAAAAATCCTGCTCTTGAGTGAAATAGATACTTGTATAGTACCTTAAAAATTAGCAGCACAAAAACTTATAAATGGTTCTGACCTTTTTCATTTATTACTTCAGTTCCCTTTCACTAAAGTTGCAGATATAGTTGGTGGGGCGGGGGATGTCATTATTTAATACATATGAGCCGCGTCACAACAAAACTAACATAGTGTGTTTGCGACCAGCATGGATCCAGACCAGCCTGTGCATCCGCGCAGTCTGATCAGGATCCATGCTGTTCGCGTACAAACCCTATAACAAGTAGAGAAACTGATAGCGAACAGCATGGATCCTGATCAGACTGCGCGGATGCGCAGGCTGGTCTGGATCCATGCTGGTCGCAAACCCATTATGTTGGTTTTGTTGTGACGCGGCTCATATAACTTGCGAAAAGCTTAGTAAACAGATGATTTTAATGTGAAGAAAAATATTATTTCAAAACCTACATTAAAAAGGTTTTAAAAGCTTACATGAAGAGGGACTTTCATCTAATCTTCAGCATATAAGATATGTTATGATCCCCAAAAATGGGTACCAGGGGAGGTAATGCATATTATATGAAAGCATATATTAAGGCCATTACTATTAAGATGATATTCTAAGAAATTATCGCTATTTATTACAAATGGATGTATTTCAGATTTTAAAATATTTAAGTACCTGAAAAAACACTTATTTAATATGAAATAAAAAATATAGTATTTTAAAATTTGTGATGTTTACACAGTACACAAAACAGCTGAGGATATTGCTTTGGACTGACACAAAATACATTTATAAATTGAGCTGTGATTTTGAAAAAAAAAACCAACAACAACAACAAACATTTAAGCTACACTTTGATTAACACTGCTAAGCAATGTATACACATATTACCCATTCTTCCTGAAATTATTGAACATTCATAAATATATTTTTCAAAAAAAGGATATAAAAACACCCCTACAGACTTTGGCTAAGAACTGATACAATTTCAATCCAGATATAATAATGAAAACACTTTTTAAGACACTTTGAGTGTTACAAAACATGTAAAGAAACATACCAAATACACCTGTACAAGCAAAGTATGATCTATTTTGTAATAACATGATTGGGTAAATACTTCACAGATAATACTGAAAGCTTTTTAAGATACTGTCACAAAGAAAACCTTTTATGAAGTTCATTCACATTGGTTTTTAACCAATAGCCTGCTGGGACCATAAACAATTTGCCTTCAAAGTCTGACCAGGCTCTATAATCCTGGGTTACTATCTTTAAAGGTTTATTGTCATATTCCAAAAATAGACAATTCTATAATAAGTATCTGGGTTGACAGTGGGCAATTCTATAAATAGAATCTGAGCAAATTCATTAAAAAAATTCAGCAGGTTAAAGGTCATGTCACATAAGCAAGGTCATATATATTAGCATTACAACAAGAACTAGTTCTCAAATAATTTAAACACTTTCGGTATACTGGAAAACGGTCAGGCTTATATCGGTTAATAATTTTCTTTTCAAAATATATCGAAAAATACCTACAAAATAAATCATATCAAAGCAATGTAAAACAAAAAAATAATCCTAAGTTGAGTTAACCAACTGAACAATAATGTACCTGTTTTATATGAATAAACTGAGAAAAAAGATATAATAAACGCATATTAATTTTTTCAGAGTTTACACATAAAACTGTGAGTAAAATGCAATATCTATCTGTGTTGACTTAAGTAAGCCACAAAATGTTTTACACTTAAAATCTCTGTAGCTTTAACTTAATAGCACCAGCAAGTATTGACAACAAAAAAATAACATAATACTTAAGTCGTATTTTTTGGGTCTCCTGCACTTCTATACATAAAGTCTGAAACCTCTATTAAACAGGCAAAAATCTTACCCTGCCATTATAATAAATTACGAGGGTTGACCGCAAAACTTTTATGAAATAAAGAAGAACTAACAATAGTTTTGCGATTAGCTCTCGCATTATGTTTTCATGATCAACTTCTGGCTAAAGTTTTTTTTTTTTTGGCTTTCGATGATATAAGTTTATGGTTCAGACCCTAACATCTTAATGTATGCAAGTCCAGTATTATGAAAATATATCTAGCACCAGTAATCTTCCCTTAGTCAACAGTATCAGTTCTCTCCCTTCATTGGTTTTGTTATGAAGGTTACTTCCCTTTTCACTGACCACAAGCAAGCACCATGACAAGTATAATTTTATTGTGAATGTCAAAATTTTATAAATGTCCTATCCACGCCAATAATGACTATGATACTTCTAAGACATCTTGTAAAAAGACCTTTCCGACTGTATAAACATGTAAGCCTTCAATCATAGCACACCTAAATACCATTTAAGTCATTTTATCTACTCTTCATAATCAGATTTTCATTCTCAAGATCTGATGTTGAAAAGCAGACGTCATCAGTATTCCTTGATATCCCCTCGCAAAACACAACTTTGGAATACGTAGGACTTATTATGACCTTACTATCCACTTCATCTACTGCCTATAATAGCAATGTTTCTTGTAGCATGTTATCATGTTTCATCATGAAAGACACACAAGAGGGAAGTCAGGCATGTGGGTTCCAGAAATGGCAACAAGTAAAGGGAGATCACTCCTCTCCAGTCTGAAAATAGTAATATAAATCTAAAATGTAATTTTTTTCTTATTCCTTTACTCACAAAAAGATAAGTTTTCAGTGCACATTCAAAGATTGAACCAAATTAAAGATTATTAGTATGTACATGTTTAAGTAATATAGCTGATAAATAGAAAAGAAAATGTCAATTTACATCGCTTATACACATAATATGTAACTTTCTTTTGCACAATTTTAACGAAGTATTTTATCTTTTTACATCTTTGCTCACCTAATTGGGACAGGAAATAAAGTAAATTAGAAGAAGAAAAAATTTACATCTACAGCCAAATAAAGAACTCTTATATTATGTTCATTTGAAATATTTCTATACAATGTTGGCAAAAGTAGGCATTGTTTTGCCATTGGGAACCCAAAGAAACCAATCTAAAGGAAAAACAAAAACAACAACAACAACAACACTGTAAGCAGTAATTAACTGTAAGCAGTAATTTACTGTAAGCAGTAATTACATTCAGTTTAAGAAACAAATATTTCTCTGTTTTTTACATTTTCTTTAACCCTATACCACTGGTCATAAGTTGGAAATAAAATAATCTTGTCTATACTAAATACCAAGCATTTCATAGTGAATAAACATCAATATTTTGATGTTATGGTAAACATAGCAACAGTAGCCATAGTAACAGTAACCATAGTAACAGTAGAAACAATATCTTACCTATTCATGGCCAGTAAATCTCCTACTTTCTTATTCTTCTTTAAACACTCTGCCATCATTTTACTTTTAAAGTAAATTTCTTGAAAACAGTCCTCTAAATGCATGATACACTGAAATAATAGAAGTAACACATTTTAAAATTTAAAAAAAAACTCTGAAAAAAAAAGCAAAAAGAAGCTCAAAACATCTCAAAAAGGTGTACATGCAACATGTATGTATAAAATGTTTGGCAGGTTATGCTAGCTTAAGTTTGTAAAAATTCATTCAACTAAAAATAAAATTAATTTACAAAACAGCATAAAATCTTATATTTTTTTTTGTTCTTGATCAGATATTAGGAGAAAAATCACATTGGTTGTTATTATATCAATTGCAACATTCTAAAAAATTAAACCAATTGCAACAATAACAAATATTTATATATTCAAATATTTTAAAATTTGAAACATAAATCCTCAAAGTTTTTAAGAAGTTAAAACTTCTTTAAATTTCTATTAAAATTGAAGATTATAAAACTTCTTTAAATTTCTATCAAAATGGAAGATAACATGAATAAACTTACAAATTCGGGGCTCATCTTGAGTTTTGCCATACTAACAACAGATTCTATACAGTTTGTGATAAGTTGTGATGCTACACATGTGAGAGGTCCATTGCCGGCTTTGTCTATATGCTGACTGCTGTACACATTCACTGACCTATAAACATACAAAATACAGATAATAATCATAATATAGTGGTTATAACAGCAAATGTTACAAGCCAAAACTTAAAATAGAGTTTTTCAGCAATATTTGTATCTCAAGAAAACACTGAATAATCATGTTACTTCTTTTTTTTTTTTACAAAATATTACTGAATATAGAAGACCTTACTGATTATTAGGGTTGGCAAAAGTTGAATTACGTGCCTTTCTTTAAATAAAAGTTTAGACTGTCAAGGCTGACAGCTGAATTGCTAACACCTATAAATACCATGAGTTTCATAGGAATTATGTTGATCATTTCATATAAAGTATTCAACCATAATCCTGCTGGCATAAATCTACCCCCATGTGACCAATACAAACAAAGATCAGTTGGGATGAATGCACCATCCGATGATGGTCTACACTGTCTGTTCTTCAGTCAGTACACAATTTAAAGTTTTCCTCAAATATGATGAATGGTTGTGTCCATATTGAAAGATGGACAAGTCCATTTCAGATAATTAGTGGTGAATGGGTTTATGAAGGAATTCTACAGGTGTATTAACATACCAGTTATCAGTGTCTGCCACTATACAAACAGCTTCTCCTATAGGCTCATCCAACACAGAATACTGAAAATACAATATGACATTTCCTCTACATGACAATATATATATAACAAAATATGTAAAATATAGAATAAATCTTGACAGCTATGTTAAGAGAAACAATGAGAGTTGTGCCATTTTGAAATAAATGCGGTGTATTATGGTATTTTCTCAAAATATTCATGTATATATCCAGTATTGAAATAAAGAAGATAACTTCATAATCAATAACTAATATATCAGTTTCTTAGATTTAAAAATTAATAACCATTCATTCTACAGTGTCAAGACTACATAGCCTTACCCATTTAAAAGATATTTAAATTTCATTTAATTCTTGCCTTAAGATTTTATTCTAAATTATTAGTCTAAAATAAAACAATTACCTGAAGTGCCATCCTGATATCTTTGGCCATTTTCTCTTGAAAATTTTTATCAGACGTTCCATGAAGCACAAAGTCAGACATGTAATGGTCAGAATAATCAGCTAGAAGTGAACGACCAAAGTTCTTATCTACCTCCTTCTGACTACTGCAGTTTATTTCTGGACTCAGTCTGTAACATCAAATAACCATGGATGAATTTTTTTATATATCAAGAGCAAATTAATGGCTGATCATACAAAAAAATGACTTCTTCAAAAGTGAGCACTGGCCTACTGGTTATGGTGTCTTCCTCTCAACCCAGAAATCATGGGTTTCAAGTTTTACCATGGTCATGACCTTATTTCCTCACATAACACCAGTGCTGGTTGGTTACAGGAAGGGACTCAAGTATGGCATAAAGAAGTAACTAAGAAGCAAAAAATAAATACTTGGCTACTTAAAAAAATAAAGATAACAATACTAATAACATTCATTAATAACAGCTTTTATTTACAATTAAAATGATTACACTATCAACATATTTTACTTACACTGGTAATGGCAATTCCTGGCAATAAGCTCTTGGATCCATCAAATCAAAATCAAAACTGCTCATAGATGACATATGTCTTTTCTTTCCAAGCTCTGTAGGTGTTATAGGCCTGTGAAGTTATAAATGATTGATAGCAATAATCTCAAAGATAAAAATATGACATATATGTACAGGTAACATTTGTGAATTATCGTGACTTTTTTATGGATTAAACAATTTTTATATTCAATTAACACAAAACTTAGATTAAAGTAAAGAAACTGTTTCAATCTGAGCATGGTTCATAGATTTCCCATTCTTTGATGAAATATTTAATGATTATTCATTGTCTTTTAACCTATTAAATGATTAAGAATACCAACCTGCAGCGTCCAGTTAAGTTCTTGTTTGAAGATTCTGAAATCTGTCTTGACAACGAAAATCTTCTACGTTTATACGACTGATCTAGTGATCCGAGACGATTTCTCTGTGATCTATCACTGTCACCTTTGCCGTGACTAGAATCAGTTTTAACAGCTGTGAGATCTGGGAGAGATGGTGCTTTATTAGGATCATCCTCATTCCAATACTGACTTGTCTCCCCTGAAAGATTCCGTTGCTTGTTAGTCGGTAAAGCAACAACACGATCTTTTTCATCGATTTCATCGATTGTTTTTGCAACTATTCCCTCCTCATCAAAATATTCATTAAACATACTATCACTCCCTTTCTGTCTGAAAATTGACTTCATTTCATCATGTGACAAGACTTTATTCACGTACTGAGGTATTTTCATATCCTCCGCAACAACAGAATGTGGGGGAAGAGCATGGGTCACTTTAGTATCGACTGCCTTTCTACTATGACCAGCTTTCTCTACTTTGGCGTCTTCAATAATTTCTACCATTGACAGTCTACATTTTTCTGAATCAATTAAATTACTACCTGTTGTATTGGAATTCATGTTTTGTATACAATTCTGAGTATTTTGAGATTCTTCATTTGGTATTTTCAAACTTAGTCTTAAACTGTCTTTCTTTTTCTGCATTTTAAGTTTCTCACTAGAGTCTCTGTCCTCACAGTCAGACATTACACTGGAATCACTTTTATCACAGTAGCAGGTTAAAGGACTTACATAGAACACACTTTTACCGAACTTATTGCTTTCCTCGTAATCCTGAGAATAACTATTCCTCTCGCAAGCCGGGCAAGTTTTCCCATTTCCTGATATATCAGCACTACCCTGATTATTACTATTACAGTCTTTTTCTGTACCACTAGAGGATGATTTAACCTCGTAAGTGTTCAATAAAGAATCTAATCCCAATGATGGAAAAGATGGTAAATCACCTCCAGTCTTTTCTGAAAATGAAAATTTTGGACAGGAATTCACCGGGGTTGGACTAGACTCGAATATTTTATCACTCTCATTTGAGGGAGTTTGTGCACAATGAGCAAGATTTTTGTCACTATCACATGGGCTTTCTGCAGAAAAGTTCAATTTTTCAAGATAAGTTTCCAGGCAACCGTGTTCAGTAGATTCTAAAATGTCACTGCACCTGATGAAGTAACTAAGAATATACAGGATTTTTTTCACTATATCTGCCTTTTTCCCTACTATAACAGTTCTAGAAAGTTTCAGGGGGAATCCTATGGCTCCATATAAATCCCTATAAAAAAAAAGAAAAGATAGAAAAAAAATAACAAATGTTCAAATTCACAACACTAGCACTAGCAATAAATAAAAACAATAATTTACTTAACTTTAAAACTTTTTATCTATGCCTAAACAACATAATATTTCTAGATCTCAGTTCAAAATGCAAAAGATTTACAGTGGTTCAGCTCAGTTAGTAAAAACACTAATGATTAACAATCATAATCAAGAGTCGAACCAAATCAGATTGCCCCACTTCTTTACCATGTTAAAATTTATTTACAAATTCCCTCTCAACATACATGATTAGAAAATTACATACATTGTATCTATAAACACAATAGAATACATACCCAAGTTGAGCCCATAGAGGATTATATGGATGAGATTTGGCTAATGTGTCTACCCACTTGGCGGAATGTTTATCAAGGTATGTTGCTGATGGTGAACCTCCAGCTGGCATTACAGTAGGTACCCAGGCTAGATGATGTGAGAGCACTGCAGTTAGCAAGGTACTCATAAAACTGAAAAATTGTAAAGAAAAATTATTAAGTACATGTATCATCTTAGATACAGAAACTGTATAGTTAAAAGATATATGTAATGAAGTTTACAAAAAAAAGATATATTTAATGACAGATCAAACATCTTGTGACAAAAATTTATCTATTCTTTAATAAATTAGTTGTTTTTTTTCCAAACAGCCAAGGTTTAAAAAAACTCGTTTCACTTTCATTACAACAATCAAATATGTTTAATGGTTTGAAGACACCAAAACAAAGTTTAAGTCATGTCTGGCCACTTTTCCACATTTATTATCGAAGACAAACCTCAAGATAAACCTCCATGCATTAGTCCAGACATAAGCAGACATTACAAACATCTTCCGCAAAGTCATCTTCTGTGGTACATAATTATATAGTCCAATTCTGCACTAATGCTTTATGTGTTATAGTATAAGATGACTTTAGTCAGGAAAAGTGGACTAAACTCTTGGACCATCACTTTGTAACTCTATTAAGTCATACTTCCAACTAATTTTCAAAAAATCTATCTTTAAAAATTCTAATACACAATTTTCTAGTTTGGTAAAAATTATATAAACTTACAAGTTAGTGGATTTATTTTCATATTTGTTGACTAAGAATACAAATTCTTTAAGGAAATTATCACAAAGCATATATCGGTAGCTACTGTATGACATCATGTTTAACCAGACTGGTTCAAGTAAACGAGGTGCTGTGTACAAGTCAGCTATATCACTCTTGAAACATTGAAATGACTGAAATTATAAATAGAAAATATTTTTTTCCTTGAATTCAAATAAACACATTTAAGTTAAATTTCAACTTAAGCATAAAATTTCTAAAAATAGTTTATTTCTTAGCCAGCCAGGACAACTGGTGGATGTCGTAATCTGAAATAATCATTATATCTGTGTATATTATCCATATGGAGCGGATCACATTAAATTGAATGCCGACATGAGAAAACAACCATTTACATCACTTGCGTTTTTTAAATTGACATACTGAATTCTTAAAGAAATTCTATTCTATAGTTCTTAAAATTTACTTACTGTTACTTATTCATATTTATCTTAACCATTTCAAAGGTAATTCACTTTTCATTTTTAATGTTAATGACAATACTTTGAAATGTATTTACGTCTTTACAAATGCTGTTATGGGTCGTTTTCTCATTTTTTTACCAATACAAAAATTGATGACATAAATATCCTTAATTCTTTCTTCTTAATTTACGGACATATTGCTTTTTAACTCCACCATTTTCTTTCCTTTTAAGGGTTTAAATAATCTTTTCCAAAGTTTAAGATGAAATTGGGTTTAAATAATCTTTCCAAAGTTTAAGATGAGATTATGTTACCTCAATCATGGCTTGTAGGAACAGTGGAGTTTTACCACTGTAATAGGCCTTCTCTACATTCTGTCTTAACTCTTCTAAATGACTCTCAAATAACGCAATGTGAGAAAAGAAGAAGTTCTCAAACAATCTGAAATAACAAAGGAAGACAAAGGTTTTAGTGCAAAAACTTCCATATATCAATGTACAGAGTCCAACAGTTTCAGATATCAAACATACATCAGTGTAAAGTCCAATCATAGTAAAAACACTTTGACTTTTAAACTATAAGTTTGTTAGAAGTCTATGTCTAGTAAAGAAAGAAGGTTTTTACCCTCTGAATACAAGATTATCTTTTAAGAAATAATCTGACATAAGAGATCTCAAGGAAATATACAATAAACAGAATTGATAAAATCAGCGTGCTATCAAAATTCTCTTTATGCAGATCAATTCTTATGCAAATCGTTTCCTGATTTAAGTACATAATTCAAACAGTTGTTCTTGTTAGTAAATTAAAGGTTTAACATAAAATAAGAGTTGATTTAAGCTAGCCTATGGAGCTTTACTTTCCACAGAAACTATTTATGTGTCCAAATATACAAAGACAGTCCATAATCACCAAAACCTGCTAAATTTTTTCAATAGACTTGTTGTCCACCTTTCATTTTTGGATCCATTATCAATTTTGGATATAAAAAAGAAATTTGTCAGCCCACATTATAAAGCTTGGTCAGAATACACAGCTGAACAGGCTGACCTGGTTCTTCAATGGTAGCAAAGGCCATCACTTTTTGTAAGTGGGTAAAAGGGTAAAGATATGAAGAAAGTAACTGCAAATTCTACATACAAAACATGCAATGTGGTTGAAAACTTACCTATTAGCTTCTGAATTATTCTCATCTATTGTACCAAAGATAATTCCAAGTGCCATTTTACACTTTTTAGACCTATTAGGAGATATCAACTGCTGAAAGAAATCAAATTAATGTAAAAGTAAATAGTTTAAATTAGGAAAATTTATGTATGCAATTCATATTTCAATATTCTTAAGCAATTTATTGATGATTCAATTTCCTTATTTTCCACACCACTGACTTTAAATATTACCAATTTTCACTTTCTTTCAGCTATTAAATTTAAATTCAAGCCACCAATGTAACTTTCAAACTTAGACTTAAACTCCCCCACCACAAAGGAATAATATCATGAATAGATTTTGACTTTTTGCATGCTTTGTCTTAAGCAACCTTTGGAATTACTTTATACACATTTGACTGTACATATGTATACATAAGTTAATAAAATAAATACCTATTGACTTTTTAAAATTTATTTAACATATTTACCTCTCCTAGAATATCCTGCTGACTTTTTCTTCGACCGCAGCTTTCAAGAGAGAAATGTTGCCCACGGTGATACCTCCTTTCTCGCGTCAAACTATTGCAACCACTGCTACTGCTGCCTGGTGAGGGGTAGGTCGCGTGAAAACTTCCACTGGAGTTCACTGAAAAATGAAAGTAAGTCTTATTAAAGAAAAGCCAAATAATCTATATCAATCACTTACAAGTCAGCTTTCTGGAACCAACCAGTGCTGGTGTCATACGAGGAAACATGGTTGTGACCCAATTTGGGCTCGAACCTATGATCCCTGGATTGAGAGGCAGACACCTCAACCACTAGACTACTGCTCCAATTTAATTAATGAAGTAAATTTTTTTAAACAAGAATTGCTCCGTTTTATTATATAGAGTAAATCAATCCATTTTATAAACACCAACACAGTGTGACTAAGAAAAGGGATTGTTCAGGTCTCATGGTGAATGAGAACCTTAGATGCTAGAATGTTTGCTATTTCATGTATATCACTAAGAAGCAACAACTAGTTACTTTGAAAAAAAAATTCAGTTCATAATTTAACATCGAAAAACTGAACTTACATGATGCTAACCCACTATCCTCATCAATCAAGTCAACACTTCTCATCATCCAGCTGTACCGAGGTGATGGTGACGGCACATCTACAGGAACACTCTGTGCTGTAACAATAAATTAATCTTACATTTAAAATCGCAACAAATCAAATAATACACAAAATACCTCTGTCAAATAATTAATTTCTCAATAAAAATGCAAGATAACTTGCAAAGTAAAATAAAGAACTGGAATATAATCCTGGACAGCATTTGTTTGGGGTTTGAGACAGAAAAAGAGCATTCCCAACATATCCAAAAGTTTTATATAAATAAAAAGACTAGTCTGTATGTAAAACTTTGTTTTGTGAAATTTCAAATGCTGTACACTTACTTATAAATAAAGTCAGGGTTCTATCTAGCCTATTATTGCATGTTATGAGTTAAGTGTTTCACAAATATTTTTTTTTAATCTTAAATATATCTCTAAAATAAGATATTAAGAATATGAGAGAAATCACGTCATCTGGAAAATTATTATAACACTAGCTTACCAATGCCTAAACTGTTTTCTCTACTATCATGAGATATTGTTCTTGGTGCAGTAAGGTCAGGAGCACTTGAAAAGGTTAATGAATCTTCATCCCTGTTAAGAAAATAGTACATGTATAAAAGGTTATATTAGAATATAATGAGTAAAACAAGTGGGCTTTACCCAGTGATGAAAACATTATCTCATTATAATCAATGTAAAATGAGTTTAATATGTGGGCTTTTCCTTGTCATAAATAAAATCAGATTTGGGTATATTAGAATATAGCAAATTAAATATGAACAATTAACCTGCTAATGAAAAGTTCTATTCAAGGTATATTTGAAAATTTTGAGATACCCGCTAATTAAAATAATATTTATAATATATATAAAAATATAACATGTCAAATATAACTGAATAAACTACTGGCTATTAAAACAATATTCTTTATTATATAAATTTTATTAGGACATTATGAGTCAAAAGTGTGTGACTTCCATGTAGTGATAAAGTCGTCATTTTGAACTTGCTGATATGGCTACCATGTACAGTCAGCTACATAATCTCAAATATATTATCAAACTAAAATCATTAATCTAAAAATACTTTCCCAACTTTATTTCCTTTGATTTCAATTATTTGTACAAATCATCATCTTAGTGCAGTAACAGGTTTAATTTCTATTAAATGATGAATTAACCCTTTACTGCACTAAAGTGACAAAATGTGGTAAACCTTCTTTCTGACATATATTCAGAACATATAAAAGTATCAACAATCAGTACTAGTGCAAAACTTGTCTCCACTCATATGACAAACTCCCTTTAATGTAAACCTTTCTTAAAAATATTATGTCTAGAGTACATACCTATAATCATAAACACACTTCAAACTCTTATTTTTCCCTTACTGTTACAAAGTATTGCAAAGAACATACTATCTAATAATCATAAACTTATTATTTGATGATGATACTCTTCACAACGGACAATGCTTATGTTATTTTTGTATGTGTGTTTCTTTTGGGTCAGGAATAAACCAATGGGCAACAAGGTTCAAAGATAAAACACATAATGTTTTTATTTGTATATTATTTACTTACGCAACTGACAGCCTCTTTGGTTTCTCAGGAATAAAAACTTTTGTTAGAATAAGCTCTGGTGGAGACCTGAAAGTATCATTGATAACATCAGAATATAAAATACATTTCATTTAATCAAAAGCTGATGTGCATTTACATGTTTTTTTTTCGAGAATTACATTAATATATTAAACTCATATCACAAAAAAAATTGGCAAGATAAATAGAATTTTGGAACAGCAAAATAACTTTATAAAACCTTTCTTGTTTGTGAAAGACCTACGGAGTGTCATCAAGACCACATAAATTATCCGCCATACTATTCTGTATCACCAGTGCCTTGACTATATACAGTGTATGATTAGCGTCATTTATATTTTTTTAAAAAAATACAAAAGGTTAAAAACATATAATGGTTATCTGACTGCTAAAAATTAAAATTTATAAACATTATACACACCTGACAACATGAACTTTGAGGGAGGTCCCACGATAGGCCACGCCCTCAGCACCAAACATGACCTCTTCAAATTTTTTGGCATCTGCACCAGTTTTGGTGGGCTGAAAAATTAGAAAATAAAAAAAAATGCAAAAAGGTTGTTGATAAGCTTCAATAAATCAAAAACTTCAAACTAACAATAATTTGTACAAAACTATGAATACAATATTTGACCTCAGTTTTTTTTCTATGTTCTGTATTTAAAGAACCAGATGCAGTACAAATTGTAATATTTGATTGATAAGATTGTGTATAACATGGGGGTGGGGGGCTGTTATGGCCTTAAACCATTGACTGCATGACACCACACTGTCAATGTTCTAATTGCCATGAGTGCGATTGGTTTAACTGATATATTTTACAGGTAAACAACAAGAACTGATAGGTCATTGACATGTGAAATATGATGCTAGAAATGATATACTCCCCTTCTGATAGTACATTCAGATTAAAGAAAATTCATGTATAGATTAAAAACACAAGAATGACACTTCAATGATAACATTGTTTACAAAGGGAGATAATACTGACTTGATCACATGATTAAAAGGTGTTAATCTAAGTTTTATCTTCACATGATCATTATGTACAATACTAGTGATATCACAAGGTATCAAAATGTAGGACTACAGGTTGGTGAGAACATGACTGCATTATACAATGACTTACATGTACAAAATCAATTAAGGTATCCTATAATTAGGTCAGTCACAGTCCACATGACATAATCAATATTAAGGAACTTAGATCTACACATGCCACAAACAAATTTATATTAGAAGATAGGCTTGATTTCAAGCAGATGAAATAAATATAATCATATATGTGTAACTACCTCTCTCCCTCTCCATCTTTTACCTTTACCTAGGTGTTTTCTAAGTTCACAAACATGGTTATAATTCAGTAAAAATCCATGCTACAGTTATTGATCTAATAAAAGTTATACAAAGTAAAAAAAAAACTGAATAAAAAAGACAATAGCTATACAAGAATCTTTAAAAAAATACCTGATAATTATGAAATTTCTGATTTGTGACATTTTTTGGCACTTGTCCTTCTGCTACTGAATTGAGTTTCTGTCCTGGACGACATTTACCCCATCTACAACTCTATATCAATATAAAAATATCATTGTTAATTATTGGCTAAGGCTAAAAACAGCATTTGAAAATTTTCATGCATTATGCCATAACATTGATTAATAAATTGTGGAAGACTAGAAGTAATGTGTGACATAGAAATTCTAAAAACATGACAATGTACATGCTTATTACAATTTAATAAAATCTTAATTATCAAGATAGAGTGTATCTTAATATCACTGTGAAAAAGTATACATGAAAAAATATACATACATATCTAGTTGTTAAACAATAAGTTGTCAAAATATTTACTGTTTTACAATAATGGAAAAAACATGTTATCGATTTTCATTATTAATCTAGTTGAGCAGAAAAAATGTTTTAAATTTCAAATCACACATAAAACTAATGAAATGACAAACCTTTTCTTCTTCCTTAACACATTTGGAATCAAAGATGATTTCTCTACCCCTTCCATCACTATCACGAAACAACACTAAGCGTACTGACTTTTCATCAAACTGTGGCTTTTTCCAACTGGAAAAGAAAAAGAAAAATACATAACACATTCTATATACATGTATTCATTTCAGATAATACATAACATCTTTAAATAATATACTTATCTAAATATGTGTATGTTGAATATAAATTATATATTATAAGTTGTAAAACAGTAAAGATATTTATGTTAAATTTATATATTCATCCAATTCTCTCTAAAAAAAAATTCATGCTTTATCAAGTGACTGGTATTGTATATAATAATTTGGTTACCTTTTTACATGAGCATCAGAATGCAAAAATTTTCCTTTTAAAGAGGTATAATAATTCACTGGAAACACTATTCCGTTAATAACTGGCATTTTCATTTTCTTATAAAAAGATCAACAATTTCATTTCCTTCAGCATCTCAATGCAAATGTTATCATTCATATTGACAAGTCACCTATTGAATCAAGTCACATGGTTATCCTGCGCCCTTTCCAGTCATGCGTGACACAAATTGTAAACAAACTCAAATTGCGATATTTCATTTAAACTGACATCGCTAGCTCTAAATACGCTATGAATTTCAGATACGTGTATATTTCACAAATAAAGCAAGCATGTTCTTATTAAAAAATAAATAGGACAGAAAATGATAGTATGTGTACAATCGAAAGTACTAGAGAACTTACAATAACAGTGTTATCTACCAAACCGTGTGACACACTCGTGACGCTTAGAAATTTTTACCGCGGTTTGTAACACAACGTAGAAGAAAACAATTAATAGTAAATTTCAACGATAGTACTTACTCATTTTTCGGATCGCTATATGAAGGTTTACGGCTGTTTTGTCTCACGAATTTTCTTGGATTTAGTAGTTTTTGAAAAAATGCCATACTGTCTTAGTTCTTCGCCTCCATTTTCATCATCACATGACAGCTTATCATCCAAAACGCATTATGTCACAGGCCTTCTGATTGGCTATTAGACATTTTGGCTATTGGCCAACTTTCTATTTTTGGCTTTTTAGACATTTTAGCATTTCAGTACAGTAGCGTATACAATGAGATATAATGAGGTAGCGCAAAAAAAGACCGAAATCGAAAAGATGTTTCTGCATGAAATTTATAACAGTATTTAATTGTTTTATTAAACTTAAATTTGCTTTGAACATTTGTATAAATATTTTAAAGATACTACTACAATCTAGCTAGACCTATCGATTCTATATATGAAAGTGATATCTTTATCACACATGTGTTTTTATCTATAGTATATTAGAATATCACAATTTTACAATATTATGACATCCGGGACTACAGTTGCGATTTTTTTTCATTTCACTATATTGATTTAGATCTATATAATAAATGACTAAAAATGGATAAAATTAGGGTTCAGTTATTTCAAAGTGGTGGAGGGGGGGGGGGGCACAAAGCAGAGCAGGAATAACTATATATTAGGTTTTATGGTTAAGGTGTCATTATTTTCAGTGTCATAAAGCATTTTCTAGAAAATTGGTCACTTTGAACCCCTTCTACTTTGGGGGGGGTGGAAGGGGGGATACATGCAGCTTTGTCTTTGCCCGGCCGTCACGCTGTTCTGCTGTCCGTCCGTACATAATTATAGACTGAAAAATAACCCAACAACAGTAAAATGTGCGGAAAACCGGCGTCAATATTGTCGTTTCACTGCTTCCGAGGGATTACCATGCATTTTTCGTGAATTTTGATACTTCACAATTAAAAGCAGGTGTCAAGTACCTTAATTGTGGCAGCTGTAAGACGTTGCCCCGTACTTCATTTCAGTGCTGTTATATTTTCTGGTCCTCCGGCAATATTGATTCATGAAGATTTAATACCGCTTTACGCCTGAGATCTTAAGACGTTACACTTTTACAGTATCTCTCATGAATGGACTCAATCAAATCGAGTTTGAAATTTTCACATACAATTGTGGTTTCACTGCTTAATGAAAATTGATTGTAGCGATCAAATTTGGACACGCATAGATGTCTATAGATTTCATTTGTAAATAATGGCAGTTATATGGCACAAAAACACAATTCTTTTACACCCCCTTATCACATGGGATACACTTAACAGGGGTGAAAAAGAATTGTGTTTTTAGGACATATCTAGTTATATGGCACAAATGTAACCATGTATCCCATTCTTAACAGGGGTGAAAAAGAATTGTGTTTTTAGGACATATCTAGGAAACCGGCGTCAATATTGTCGTTTCACTGCTTCCGAGGGATTACCATGCATTTTTCGTGAATTTTGATACTTCACAATTAAAAGCAGGTGTCAAGTACCTTGTGGCAGCTGTAAGACGTTGCCCCGTACTTCTTTTCAGTGCTGTTATATTTTTCTGGTCCTCCGGCAATATTGATTCATGAAGATTTAATACCGCTTTACGCCAGTTTATGGGAAGACGTTACGCTTTTACAGTATCTCTCATGAATGGACTCAATCAAATCGAGTTTGAAATTTTCACATACAATTGTGGTTTCACTGCTTAATGAAAATTGATTGTAGCGATCAAATTTGGACACGCATTCACTTAACAAATCTTATAAGTGTGCACCATTTATGTCCTTATAACTTTTTCGTTTATCAATATATTTCTACAAAATTTTGCGTACTGACTATTGGCTGCATTTCCACACTTTTCCCGTGTTCAGGCATGTCAATTTTAATTATGAGGTGCGTTCAACCATGAACGGACGGAATTCACAAAATGCACGAAAAATTGTCAGAATGGGTAAAATAAAATTGCACATGATATTCTCGGATACGATAGAGATCGACACATCAGAAAAACACCACATGGGTAGATTATCTATACAACAGCATGACATCGGCCGAGGATTGGTCAACGCTGGAGTACACCAAACAGAGGTTGGTTAATTTAATTCCTTTGCATTGTAAAAGCCGAATATCATTTAAATTCAGTTTCTACCTAAGACAAACATAAATGCATATTTTTTATTTACTTATTACATGTATGTATCATTTGAAGGTTGCGCCTCGCATGGTTGTACACCGAAATATTTTCAAAAGGCTAATCATTAAGTACAGAGCAACTGGCATCATTGGTAACCTTCCTCACCGACACCAAAATTATCTACAACGTTTTGTAAGACACTGCCAGGCTGTAATACACAGTCAGGATGGGCACACACGGTATTAGGACATCATTTTGCAACATCGACTTTTGACATGCATTCACATATTTTAGAAATACATCTTAAATTTGTATCCTGAATGGAATTAAAATGGATAAAAATGATACTGTGTCTCTTTTCTGTATTTTTTCAAAATTTCAGCATGATCGGGCAAATATTGATACACCTATGAAACCATTTATACATGCACACTTATAAGATTTGTTAAGTGTAGATGTCTATAGATTTCATTGAATTTTGTAAATAATGGCAGTTAATAAGACGAAATAAATAACATATACATGTAATACGTACTGATTATGTGCACAGTACCTTGAACAATATAGTAAATTATATGTTCTAAACAAACAAACAAATTAAAAAATTGTTGATTTTTACTACTGTTTTAATTATGTTTTACATAACAAAACTCAAATACATGTTAATAGCAATTGATATCTTGATACTATGAACGGCAATGATGTTATGGTATGTTTCGTGAAAGACTTAAATCTGTACAAATATTTCTTTCAACGAGCTTATACACCAAAATGCCTTTATTTTTATTTCTCAACATATTTTAATTTTTGGTGTCCTGGCATATTTTCCAAAATGCAATTCATTGACAAATTTAAACCTGAACCATCTTTTGCTTAGACCGTTGCTTTTGGCAATAATTAAGTAGTGATTTAGTATTTTTGTATGGAAGTCAAAATACTACTTTGTTTACATTTTATTATATATGACCTGATTTATTGTTAAACAATAATACATGAGTCAACATCAACAGGCATATGAATAATAAAAACAATGAATAGAATTAAAACAATGTTCACTTGACCATGAGAAAGCTAATTATTTTCTGAAATTAGATTAGAACGGAAGCATGAATACGCATGCATCCATTTGTTTAACGACAGCTTTTCATGAAAACTTTTTTTGAAAACTAATGGCGGATTTCGCGAAACCAGATTAAAAAAAAAACGTGAATATCAATTTTATTATCGCGTCAATTAATGTTCTAGTCTGATACATCTATTCCACATAAAAACAGACACCATATTTTCTGGAAAATCATCCAACTTCTCGTTTTAATGAAAATTTAAATTCCAATGTGTATATCAGTTTCAGTATTATTTTCACGAAATTTTTCATATAAAAATGCCGTTATCACATTCTATGCTCATCATTGGGTAAAATACTTTTGTTGCAGAAATTTATTGAACTCTGGGAAATTCTTACTGAATGTTTGTAATTTGAACAAGAAAGTTCACAAACTATGCTTAGAAGACGGGTAGGTAGGAAGGTATTTATGAGCAAAAACACTTACATGTATTTTTCAAATATGAATGTGAGCATATAATATCTTCTAAGTACTTAAGAGAAACATTTCAAGTTTTGGCTATTGACTTGCTCTCGAAATCATTTTATTTTTCTCGTTTTCTGATTATAAAATACATATAATGTAAAACCAATTCTCCATGAACTCCGTCACTGTCCGTTAATAGTTCCGAAGAGGGGAGTAATTGCTTTAGAAGTGTAGAAATTTCTCCCAGCGTTTACTTCCCCTGGTAAGTACAAACCATCATAAGACGACATGGAAAGTGGCCAAATTCGCCAATTAATGGCATTCGCATATTTTCAGCCCTTTCCGTCAAATGATTACGGGCAACATATCATATACATTTCTGTAATATAAATCTCCCCTTTAATAACAGCAATTTGTCAGAATATGAGTTTATAAATATAAAGTTGCAGCACATATCAAGTTTTTTTTTATATTCATCCACTGCAAAATTAATGAAGCTAACTATCACTGACAGACGGACAGCGGTGAAGAGGAAGCCTTTGCTCTAGATGCTGTCGCCATTTCCTTAACTCTCCGTTGCCTCTCTCTTATATCTGGCGTTTTTCTATACGTGTACATGAAAAGACAAAAGATTCAAATTTTAATTAATAATACTGACCAAACAAATGAATAAATACACACGTGACTTTCACTAGCAGCGGGGCATGACCTCTGTGAATAATTTAGATCATGAGCGGCGACAGATTGCCCATCTTTGTAGAACCACTTACCTCCAGTACACTTTTGCATGTAAAGCTTTATTACAGGAAAAGCTTAGCTCATTTCAGGTATTCAGCACACAATAATAAAAAAAAGTGTGAAATGGTATAAAATAGTACAAAACTATGACATTCAGATGACCACGGAGGTTACAATTAATGTAAAAATTAACCGTTATTTTCCTAGCAATAATTGGTCGTTTCTTTTTTGCAACGTTTTTCAAACATCTATAATTCAATGGGCATAATGGGGCATATCAAAATGTAAAACTTGACATGTCGTCTCGAACTGGAAGATATTTAGAATAATCATAATACGTGACAACGTTAATACTGAAATACATATGTAACATATTAGCTGGTGCCCATGGTTTCCAGATTTTGTATTAGTCATTCCTTAATTTGATTTCACCTAAGGTTGTCTTAAAGTTAAATAACGTGCAGAAAAAGTGTACAAAATATTGTTTGCAGAAATTATATTGATTTAATAGTTGCGCAAGAACATTGTCAAATGAGAACTTAATTGGTCGCTTAACGCACCAAAATTGAAAATATTGTACATAATTATGCTGTTTGATGTTGACAGTGCACGAGTAATTCATGCTTACCATGCATATGCTACTAACGTTCCGCCCATTTTCTTCCAGCACCGGCTTATGCTGAATTCATCTTTGAACTTATAAGTTATCATAAATCTATATATCAATGCATTTTTATGGTTAATACCGTCTGCTTGCCTGTTATAAGTTCGTAAATTGTTTTAATTCTACAATGGAAACGGGATGATTCTTAAAACAACATGATCTAACATGGAACTAACATGATTTAAATCCATTATTTTTTTATTATGAAACACATTTCTGCCGTATTTTGAGGAGAGAAATTGTAGTCATTACCGATGCTTAATGTGCCTTTAAATTTGACAATAATGGATATAGATACATACTTTTCAGCTTCTTTGGCTTTGCTTGACTGTTCTTTTAAATAATTGACGCACATTCGCCTTCTTGACGCATCGAAAAGCTTGTGGTCTACTCTTCCAGCTTTGTATTTGATTTCGTTTAGAGATGCCTCTTTCATTATCTCCGCTATAAGCATTGATTCTTCATCTGTATAGGACATCTGACAAAAACAAGGAAATTTATTTTTAGTGAAGAAGAAGAAAATTATCTTTAGAGAAAACAATGACATGGATCTTTAGAAGAGGACATGTATCTTTAGAGAAAACAAGGACATGTATCTTTAGAGAAAACAAGGACATGTATCTTTAGAGAAAACAAGGACATGTATCTTTAGAGAAAACAAGGACATGTATCCCTAGAGAAAACAAGGACATGTAACTTTAGAGAAAGCAAGGACATGTACATGTATCCCTAGGGAAAACAAGGACATGTATCTTTACAGAAAACAAGAACATGTATCTCTAGAGAAAACAAGGACATGTATCCCTAGAGAAAACAAGGACATGTATCTTTAGAGAAACCAAGGATATGCACCTTTAGAGAAAACATGGACTCTTATCTTCGAGAAAACAAAGACGTGACTTTGTATCCTTGAAAAAGGCGTCGTTGAAAATAGCAATAAGATTGCAGTTCGATGAGAATTTAGGTTCCACGTGAAGCAATGTAATTATTAATTTGGTATGCATTATCAATTGGTATACAATTTTTAATGTGCTTATATTCAAATTCATATTCAAAAGTTAATTGATAAGGTATTTTTTATCTTCAATCAGACCTTATTTTCATAACACACACATATATACTTCTAACTCAGGTCATAATGTAGTGTTCACTTTTACTTGTATGAAGTGAAGCTAGAAAGAAAACAAAAATACATTAAAACTTTGACAGAAATATTAAGTATACCCAAACTACTGTTACACAATGCGTTTCAACAATCTGGCTAAAGTTCAGATCTACTTAAGTTATTTATTTCATGTAATGGGTAGCGTTAATTAGGAGCTGATTTTTTTAATCAGATTGCGTTTCAGCTACACAAATCTTCGACAATTGAAAGAAAGTGGTACTCACAAACAGTGCATTTTTTTCTTTATATTCATATCATTTCAAAAAGTTAAAAAAAATTCTTATATTTACCAAATTCTGTGATTGTCTATTTTTCCTCTCTTCTTGTCTCTGTAGCAGTCTGGAAGGAACACTTACATGGCTCACACTGGGTTTCTCTACGTCAAAGTCAATAGAAAACGACACACATTTATGCTTTTTAACGTCCTCTAACGAAGAAACAGGTTTCATTTGTCGAAGCATTTTAATAAGTTCACAAGCTAAGGTGTAATCCGACTTTTAAATGTTTTTTATTTCTCCCAATCAACATTCAAGATCAGAACAGAAATATTTGCCGCTGTTTAAATTAACTTGTCATATAATTATATTTTGGTATATAAAAAAAGCTACAAAGTCAAAGAATAAAACATTCTTTAACAGAAAAACTGAAAATAAAATAATAAATGTTGATAACACTATGTAAGACATCATCAGCATTACCATAGAGATAAAATATAAACAGTACATTTTATTCCAATTGTTTATTTCTCAGTTTTTATCCATTATACAAAATTGTTCTGATTTACATTGCATTATATCAACCAATGTTGTTCGCAGTTTATATAGGGAATTTCAGTGTCATTTTTATTTCGTTTTCTTCAAATTAGTTTATAAATGATAATAATGATCATACATTTTTCGACGACTTGCAAATTATATAAATATTTTTTCTACAAACCTCCTATTACAGAAATTATCATGTAATTATATTGAACTTTTTCTTCTCTAAAGAAGAAAAAAAAATGATATAGGCATATAAAATTATTGAAACTAATAATTTTGTAATTAATATGTCAATATATAAGGTCCTTCAATGGTATATGATTCATAAGAAATAAGTTGCGAGAACGTTTCCCTGTACAGTATAATTCACAATAGTCCAAAATTCGATATTTTTTATCTCTTTTACCACGGACTTTAATATGACGGGAAATAGCAGACTAATATTCCGGATATAGCTATTGTACCGGTCTCTGTATTTTATTGACGATTGAATACTCTTCTAAATAGAGATTTACACCAACTTTCACGTGAAACTTTAAAATCAAAATAATTTAGTTAATTTTTACTTTTTCAATATAAGAACAAGATAAAATAAACAAAAATGGCAGAGGTTGTAAACGAAAGAATTGAGGACATGCTGCCAGAGTTGGAGCAGATGGAAAGAGTGAAATTATTCAACAAACACGAAATAAGGTACAGGTTCTATCACCTGATCACTAGTATCAGTCATTCAGTGCCTATAATATTTACCTGTAGGATCATACCTGTAGGATGATTCTGGGTTCTGAAGGGCTAAGCGCATTTTTAAGCCTCTCTTCTTTTGACAAACTTTCGCCACTACTTCATATTAGTCTCATAACTTTTATGTTTATTCATATACACTTATACATATTTCATCTTTTATCTCAGTCTTGTAGTTCTTTTTAACTTGCTTTTTACTGTTTCAAAATCGTAATCGATTACACTAAGCAGGCGCGTTGTCTGGGAATAGCTGTTAAAAACAAATATGTTTATTGGGTGCATTTGGGTATATTTGGGTATTTCGTGCCGCCGCTTGTGTCTATAAATTTGCACTAAACATATTTGTTTTTAACAGCTATTCCCAGACAACGCGCCTGCTTAGTGTAATCGATTACGATTATGAAACGGTGTAATGTAGATGTAGACTCTGTTAACAATGCTGTATAATTTTAACAGCATAATGTTACAATAACATTTTAAACTTTATATGGAGTGTCTCCGGTCCAGTGTTGATCTAGCTAAAATGAGCTTGATTTTAAAATCATGAACACTTTTTGAGTGTACTATATTTTTGGCAAATTATTCAATGTTTTAATTACACGTCATGAAAAATGATGCAAGCAATGAGTTGTTCTACTATGAGGCATTTCTATTTTCAAATTATGTCCCATTTTGATGCCGAGAAACTAAAAAGTTTTCGAAAGTACAGTCATCTAAGCCTTTAACAGTTTTTAATGTCTGATTCATGTCCCCTTTTATTAAATATGGATTCCACACAACATTTGCAAATTTAACATTCAGATGAATTAAAGCTGTATACAATTTAACAAAGGTGTATTCATCTAAAAACTCAAAGGACCTGTTAATAAGACCTAGAATACTGTTTGCCTTGTTAATCTTTGTAGAAATATGTTTACTAAATTTTAGATCTTTTTCAAAAATAACTCTTAGATCACATTCCTCTTGAGTATCTGATAGAGTCTCAAAACATTTAAAATTTGTAAAGCACAAGACCTTGTAGTCCAAAAAACATACTGATTGCCAGATAATAATTTATTTTCCTCAATATGTTTCCTTATGTGTTTTTCAATATCTTCTTCCAATGTTTTATACAATATTTAATTTCTTGAATGTATATAAATTTGCCCCCCCCCACCGCTTCCCCCGTTGTCAATGAGTAGAATCAGGCAGTAGGTTTAGGAGAAAAATGTAGTCTGCTAGCTTGTCTGACACAATAAGATGAAAATCGAAGAAAAGAAGGCTGTTAGAATGAATATATTTATTGTATTTACATCATGTCATGAAGGAAAATGTGAACTATTACTTGCAATAATAATAAATCGCTGATACAGGTTTTATATGTATGATGTCATGATGTCATAGCTCCATATCCATACAGATATTTAAAGGTATATATAAATGTGAGCTGCTTAAAACAAAACATTTGATTAACCCCACTCTTTAGAAGTTGTTGTTTTTTTGCAGACAAATTACAAGTAAAAGAAAGATATATGAGTATAAATTGAGGCGAAAACAGAAAGTGAAGGAAGACTACTTGCAGTACATACAAGTAAGTATGGATTTTATAAACAAAGTTCAATTTATAGTGACTTCTATGCTTGTTTAATTTTGTGTAATGTTAGAATAATTTTTAGCTTTAAATAACCATTTTTGATTCCATGATTAGATTTGATATTTGTTAGTACCAAAGGATCCTTTAAATTTAACATATTTGTGTATTTTAATGATTTTGTTAGTTAGAAATATTACACTTTTAATGTTGATTTTCAGTATGAAACTAATCTACTGGCTTTGATTAAAAAGAGAAGAGAGGTAAAGTATTATTAATGCATTAGACTATCTTATGTTTTATTTATATAAATAATTATTTGATTATGCTCTAGCTATCCATTTTGATATATCCAGTTGACCTTTTTAGCTTCCTAAAACATCATTCATATGGAAACTTGAAATTTAAATTAACATTGACCTTAATAGATTTTACGTATTAACACTTGAACATAAACATATTTTCTAGTGTATTTTAAATATTTGAACTGTTTTCTTGAGACATTTTCAATATACTGATATTGAATATACACAAAAATATTAATTTCTGAACACAAGGTTTCTCTCCTGGTTAGCACATCTTCAGATATGGAGATATAACATCAGATAAGTTGAAAGAAATAATTTATGTATATGTAATTAGGTATTTGATCTATGGCTTGTATTTAACTCTCATTGATTTTACTAGAACAGATTACACTTGGCCCTGTAGCACCTCGTGTGATCCTATCCTAGTAAAATTTACTCTGATCAAATACAAGTTCCAGATCAGTATCCTTTTATGATAACTCTATTATATGCACAGGATTATGATAAAGTATGTTAATTTTCATTCTTTTGATTGTTTTTGTTTCAACTATTGGTATTGTAGAGGTCTGGCTACACATTTAAGAAGCTTGAAATAGATGTGGCCATTTTACAGAGAATTCACAAACTGTTCAGGGTAAGTGAGGCATTAGGTTACCATTCATTTGATTGGTTCCGTATAAGCAAAGGTTAGAAATTGACCAATTTTACATTTCTTCAGGCATTAATTTCAATATGTTCTGGTATTTGGCCTACTCATATTTTGAATAGGCATCAGGAATTTATTTGATTTTCAACAGTTATATGTCTGACAACTTGCACATTATTTTAAAGGAGACACATACAATTTTGATAGTTCTTATATCTTTCTTTGTAAAGTACAAGTTTTAATTAATTTCTGAATTTTCATTTCAAACACTCAGATGCATCTGTTTACTTGCTAAAATAGTAAAAATACAAAAAATACCCCCCCCCCCCCAAAAAAAAAAAGAGAGAAGAAAATAACAAACAATTCCACCCTTGGTTGGTGTTACCATGTAAGAGAGTTTTAACATTTTGATTATCTTTGTTTGCTTTAAGGAACCATCAGTTATATGTGATTTACTGTTTTAATGAATTGCTTTCTGCTAAAATCTTGATTTTCTTTCTTTCAGTTGGCACTTTCCAGATTCCCTGTAAGTATACACTGTATCTTACTCATACCTCATTATTTACTTGTATTGCATAAAGCCTAATATATCTTGTTGTGAATAATAAATATAAGTGTAAGGGTGATTAGAGATTGTGTTAGAATAATTATTAAAGGGACTCCACTGGGTTTTATTTTTACATGACCTACTGGAAATATTTTTCTGAGATTTGTGCACCATTTGATGTAGGTCAGGACCAATAATTATGTTTTTGTTATATTTTTCAGGAGGACATCAAGTTATGGTTGACATATATTGCTTTTGCTAAACATAGGGTAAATTTATTTGTTTATTTTTGACTAGAATAATGTTTTAACTAGTATACCAGTACAGAGTCAGGCTTGCCAGCACATCTCTGCCATCTGAGATATGTTAGCAGTCAACCAACTTCATATAGACATCCTGATTTCCCCAATATTGTTAATGTTCATACCGGTACATTGAAGGTAGACAAGCCAGTGTAAGGCAATTTCAGCATGATTTTTGTTTATTTTCTGGGGGATAGCATATTTGTCTGATTCTATTACTGTCTAGCTATCAATATGGTATTAAAAAACCCCAGATCAAATAGATGTCAGTAATTATTCAAGTTTTATGTAATATTGTACAGGGTAATAAACAGTAATAAAAATTTATTTTAAAAAACACATTATGCCTAAGAAATCATTTTTTTTTAAAATTCTTTAAAAAGTCAAACATTTGTTTTATAATGTTTTAATAAGAAATTTAGAACATGTTAGATGTTTAACAACCAAAGAAAGTAGTTATGAATGTGCAGTTGTGTTTCTTAAAGGTACCAAAATGTTGGCAAAGTAGCATTTTGACTTCCATACAAATACGTAATCACTTTAATAATACCTACTGCCAAAGAGCAACAGAAAAAAAGATAGTTCATCTATATGGTCAATAAGTAACTTTTTAACCCTACTTTACGAGGTATATGGAGTGTTGTCCTACTCATCTTGGCATCGGCGTCCATGTCTGCTTCAAGATTTTAGATTAAAGTTTTTGTGCAGTAAAATATTTATTAGTCCCCTACCGGTTTACCGGAGGGGACTTTAGGTTTACCCTCCGTCCGTCTGTCTGTCCGTCCGTCCGTCTGTCCGTCCGTCTGTCTGTCTGTCAGTCCGTCCGTCAGTCCGTCCGTCCACAAAACTGGATCCCGCGATAACTTGAAAAGTACTGAAAATATTTTTATGAAACTTGATATATGGATAGATGGCAGTATGTAGATTATGCACGTCTTTTTCTTTTCTTCCTATGTTGAAAATTCTGGTTGCTATGGCAACACATAGGCTTAAAATATGGCAAATTTTACACATAAACTGGATCCAGTGATAACACAAAAAGTACTGGAAATATTTTTATGAAACTTGAAATATGGGTAGATGGCAGTCTGGAGATTATGCACGTCTTTTTCTTTTCTTCCTATGTTGAAAATTCTGGTTGCTATGGCAACAAATAGACTGAAAATATGCCAAATTTTACACATAAACTGGATCCTGTGTTCGCAAAAAGTAATAGAAATATTTTTATGAAACTTGTAATATGGGTAGATGGCAGTCTGGAGATTATGCACGTTTTTTTCTTTTCTTCCTATGCTGAAAATTCTGGTTGCTATGGCAACACATAGACTGAAAATATGGCAAATTTTACACTTACACTGAATCCAGTGATAACTCAAAAAGTACTGGAAATATTTTTATGAAACTTGATATATGGGTAGATGGCAGTCTTGAGATTATGCATGTCTTATCTGTTCTCCCTATTTTGAAAAAATATTGGTTGCCTTGGCAACAAATAGGCTTAAAACATGGCAAATATAACATTGTTTGTGATAAGTCAAAAAGAGCTGAAATTTTTTTATGAAATTGCATCTTTAATTCAAGAGTTATCTCCTCTTTAAGCATTTTGCTTTTAAAAATGTTATATTTTGGTAACAGGGATGTTTCAAATATTAACTTTAGAATGTCCTTCAGTCCGTCTGTCTGTCTGTTCATAAAAACTGTTTCCTGTGATCACTTTTAAAGAACTTTTCCAACAAATTTACTTAAAATATAGAAAAATTGAAACATTAGTGAATGGCCATTGGCCCTTCAGAATGTTGATGGGGTTCTAACCGGTAGGGGACTTATGGATTGCTTGCAATACTAATATAATTGCTTGTTTTACTATAACATCTTTATTTCTTAAGATATCAACTTCAAATTTCAAATATAAATTCCTTATCGTCAACCACATCTTATATGACAAGATTCTTAACTCAAAAGCAATATTGCCAGGATTATCTACCCTTGAACTTAAGAATTTTCCTTAAAAATGTTATTTTTTATTACAGTTTCTTTATAACCCAGAATATATGATGATCAAGTTTATCTTTTATATTCATGCAGTTTATATTGTTCTATTTCAGAAAGAGACATCAGTAATCAGCAGGCAATACAGTAAGATGTTGCAGGTTCATAACAAAAAACCTGGTTAGTTTAATAAATTCTATATCTAGAGCAGTCATCAATAGAGACAATATTGATGTATCGGTAATCAGTAATTGATACACATTTGAAAAAAATCAATAATTTTGATAAATTATTTAAATGGTTCTAAGTTATGAAAATTCACCCAAAACATATACAAAAGAAAGGTGGCCATGTCTAATGCTAAGCTGTTGTTACATAATGGACACATTTCATAGCAGTGATGACAAAAAGAATAAAAAATAACAAAATTGAGCAGTAGACATGATAATCAATTTTACTATTTGAATGCTGATGACATTGTACAATAGTGTGATTAAGACAGTACACAGTAATGTTGTGTACCTCAAATTTTTGTCTTGTTTTGATAAATTTTGTTACACTTATACTAAGGCACATGGTCTAAAATCTTTTTCTTAATTTGAAATACAGAATTGTGGATTGCTGCTGCTAAATGGGAGTTTGAAGAAAACAACAATGCCGACACTGCTAGAAGTATGTTACAGAGAGCTCTAAGATTTAATGAAGAGTCTAAAAAACTCTGGCTGGAGGTATGTATTGTTGTTTTTTAACTTCAAAAGTTATGGTGCCTTCTGGAACAAATGGCACAAGTTATGTAGAAACAAATGGCACAAGTTATGTAGAAACAAATGGCACAAGTTATGTAGAAACAAAAGGCACAAGTTATGTAGAAACAAAAGGCACACATTTTGTAGAAACAAATGGTACAAATTTTTTGAAGAAACAAATGACAAAGGTAATTTAGAAACAAATGACACAAGTTTTGTAGAAACAAATGGCACATGTTATGTAGAAACAAAATGTATATATAAGTTATTTAGAAACAAATGGCACATGTTATGTAGAAACAAATGGCACATGTTATGTAGAAACAAATGGCACAAGTTATGTAGAAACAAAAGGCACATGTTATGTAGAAACAAAATGTATAAGTTATTTAGAAACAAATGGCACACGTTATGTAGAAACAAATGGCACAAGTTATGTAGAAACAAATGGCACAAGTTATGTAGAAACAAATGACACATGTTATGTAGAAACAAATGGCACAAGTTATGTAGAAACAAATGGCACAAGTTATGTAGAAACAAATGGCACAAGTTATGTAGAAACAAATGGCACAAGTTATGTAGAAACAAATGGCACAAGTTATGTAGAAACAAATGGCACAAGTTATGTAGAAACAAAAGGCACACATTTTGTAGAAACAAATGGTACAAATTTTTGAAGAAACAAATGACAAAGGTAATTTAGAAACAAATGACACAAGTTTTGTAGAAACAAATGGCACATGTTATGTAGAAACAAAATGTATAAGTTATTTAGAAACAAATGGCACATGTTATGTAGAAACAAATGGCACAGGTTATTTAGATACAATATTCTTTCTCGCTAGATTTCTTAGATTTGTGTGATACAAGTACTGTTTTATATTTCAGTATTACAGATTTGAGCTGATGTTTGCAGAGAAGGTAAGAAATGTTTAAAATTGATGTGATTGTTGAAAGGGTCTTAAATGCTTTCTATCATTAATTGGTCTAAAAATACGAAATATTCCAATGTCTCCATCACTTATCAATATATTAAATGCTGAAAATTTGTATATCACTTGTGTAGGCTGAGAGTTAAACCACTAATAATGAGGACATATGGGAACCTGTAAAGGAGTGTACCATTGATATATTTGTTTTGGGCAGTTATTTTGATTGCTTATATTTTTGTCATGATCTATATTCATGCTTGCCAATATGGGTGTCCATGGCTGATTGATTAAGGTCATTGACTGCAAACCACTTGCCCCTGATTGCTGTGGGTTTGAATCCTGAGAGGGACATTGGATTCTTTCATGTGAGGAAGCTATCCAGCTAGCTTACAGAACATTGGTGGTTCTACTCTGGTGCCTGTCTGTGCCTGCAATAATTGAAATAATGCATGTAAGGCTACTGAGATCTTATTCCAATGGTAAAGGTGAAAAGTCGCCATATGGCTTATTACTGTGTTGGTGCAACATGACGCCCCCCCCCCCCCCCCAAAAAAAAAAAAAAAAAAAAAAAAAAATAATAAAAATAAAAAAAAAATAAATAAAAATATATGCTTGCCAGTATGGTTTATTCAGATGGGGGAGGCTGAACCCAAAAACATACAGTCATCATTTCAAATCATTTATCAAAGAACCTAGAACCTATATTCTTCTTTTAAAGAGATAATGAGTATAACTTTGGAAAAATCAGGAGCCACTTATTAGATTTATGAATTGTAAGTTTCTTGCATATTCAGCCAAGAAATTGATAATTATCTGTAACAAAATAGATTTGTTTAGTGTTTTACCCTTAAAAGTACCATGTTTTATATGCTGTATATAAGTTCAGTAAAACAGCTTTCAGATGATTTGTGATTGAATTGATACTATATTCTGTAATTTTATTCATAGATGAGAAAAAGACGTGAGTTGCTAGGTGACACACTTGAGGAGGAAGATGAAGTATCCGATGCTACATTACAGGGTCTGGCAGCTACAGTAGTCTACACTAATGCTATGCAAACTATTCCAGGTTAATATTTTGTATGGTCATTTGAGCTGGGTCTACTTCAGATTTTTCATAATGCTTTGTGTCATTCACACTTTGGTGTTAAGTTAATTTAATCGTATTTATATATTTATGGATATGTCATCTAAAGCTTAAAACTTTATCCTTTGTAATAATATTATTAGAGTTATATTTTTGTCAAACATCTTTGAAGATAGAAAACAGCATCCTGCTTGTTGAAGAAGTCACATAATAAAATTAAGTCCAACCTTGATTATTCGATTTGCCACTGACTGAAAATTTGCTTTGAATAATGGATGGGTTCAAATAATTAAAATCTGATAATAATAATAATAGACGACAATTACTTAACGTTGACCAAACGTCAATTATAGCAAAAATATGTTTACAACACACTTGTTTCCAGTAATCAGTTGAGAAAAATGAATGTACAACAAAAGGTGTGTGAAAATAAATGTTTATTATGCCCCCATTTCGAAGAAAAGGGGGTGTATTGCTTTGCACTTGTCGGTCCGTCGGTCCGTAGACCAAATGGTTTCCGATCAATAACTAAAGAACCCTTAGGCCTAGGAACTTCAAACTTGGTATGGTGATAGGTCATGACCAGTAGATGACCCCTATTGATTTTGGGGTCAAGGGGTCAAAGGTCAAGGTCACATTGACCTTGTAAGCAAAAACTGTTTTCGATCAATAACTAAAGAACCTTAAGGCCTAGGAACTTCAAACTTGGTATGGTGCTTGGTCATGATCAGTAGATGACCCCTATTGATTTTGGGGTCAAGGGGTCAAAGGTCAAGGTCACATTGACCTTGTAAGCAAAAACGGTTTTCGATCAATAACTAAAAAAATTTAAGGCCTAGGAACTTCAAACTTGGTATGGTGATTGGTCATGATCAGTAGATGACCCCTATTGATTTTGGGGTCAAGGGGTCAAAGGTCAAGGTCACATTGACCTTGTAAGCAAAAACGGTTTCCGATCAATAACTAAAGACCTTTAAGGCCTAGGAACTTCAAACTTGGTATGGTGATTGGTCATGATCAGTAGATAACCCTATTGAATTTGGGATCAAGGGGTCAAAGGTCAAGGTCACATTGACCTCTTGGGTAAAAACGGTTTCTGATCAATAACAAAAGAACCCTTAGGCCTAGGAACTTCAAACTTGGTATGGTGATTGGTTATGACCAGCAGATGACCCCTATTGATTTTGGGGTTAAGGGGTCAAAGGTCAAGGTCACATTGACCTTGTAGGTAAAAACGGTTTCCGATCAATAACGAAAGAACCCTTAGGCCTAGGGACTTCAAACTTGATATGGTGATTGGTCATGATCAGTAGATGACCCCTATTGATTTTGGGGTCATGGGGTCAAAGGTCAAGGTCACATTGACCTCTTAGGTAAAAACGGTTTCCGATCAATAACTAAAGAACCCTTAGGCCTAGGAACTTCAAACTTTGTATGATGATTGGTCGTGACCAGCAGATGACCCCTATTGAGTTTTGGGTCAAGGGGTCAAATGTCAAGGTCACATTGACCTTGTAAGTAAAAACGGATTCTGATCAATAACTTAAGAACGCTTAGGCCTGGGAACTTCAAACTTGGTATGGTGATTTGTCATGACCAGCAGATTACCCGTATTGATTTTGGGATCAAGGGGTCAAAGGTCAAGGTCACATTGACATTGTAAGTAAAAACGGTTTCTGATCAATAACTAAGGAACTTCAAACTTGGCATGGTGATTGGTCATGAGCAGCAGATGACCCCTATTGCTTTTGGGGTCAAAGGTCAAGGTCACATTGACCTTGTATGTTAAAACGGTTTCCGATCAATAACGAAAGAACCCTTAGGCCTAGGGACTTCAAACTTGATATGGTGATTGGTCATGACCAGCAGATGACCTATTGATTTTGGGGTCAAGGGGTCAAAGGTCAAGGTCACATTGACCTTGTAGGTAAAAACGGTTTCTGATCAATTAACTAAAAACACTTAGGCCTAGGAACTTCAAACTTTGTATGATGATTGGTCGTGACCAGCAGATGACCCCTATTGAGTTTTGGGTCAAGGGGTCAAACGTTAAGGTCATGACCAGTAGATACTTGTTAATTGTTTGATCACTGGGTCAGAAGTCATGCATAATAACCTTATCACATGACTAATTGGCTGCTGAAAGGGGGCATACATGTTTTACAAACATATCTTGTTGATAATGAAGACATAAATACATGCATTTATTCCACATTAAAGAAGAAATCACATAAGAAATAAATGTGAACCTGATTTAATTTTATTTCTAAAAATACTATATGGGGTCTCTTGATGTATTTAAGAAATTGTTTTTGTGTGATTTTAAAACTAATCAAAAGTATGTTTATATGCTGTTGACTTACGGCGATATTGAATGAATGTAAGTTTTAGACTAAATATATTAAACAAGTTTAATAGAATTATATTATGCGAGCCTCTGGCAAGCATGATACTGTTTTATTCAAGAATTTCAATTTATGTAGTAACCTACATGAATATGATATGAGCGGCGCTATGACAAAACAAACATAATGGGTTTGCAACCAGCATGGATCCAGACCAGCCTGCGCATCGGCGCAGTCTGATCAGGATCCATGCTGTTCGCTATCAGTTTCTTTACTTGTAATTGGGTTTGTAAGCCAACAGCATGGATCCTGATCAGTTTGCGCGGATGCGCAGGCTGGTCTGGATCCATGCTGGTCGCAAACGCATTACGTTGGTTTTGTCATGACACGGCTCATATTCTTTTTGTCACATATTCAAAATAAGAATAGTTTACAAAAAAAAAATTCATGAAGTGTTTTTACGCTATGTTTGTGTCATGCAAATGGCATTGTTATTACACAAGTGTTATCTTGTTTTTGTTAAATGGCTTTATTACACACTGTAACTCATTGGTTTATGTGATAATTTAGTGAATGAGTGTAGGTTTAATACTAAAGTTATTGAACAAGTTGAATAATATTGTTTAATTCAACGAGTTCAATAAATTCAGTATTAAATCAAGAGGAATATAATATTTTATTTTTCACATATTCAAATTTAGAGTGTTTTACAATTTAAAAGAGTCTTTTTTCATTGACGCACCTAAAGTGTAATGCGAACATTAGCGTGCTTTAACTCTATATGTTAACATATAGCTTAAATGATGTCACTCACATCAAAGTGTTATTACACTAGTATAATATTGTTTTTATTACGTCAAAATATATGCACGGCCGTGCAATACCATATTTATGGAGTCGCAAAATCGGCACGGGTGTGTGATAAATAGCATTATTACACTTCTGTGATAAATACATTTTCTATTTCAGATGATGTACATTTTCTTCTATCATTCTTACCTATATGTCAGCTGTTTGACTTCACCAAGGACCAAGAAGAATCAATTGTAGAACAGTAAGACTATATTCCTTTTTCTAGATCACATTTTAGTTGTCAAATATGTACTTTGCAAAACAAGTAGAGCACTATTCTAGGCTTTTTTTTGTCCCCCGCCTTTTCGAAGAAAAAAGGGGGATATAGAAATAGGCTCCGTCCGTCTGTCTGTCTGTCCGTCCGTCTGTCCGTCCGTCACACTTTCGTGTCCGGTCCATAACTTTGTCATTTATGAAAGGAATTTGAAATAACTTGGCACAAATGTTTATTTAATATAATAAGACGATGTGTCATGCGCAACAACCAGACCCCTACCTCCAGGGTCAAGGTCACACTTGCTCATTCAAGGTCAAAATTGCCTATTTGAGGGTATATGTCGTGTCGCGGTCCATAACTTTCTTATCTATGAAGGGATTTTGTAAATACTTGCCATAATTGTTCACAATAATCAGACGATGTGTCATGCGCAAAAACCAGTCACCTACCTTCAAGGTCAAGGTCACACTTGGAGGTCAAATATTAACATAGTCTGTTACAGGGTATATTTCGTGTCCGGTCCATAACTTTGTCATTTATCAAAGGAATTTGAGATAACTTGGCACAAATGTTTGTTATAATAAGACGATGTGTCATGCGCAACAACCAGACCCGTACCTTCAGGGTCAAGGTCGTACTTGTTCATTCAAGGTCAACATTGTCTATTTGAGGGTATATGTCGTGTCAGTCCATAACTTTCTTATCTATGAAGGACTTTTGTAAATACTTGCCATAATTGTTAACAATAATCAGATGATGTGTCATGCGCAAAAACCGGTCACCTTCCTCCAAGGTCAAGGTCACACTTGGAGGTCAAATACTTACATAGTCTGTTACAGGGTATATTTTTGTGTCAGGTCTATAATTTTTTCATAGATCAAAGGATTGTGAAAATACTTTGCACAAATAGTCACTATAATAAGAGGATGTGTCATGCGCAACACCTGCATCCCTCCCTCCAAGGTCAAGGTCACACTTAGAGGTCAAAAATTTACATAGTCTGTTATAGGGTGTATATTGTGTCGATCTAGAACTTCTTCATAGTTCAAGGGATTTTGAAATAACTTGGCACAAATAGTCACAATAATAAGACGTTATGTCATGCACAACACCTGCTCCCCTACCTCCAAGGTCAAGTTCACACTTAGAGGTCAAAGCTTAACATGATAGATTTTTAAATTCCGTGTTTCATTTTATTTTTTTAACAAATTTATTGTTACATTTGCAAATCTAGCATTGATCATAATTTTGGACTGAATGTCCTGAGATCCATACCTCAATCTTTTGAAATAGCACAATTTTATGCTTCATATAAAACTCCCGGGGCGGGGGACGTTGGTAACTCTGTTACAAATTCTTGTTCATCAACAGATACTATCACATGCATTTTTAATAACCTTTATTTCCACTGCTGTAAAGTCTCCTTTTCAACAGTGGTTCTACTCACTTACCTTTTAGTGCCTGAAATAGTATATGGAAGGGCACCGGACCTGATAATCAAAGTTAAGTTTAGTTCTATTATTTAGTCAAAAGTGATGTTTCAATGTGGATATATATAATATATAGTGAAATTTATATTTGCAAAATGGTTGTCATGTTGTTATATAAAATACAGCAGAGCTACAGTGTTATCAGCCATTTCACATGAAACTTTCAACACAAATTCTTTACACATACTATTCTTTTACTCTTTCTTATTCAGACACTTACTTACACCAGTTAGATACATGTTCTGTTCATACCATTATGATGTGTCTTGTTTAAAGATGCCCATTGCATGATTTTTTTTCTGACCATTTTTTTCCATCACTCCTTTGAAATATGTTCACAATGTAACAATGTTATAGTTTTTAGACATGAACACATGTTTTTATATATTTTTTTGGTGAATTTTAATGATTTTTAGATATTTAATGAATTTGTTAAAATTATAGAATTTTACAAATTGTACATTGATTATTGATCTTCAGAAAAATATTGATGATACATTTATATCGTTTCCATCAATGACAACTTCACTTTCAATAGAAATTCTTTACACTTAAAATTCTTTCACAGATACTTAGTAAGCCTTCTGGTACAAAGTAGTTCTAAAATTCTGCCTTTACGGTGTACATATATAAAGTATCATCATACCTAATTATTTTACTTTACAGGTTACGAGAACATTACACGGACAAACCTATAGCCTGGGACGCTCTCGCTAGAAGATGCTTGGGTAGAATAAATCAGGAAAATGCCAGTGGTCTGTATATTTAACATACTGTTTATGCCCCCGCCATGTAATGGCCGGGGCATATAGTGTTACCCTGTTCCGGCCTTCCGTCCTTCCATCATTCCGTCCTTCCGTCATTCTGTCCTTCCGTCATTCCGTCATTCTGTCATTCCGTCATCATCAGTTTCCGTTCATTATCTTAGTAACGGTTGCACACATTCAACTCAAATTTGACATATGGATATGTCATGAGAAAATACAGGTCAAGTTCGAATTTGGTCATGGTTCGATGATTTTTGGCAGAGTTATGCCCCTTTTACTTTAAAATAAAATGAAATTTTCAGTTTCCGTTCATTATCTCCCCAACGGTACAACACATTCAACTCAAACTTGACATATGGATATGTCATGAAAAAATAAAGGTCAAGTTCGAATTTGGTCATGGTTCAATGATTTTTGGCAGAGTTATGCCCCTTTCACTTTGAAATAATATGAAATTTTCAGTTTCCGTTCATTATCTCCCCAACGGTACAACACATTCAACTCAAATTTGACATATAGATATATCATGAAAAAATACAGGTCAAGTTCGAATTTGGTCATGGTTTGATGATTTTTGGCAGAGTTATGCCCCTTTCACTTTGAAAATAATATGAAATTTTCAGTTTCTGTTTATTATCTCCCCAACGGTACAACACATTCAACTCAAATTTGACATATGGATATGTTTTTGGAATGCCCAGGCCAAGTTTGAATTTGGTCATGGTTCAATAATTTTTGGCAGAGTAATGCCCCTTTCACTTTGAAAATAATATGAAATTTACAGTTTCTGTTCATTATCTACCCAACAGTGTTACATATTAAACTCAAATTTGACATATGAATATGTCAAAGGAAGGCGCAGGTCAAGTTTAAATTTGGTCATGGTTCGATGATTTTAGGCAGAGTTATGTCCCTTTCACTTTGAAAATAATATAGATACATCTTAGGAATAAGCAGTTTTAAGTTTGAATTTGGTCATGGTTCAATGATTTTGGACAAACTTATCTTTCTTGAATGTTGGAAAAATTTTGAACTTTCAGTTTCAGCACTCATACTTTTGTGGAAATGTATGTAGCCATTATTTTGGCTACAAATATGAAATATGCTTTTTTCAAAAGGTTAAGACTGAATAATTTCAGTGCCTTGAACATTGTATGAAAATGGTTTGTGTTAACATTGAACAGTTTTAAGGGCTTTGAACTTAAAATTAAAAAAATAATTTGTGCAAACAAATTTGGAACTAAATATTATAACATCTGAAATTTTGGCTGCATGCGGGGGCATCCGTGGCATGATGACACATTTCTAGTTTTATTATATGTTATTGATTTTTGTGAGTAACATATTTTTCACAAAATATGACTACTATCATATGGTCTGAAGTTTGCTATATTTACAGGTGATTGTAATGAGTTTGAATTGATATTATTAGGGGCATCCATGGCTCCCCACTGCTGTGGGTTCTGATCTCGAAAAGGACTTTTGATTCTTTCATGTGAGGAAGCTATCCAGCTAGCTTATGGTTCTACTTAGATGGCCGTTTGTGCCAGATTTAAGGCAAGGAAGGGCCCCTGAGGTCTTCCACCACCAGTCAAGCTGTGAAACTGGAAAGTTGCCATGTGATCTATACTGTATTGGTGTGACGTAAAACCCAACAGAAAAAAAATACCTCCAGTGCAGACCAAGATAAGCTAGTACACATGTGCCCTCTGATCATGGTCTGCTCTCTTCCCTATTTAGTCAGTATATTTTTTGAATTTTTCCTAAAAATGACCAATGGTTTGTTTAGATTGAAAGATTGACCATAGTCCATTTAAGTTATTTTAATTTAGTGCAGTAAGGAGTACTCAAAGAATGAATGAAAATGAAAAATGTTTAGTTGTTTGATTCCTATGCATTGCTTTCACAATGGAGTTAGAATTTTAATGTTCATTTTTAGATATTTTTAGAGTATTGAGATTTTAGAATATACTTTAGCTCACTTTATCCATCTTAGCTTTAAACAGGTTGTTGAATATAATTTTTGACAACAAAACATGTAATTGAGCAATATTTTAAAACTGCCAGAAATTGCTTAAATTTTGGCTTCAAGAATGCCATTGTACCTTGGTCGACACCCCTGCTTATCAGTTCTTTGCAAAAGTAAAGGCAACTAGTACTGGTAAACTGCTTGACAGTCTGCCTAGGAACAATGGGGTATCTGAACTGTGCTATGGTAAATTCAGTCTGGCTTACTGTTGTGATCTAGAGTGAAACCTACCAACACCAGTTACACCACCACCATCAGCTTGGGGATTTCAAAGTGTTAACATGTATTTGAGCCGCGTCAAGACAAAACCAACATAATGGGTTTGCGACCAGCATGGATCCAGACCAGCCTGCGCATCCGCGCAGTCTGATCAGGATCCATGCTGTTCGCTTACAAACCGTATAGCAAGTAGAGAAACTGATAACGAACAGCATGGATCCTGATCAGACTGCGCATCCGCGCAGGCTGGTCTGGATCCATGCTGGTCGCAAACCCATTATGTTGGTTTTGTAGTGACGCGGCTCATTTAGTCATTTAAATCATTTCTTTTGTACTAAAATTCTACCCATGCAGATTTCAAGCCATCAAAAAAGTTTTGAACTAATATCTGTCCAATTCATGAGTGATCAGTAAACATAAAAGGTAAGTAGGTAATTAAGCATGGAACCCTGAGTTATCAACATACTGTCCTATATGTCTGTAATGATCTTTGATAATTGATATTTTATGTGAAGCAGAGAAATTTTAAACTGAACATTGCATGTGTTGTTGAACTGTGTCAAAGATATTTAAGTTCAACTTCTGCATGACCACATATTAAAAAATATTCAGGGAAGGGCCCACGATAATGTTGTTAGAACTTTTGGCCCAACCCTTTTGTATGTACACTTGATTATGTCTGTAAAATTATGAAATTGTATATTGTGTGTATATTTATACAATAAAATATTATTAAACTAAAAAAAATATTCAGAACACGTTGATAATAGAGGTATGTTGATAATACAGATGTTGGGTATTTTAGTGATTGTTACCATATATTTAAAAAAAATCTTTGTGAGTGCGTAACTTAAATGATGACTATAAGGACAATGTAGCTCCTACTTATTACTGATAGCCTAAGTAGCATAGTAAGCATCTACATCACATGTGGGATGTGATGGGGTTGATTGATATTCAGATGACATCACACCAAAGATGTCAAAAAAATGGTTACAGTACCCCTGAACTTGGTAGTTAGTATTAAAAGGATATACTGGCCTATTAAAAGGATATACTGGCCTATTAAAAGGATATACTGGCTGTTTTCCTCGTAATCACATGTGGGAGGTCATGGGGTTGATTGAAGTTGGCATTACATCACATCAAAGGTGGTACCAGTACTCCAGTACTTGGAAGTTAGTGTGAAAAGTATATCCTTGATTTCTTCTCATACCCTTGAACTTACCTTGAGGCGATGTGATCCATCAGTGAGGGACCAAGATGGAACACATCACCAGAAATTTATAGTTGAAGGATTTTGTATAATATTTAACTAGTATTGTATTTAACTAGTGTTGTAGTTAATTAGTATCACATGAAATAATATCACATAATGTTTTATGTATACAGGTGGGGAAGATTCAGAGCTGATGTTTCACAAGGTGTATGAAGAGGCAGTGAACACTGTACCATCAGGTTAGTGCTGATATGTATTAGGCTTTTACAATCATATACAGTCAACCTTGTCAGTAATAACAGTTGTATAACATCAGTAATATAGTATGAAGATGTCAGCTAAATTATATATTTAAACATTTTCAAAATACTAGAATGTCTTGAAGTAAAGTTTGTCATTGTTTAGAGATGACCTTTATTCACCAGTTTGTATATTATATTTCATCAGTCGTGTATATACAAGTTTGACAGTACATAATAGCTAATTGGGCAGGTGCTCACAATTTTGGCAGTACATAATATTTAATTTGGGCTGTATTTACAAGTTTGACTGTATATGATAGTTAAATGGGCCTGTATTCTTAAGTTTGACTGTACATAATAATCAGGCCAGTATTAACTAGTTTGGCAGTACATTATAGTTTAAAGGGCCTGCATTTACAGGTTTGACTGTACATAATAGTTAAATGGGCATGTATTCACAAGTTTGACTGTATATAATAGTTTAACGGGTTTGTATTTACAAAGTTGACTTATATATTGTACTTAAACAGTATGTATAGATTTAACTATATATAAAAGTTAATTGAGTCTCTGTTTACAGGTTTTACTGTATGTAATAGTTAATCTCGCTTGTGAATAAATAATGTGGCCTGTATTCACAAGTTTGCCTGTATATAATAGTTAATGTGGCCTGTATTCACAAATTTGCCTGTATATAATAGTTAACCAGGCCTGCATTTACAAGTTTGACTGTATATAATACTTATACAGACCTGTTTTTACAAATTTGACTGTATATAAAAAGTTAAATGGACTTCCATTTATCGGTTTGACTGTATATGCTAGTTTATCTGACCTGTATTCTCAAGTTCGACTGTAAAGAATAGTTGAATAGGCCAATCTATTAATTTGCCTGCAAAATATAGATAACCTGGGCTGTATTCACAAGTTTGACTGTATATAATAGTTAACATGGCCTATATTTACAGGTTTGACTGTATGTAATAGCTTGTAGATAGTTTTAGGAAACGTTTGATAATGTCTATTGTAATGAGTTTTATATGTATACCTGCTGGAAGTTATAAGATTGCACTTAGTGAATTTTGTTGAGCATATCTCATTGTAGAAATGGTAATTTTTGTTGATTATTATCAAATGTAATGTGTTTTTAGAAGTGTTATTTCACCTGAAAACACTTCAAGTTGTGAATGGTTTAGGTTTTGTGAAAGCTAACATAACCATAGCAATTGTAATCTGTAACATAAAAGTCTTACAGAGATGGGATCTTAGAAGGTGCTGCAAATAATTTTGTGAGGGAAATGAGATAAAGTTTATGTAGAGATAACTATGTATAGAATGGGATATAAAGATTGGTTTGGCTTATCTCCCTTTATTATAGCGCTAACTGAGTAGTCTAAATATCACTAGTGGATATTAAAGAAAGAGAAAAATGGAGATACAGAAAAACCTGTGTAATAGACCATTACAGAATGAAAATCTTATTTAAAAATGAGCCGCGTCACGACAAAACCAACATAATGGGTTTGCGACCAGCATGGATCCAGACCAGCCTGTGCATCTGCGCAGTCTGATCAGGATCCATGCTGTTCGCTTACAAACCCTATTACAAGTAGAGAAACTGATAGCGAACAGCATGGACCCTGATCAGACTGCGCGGATGTGCAGGCTGGTCTGGATCCATGCTGGTCGCAAACGCATAACATTGGTTTTGTCATGACGCGGCTCAAATATTTGTAATTACTGACCATCATTGCACATACCAAATGTTATGATGCAGTTCAAAATAGCCTTTTTATAGAGACCATCATTCTGTCATCTTAATGCATTTTCCGATCTCATGAATGGCCTTAGTGCACAGGTATGACTATAGTTGTATGTATAAGAAATTTTAACATTTTAACTTAACTTTACTGAAAGTTAGTGAGTCTTCTTTGGCACCAGCTTTTACCTGAAATAATGTGTGGAGGGGCAAGCTAAATCTCACTTCATCAGGAAAGATGGAAATAAATGTAGCCATTATATGTCATCTTATTGCTGTAATGGGTTATCTCCATTAAGTTACAATTGGAGTTAACCTATTATTGCACTAAGGTGACAAAATGTGCTTTTACAGTGCCATAGTGACTTAAAACACAAAAATTTATTGAAATTGTTGGGGACTATTTTTTCCCAAGACAAGTGAAGGAGGATGTCTTATATGACACAGTAGACACAGCATAAAAGAAGGAGAAGCTAACTGTTAACCTATCCCCAGGAAATGGTGTGTAACAAAATATCAGTAGTTTCTGATGGTTGAATGATTTGTTATAGATTGAATAGCTTATTGTTTTGAGAAATGATTAGCCTGGTGATTGTTATAGATAAAATGTAAAAATAATGATGTTTAAGTGAAAAAATGCATCTTTTGAAAAATACCGAAATAACTGGCCATTCTTTTAGCAGATGTAATTTCCTTTCTGCAATGTGAATTATTAGAAAAGAAAAGTTTTGAATAACATTCTGTTCTCTTGAAATGGGTAACTTACATGAAAGTTTGATATTAAGTTTATAAAATAATTTAATAACTCAGCGACTGTTATTTATCAGTTAACCAATGGTTATTATTGCTTATAAATAGAATCTGGTTAAATAAATAAAATCTGGTTAAATTAGGAAGTATATATACTATTTTAAAGTATTTATTTTCATAGATGTTAAAAGTTTTGATGAATTTTTGTAAAATGGTTATATTACAATGATTAATGTGAATGTATATTTATCACTGGCCCCTCATGCCTGATGCAGGTTTGAATCCCTAGATTCTTTATGTGAGGTTAACATTCTTTATTTGAGGTTAACATTCTTTATGTGAGGTTAACATTCTTTATGAGAGGTAAACATTCTTTATGTGAGGTTAACATTCTTTATTTGAGGAGGCTAACCAGATAGATCACCATGGTTGATGGTTCTAATCAGAGCCTGAACTAAATGCATGAACAGGTACCCAAATTATTCCTCCACAAATGAAGCTGAAAAGTCATAATAATATATGCCTTATAAAATTCACATTGTTGGTGTGACTTAATAATCATCAAATAAAATGGAAATAATTGCAATTTCAGAGTGCTTAGTTTTCTTTTGAATTTGTAACTGGTGTACAACAATGTTTGTTTGCTGTTTACAATGTTTAAAAAATTTTATAACTTCATAGAGCCTTCTTTTTTTTTTTTTGGTTATCATTTGTAATGCATTATTGCACCAGATATCATGGTCATATTGATCAATAAAAAGAAAAACAAACAAAAATAAGCAAACTTATCACAAGGTAGAGCAGGGTAGCCGAGATATTTCTGTAATAAATTTTCACGTTTTTACCGAAACCCGTTGAGATACGAACATAATCAGGACGACCACTTGAATAGATATGTTTTTCATTTCAACGTTCATTATAACAAATAGGTTTGCCTTCTCATGATAAATTTCGAGCTTATGTCATGATTGGAATTCAGATCTGCTGGATCGATTGTTGCCTAGCCAAGGCAATAGCAATGGAGTCAAGAAACGTTTTATAAATTGTACAAAGAAAGCAGTGTTTAAACACTCGTCTGATAAGTACGATCGTTTCAATAGTCTCGCAACTGTCATATTGCGTAATATATGAGCGTTTGAATCTATTATACAGGTGTATGGAAAGTGATACGCTAAATACTTTATAAATCTTATCAGAATAATTTAAGACGGGGAAAACTTTATGCACAATTCTTTCCCATTAAAAGCATATTAAACAGACTCTTACGGGTATGGGTGCCGCTCGATTATAATTACTGCGATTTTTGTTGAAATTTCATTTTGATCTATCTTTCTGAAAGAAAAAAAGAAATTTTGATAAGCAGTTTTTCTTTTTAATGTCGTGAAAAAATTGTATAAACTGTTATATCTATATGCACTGAATTTGTAGAAAGGATATTAAAGATTATGTAACCTTACCCCTGACACCTTATGATTTATTGAATTATTAAAAAAAAGTGGCGTAATATTAGATTTCAGTTTTAATTGAATGAAAATCTTACGATATTACGGTAATTCTGAAGGTTGTATACCATATTAAGGCATGTCACAGAAGTTTGTTATAATTATGTGAATGACAAAACTATCAATAGAACAGTACTGTAAAAATGCTAATTGAAAAATATTGAGAAATAATTTTAAAAAAAAGCATCCATTTAAAACAAAAATATGATTTTTAGAAATTTCCCAAGCAAAATGCACTATAATTTTACAATTACAGCTAAGACAGCAAAGGGGTTAAAAGTCTGAGTGCAACATTTATAGTGTTACTTGTATATATATATATATATGAAATACATTGTGCACAATACATTATTATGTGTAAAAAAAAAAAGAAAAGAAAGATTTTTGGATATATTTCAGCGTTAGTTTCTCTGAAAACTACATTGATGTTTTTATTCACTGTTAATAATACATAATGTAATTATTATTTACCATGTACTTTCTAACATTTATATACCTTTTTTTGATATCAAGAGGTTTAATAAGTTTGAACACCCATTATTCTTGCATACATTAAAGAATCAGATGTCAGCTCAGAACGGTGCTTCACTATCAAAAGACGGAGCATGCACTTTGTTTGAACAAAGGTTTCTAAACTGAATGAGGGTTACACCTCGGTTTTCACAATGTCATAAGAAACTATGTTCACATGCCCCGTTCACATGCCTAAATAATAGAGCAAAGTTTGTACGAGGTTATCTTCAAAGACTGGGGCTTTGTGGGATTTATTTATATAAATATTATGAAATATTTACTTAATTCGAGTATGTTTTGGTAATTTGTTAGGAAACCCCAGTATATTTAAAGATGTATAGGTGGTATTGACAGAGTGCAGTTTTGTGCAAACATTAGATTCTATGTACAAACTTGGTAATAATTCTAAATAAAGGTAAAGACGTTTTAAGCAAATGTTTTTACCTTTCTAATGTTTCGGAGGAGACAATTTTTAAATTGGTGTTAGTTAGGAATGCTACCT